AATATATTTATGAAATAACAAATTACATGAAATACAGTTGCCACTAAAAGGCTACAAGAGAACGTCTCTTATCCACGGAGTTGTGCGAGATCGATATTTTGGATCCCATTATCCGCGGAGTTACCCGCGATTTTACTCCACTTCGCTGCAGGAAAAAATTGCAGATAATCGTGGGTAATTTGAAGAATAGGGCTCCAGATGATAGGATTTTTTGTGTGGACCATACAGCTTCCGTGGATAGTAGAATTTCTGGGTAATAGGTTTGCGTATAAGAAAAGTTGTCCTCTATAAATCATAAAATTAGTGTTTTTTCAAATGGCTTTTGGAGTGATTGATGCCATCATAAGTAGAACAAATCATCATAATCGTAGCTTTACGAATATTTGAAGTATGTGTGTGCAGCGGGCAGCGGTGTGCATTATAAGCGTTAAAGATTGTCTTGATTAGAAGGGCTTATGGCAGGCTTATGTTGAGTGAGCCACAGTTAAAGGACATCTTTGTAATCTGCATTCCTGCGTGAATACAATATAAATGTGAAGTCGGGCTAGCAATGATTCACATCTTCTTGGTTCTTTCGGTAATGGAAATAATAAAATAATAAAAATACAACATAATAAAATCATATAATAAAATAATATAATAAAATATTTTAATGTTTTATTTTTTTTATTTTATTATTTCCATTCTTTGTGACTTTACCGAAAGAACCAAGAAGATGAATCCCTGCAGTCACGAAAGCTTTAAATCAAATGATTCACAATTACGATAGTTACTTTTGGTTTAGATCGTATGGAAAATATAAAATTGTATATTTTCCTTGTCGACAGTCAAGTTTACTGAAACACCAAATCAACTGGCATAATTGCCCACGTGATAACTTGATTTGATTGGCTTTGTCATCTGGCAGAGGGTTTAGCTGAAAATGCACATTACACCCACGCAGAGGTGTGGACTCGAGTCATGTGACTTGGACTCGAGTCAGACTCGAGTCATGAATTTGATGACTTCAGACTCGACTTGGACTTGCATAACAATGACTTTGTCCCACCTCTGCACCCACGCCATCTAAGCCAAAAGTAACTACATTTAAAATTACAATTCCCAATGTACTGCGAAACTAATATCTCAATAATCGTCAAATCGTGCTGTTTTAAATCGCATTGGATTGTGAAACATTGCAGCCATCCTCTCGCAAAGCATCTCCGATTTGCACGGTTGGCTAAAATACAGTGCGAAATAGGTTCAACATACATACTTCATGCATCTCAAGCCTTTTATTCACCCTCCTATTAACCTCCCTTCCTATTCTTTCAGAATCAATCCACGCGCCTTGCTACTATGTGCGCTTACCGGCAGATAGAAAGAGCAAAAGCATTAAATCAGGGGTCATCATCAATGAAAAAAATGGAAATTCTCTCACAACCTCTAAATGAATGGGATTCGATTGGCAATTCCAAAGATCGCCACGAGATGGCAGGATAATCCTTAGCATGGGGGGGGGGCATCAAGATCAAGATGTCATCGCGGCCAAAAATGGCAATGTCACCACCACACCTCATTGCCAACGCGTTCTACCCCCCTCCCAGCCACATCCCGCAGTCGCTGCACACTTGAGACACGGGAACTCCAAGATCTGCGCTGACAGTCTCGCACCATCTGCTCTTCTGTCTTCCCCTTGGTCGCCGGGGTCATGCAGACCACACCGATGATGGCCACGTGGGAATCGCCCGTAGGAAATGCGTGATTCGAGTGGGATCTTTAATTTAGACTGGAGGCATGCGATGAGTTACGAAGCTCTTTTTCACAGATGTCCACAAATGTCCGGTAGAGTATGAATCGTTCACTCTCGATTCGAATGTAACTGCACAAATTGTCCAGGGATGATATTCTTAGGTTTTTTCGGTAAAGTCACGTAGGTAAAACATTAAAATTAATAAAAGTAAAATAAAAAAATAAAAATCACGACGTTTCGGAGGCAACACAAGCTTCCGTCTTCAGGTGGAACCGTCACAGCCACGACAGCTGTATCAAGTAAATGAGAGATTGCAGGAGCTACCACTCCGTTTATATAATGGTTGGAGAGGGGGGTGGCGAAGCGGCAAGTACAGCACACTTTTTTTATTCATATGGTAAGGTGAATAAAAAAAAGTGTGCTGTACTTGCCCCCCCCCTCCCTCTCCAACCATTATATAAACGGAGTGGTAGCTCCTGCAATCTCTCATTTACTTGATACAGCTGTCGTGGCTGTGACGGTTCCACCTGAAGACGGAAGCTTGTGTTGCCTCCGAAATGTCGTGATTTTTATTTTATTTTACTTTTATTAATTTTAATGTTTTACCTACGTGACTTTACCGAAAAAACCTAAGAATATGAATCCTTGCAGTCACGAAAGCTTCAAATCTAGAATTGTCCAGGGATGGTTTGAGCAAATCAGACTTACAAAGGGTACGAGGAAAGTCACCTTGCTAGCATCACTACTGTGTAGCATTTTTGACGATTGTCTTGCTTGACCAATGTTGGAAATTCCAGATGACGATGGCGGGGGCAGTCTCTCCATAGAGATGACTGACTTGAGCCAGGAGTAGAAATTCCACATTATAATGGCAGAGTCTCTGGCTCAACACTGACATGTAAACAATGTGCACATACAGTACACTGCTGACATTGGCTTTGACCTCTGCTATGTACCTTTCCCGTTAATGCAGAAGGCTCATTTGATGTAAATGACAAATACAAACATACTTGCGCGTGCATATATTGGACGCTGGACGATGCGGCTGCATTATTTCATGAAGATCGTTGAAAAAAAACAGAAGTGCAATAAATTACCCATCATGGAACCCAGGTGTTAGGACACTTTTGCAATGAATAATTCATTAAATGTATGAACTGCAGGTCATACAACAGCATGTACTCTAAGCAATTGTGCAATACATTCCATAAAGTGACACGGGTTGTCATCAAAACTGTCAATAGTACAGCCCTTGCATTGCAACTCTATGTACAATATGTGAATTAAAAGAAAGAATACATATATTTAAGAATACGGTATATATGGATGTAGCCTTGGGTCTGTAGTGGCAAGTCCACACGACTATTGCATGGACAGTCCTCTCTTTAAAGATGGCCTTGAGTCAGGAGTGGAAATTCCACATTACAATGGCGGGGTGTCTCTTCCTTAAGAGGGGAGTCTTTTCCTTTTCCAATAGTGGGCACTGTCCACCCTCACCTCTAAACGATCTCTAAAACTAAACTCAACTATTTTTTTTTAACAGGTAAGGCCCACTGCGCTTACCGCTTTTTTCTTCTTCCAGAAGCAACCTGGCCACCAATGATAGCTCAACGAAGAAGCCAAATACTCTAAGCGCATGTTTCCAAATGTGGAGGGAAAACCCGGAGGACCCGGAGAAAAATCCACGTGACCACGAGGAGAGAGACATACACACTCCAAATATACAGGCGTCAGGGTCGGGATCAAACCCACGACCTCCTGAATACCAGCAAAGGAAGATAACATCTCCCTCACCGCACTAGGGCATCCCCAGCCTCCCCCCACCATGAGACTGTCAATGTGGGCTGAGAAGTGACCAGTACAGATAAGTGATTATTAAATCCATCTGTGTGAATTTTTTTAGTGTTTATTCTCTCATGTGTGGAGTTTCTCTGGATATTATTCCGGTCCTCTTCCATTTGTAAAACACTCTTCAAGGAAATTGCCCAAACATCCTGCTACAATGTAGCGGGATCCTCCTTGAAAGGAATATTGAGACTCAAGATAAAGCGCATTGTTATTATTCTTAATATAATATTACACGTACTGTATTCTACTCTGTTCACTATAGCTCAGTACTATACAGCAATATGCGGTAGGGTCTGTCACAAGGACAGACTGTCCCTGCATATTCTAATGTGGAATTTCTACTCCTGGCCTGAGGCAACATCTACAGAGAAACTATCCTCTGCAGTTGTAACGTGATTTTTACGCTACTCGGGTGGCGATACTACACAACTTGTCAACAACGCCGCCTTAATAGGTGCCGTGTTTGATCGCCAACCCCATCAATTCACAGGCAGCTTTTCGGGGGTGCCTGGCTGGTGTTGAGTCACTCACGCAAGCTCAGCTCAAGTAGGCCGTTAAGACCAATGATGCGATCACACCTCGCTACAGTTTCCTTCCTACCTTCTGCCAGAATCTTGCAGCAGTTGCAAGGTCGACACCTGGACCTCACGATCCAGTGGTTCAATCTTGACTTAAAGCTTTCGTGACTGCAGGAATTCATATTCTTTATGTCTTTCGGTAAAGTCACGGAGAACAAAACATTTTTACAAAAAACTACGACGTTTCGATCGCAACACAAGCAATCGTCATCAGGAGATGACGTTAATTTTTTGCTCTACGTGACTTTACTGAAAGACCCAAACAATATCCAGTGGTTCGCTCTTAGTTTCTCATCTTTACTCATGGAGCGGCACACTGGTGGTGTAAATATGCGCCCATTCCATTTACATCATATTAGCTGGCGGCCCTATCGCGTGACCTTGTTTAAAATAGGGAGGGGGGCAAACAAAGACTCAGGAGTGTGGGGGGGGGACAAAACAATCAACGTGATACCAACTTTACACAATCGCGCAACACTGAATGTAATTTAGATGTGATCTGATTTTTAAAAAAATCTTTCGTGTAATCTGCTCTATCAGTGAAAAATAACCTTCATAGCTAATCGGATTCCTGCAGTACGAATACAGATTCTGCTCTTAGCCGTCACCCCGTGTGTGCAATGCGTACAAGGAGGGCTGCGGTGCCCAGTCCTTAAATGCGCTCAATAATGTACCTTTCGACTTCGCAACGGTACAATATAATAATTTAGCGGGGACCCACGATACAATCACAGGCATTTACTGTTGTCCGAGGATATCCGTAGTGACCCATTAACGTTGGCACGCGATCACCAACGTTGGCCCAACGCTCCATGTTTACTGTGAGATGCTGATGTTCTTACCTTGGCAACAGAGGCCAGGTAGTATCCGGTGTACGCAGCCAGGAGACCCATGACGATAATCAGTGGTGCCGACATAATTCCTGCCCTCCTTCCCTCCGTCTGTCGATCTCTGGCGCCGACGATGATCTTCTGTCGACTTCTGCCCTGCAGTCTTCGTCTGTGCGTGCCAGTGCGGACACAAAATACGCGTGCCACTTAGAATTTGCGTGCGTGCGTGCGAGAGAGAGAAACATGCAGCGTGGCTTACGCTACAGCGCACCGCAATACCGAGCCGACAATATTCCTTCCTGGTGGGCAGAGAAATTTACCCGAGCTTGCGGCCAACAGGAAATAATAACGCACAGAATAAATTATATGATTTACTGTTACTATTCCTTAGCAGCATCAGCGGAGGCGGCGGTGGATAGCATTACGGCACTTAATGCGGATAATGATTAGCATTAACCAATAGCCTGACGGGCGCACAATGGCATAGCGACGATTTTGACTGCGCATTGCCCCTCTCTGCCTGGCTCGCGTGTTCGTGGCACCACATGAAGGCATGGATCGAGCAGTTGCAGACGCGCACAAGCCCAGGGGAGGGAGGGAGGAGTGGTGCTTGGGAGGGACGCAGTGACGGGGGAAGGCGAGGGATGTTAGAGGGAGGGATGTTAGAGGGAGGGATGGGATGGGTCGTTGCAGGGAGGGACATAGAAGGGAGGGATGAATTTGATGTTGCAGGGCGGGGAGGGACGTTGAAAGAGGAGGAGGAGGTTCTTGTTGAAGGGAGGGGTGTACAGTATGTTGAGCGAGGGATGTATGCCGAGGGATGGATGTATGTTGGGAGGGATGGATTTCGGAGGGAGAGATCGAGAGGATGAATGGGGAGGGCTGGGCTATGCGCATGCAGCGGCTTACGTGACGGGTCCTCGATGCAAGGGGGGTGGCTGGGTCTGTAAGCGCATTGTCGTGCCGTGCTGAGTGGAGGGTCTTTGTGTCGTGTGCGGGGAGCGGTGGCGCAGCGGTTAGCACAGCACTCCGTTGCAAACGCCAGTGACGACTATCTGGACCGGTCCTAGGCCTCCTCTAGATAGACTCAGCCTCAAATGAGCGACGTGGAAATATCGTTACTGGGGAGACAAAGGCGGCCAAGCGTGGTTTTGTCCGCACCCATCCACGCATGTGTCGTGATAGCCATCATAGATGATACTTGTTCACGGTACTTGCCCCTACAGCCCGTTAGAGGCTACACGAGGGAGCTTTGTCTTTGTGCAGTGGTTGCCGCCTTACTGCGTTACACCCGTGTGTGTGTGTATGCGCTACGATACAATGCGCATTTGTGTTGTGCATGCTGTGTGAGAATATGCAAGGGTATGCATGTCAATGTGCGTTGGGTGCGTATTGTTTTAATCGTATACATGCAGCAGTATCAATATCAGTGTTGTGTTAAACTTGTTTAGGGCTTAATTTGTCCGGCCGGGGCTAAACGCCGGAAAAAAAGATGTAAAAACATTTTTTTTGCTAAAATATTTTACAAATAATATTTTCCAGCCTGACTTCGGTACGCATTAGCGTGTTCTCCGGATTGCAAGAACCTCCAGAAAGAAATATAGCACCCCAAACTTATTCCGGATGCACAAGCGCAATTAACAAACAAAAAATACATCAGCTCATTCGTCAAAAATAATAATAGTGGACGTAAAAGGAAATATAAAACAGGCGACGTTTCGGGCAATGTCCCTTCATCAAAGCACATAAATCCGGTCACAACGGCTCCACATCTGGTCACACACACAGGATTACAAGACTCATCTTCACAACTTAGAATCCGCAGAATAAATTATTATGTTTGGATATCACCACTTTGGATATTCTATAACAGGGGTCGGGAACCTTTTTGACTGGGAGAGCCATAAAAGCCAAATATTTCTAAATATATTTCATTGAGAGCAATATAGTATTTTTAACGTATAATAAATTAAATATGTCTTACTTTTAATGCGACTTCTGGTGCTGCATGGTTTTGCTGATGGCCTTGTAGTCTGGTTCATACGTGGTGAGGTTGAGCTTCATGCAGGCGTGACCCGTGAAATTTATCTTCAAAACTAATTTCTGTTTACTTTAAAATGACACCGTAGTATGAAACAATATCACAAGTATTTAAAAATCAGTTCCAAACTGATTTTTTATTTTTTTATTATTCTTTTTTTCAACTCAAAATTGTCTGGGAGCCATATGCCGTCACTGGAAGAGCCATATATGGCTCGCGAGCCATAGGTTCCCGACCACTGTTCTATAAGGACTGCAATATTGACGTGTTGTTGTATTACTGCTGTGCTCACGCACCACGGATATCTCCCTTGTAAAATAGCCGGGACATCATCCGAGTAACAAATCTAAATACAACTTTAAATTCTAGATTTGAAGCTTTCAGGACTGCAAGGATTCATACTCTTAGGTTTTTTTGGTAAAGTCACGTAGGTAAAAATAAATAATACAAATAATAATTCTTTCTATTATTATTTCTATTATTTTTTTACTAATATTTTTATTCTTTTTATTAATAAAAAATATAAATAATAGAAATAATTATTTTATTTCTGTTATTATTTATATTAATAAAAAATATTATTAATACAAATAATAGAAATAATAATAGAAATACAAATAATATAAATAATAATAGAAATAAAATCATTATTTCTATTATTTTCATTTATGGACGGCCCCCCCTCCCGACAGTTGCTAATCCGCGGAATTAAGTTACAAACACATTCCTCCTGCGGAGGGAGCTGGTAGGAACGTTGGGTTGCTCGGTCAATGGCCAGGGTCAACGGCGGCGTGGTGTATTCCGCAAATATACCCGACTGTGAGGGCGGGCACAAGCCGGCGTGAGTAGGTTAAACGTTGAGTTTTATAAGGGCACCACGGGGTGACCAGCCCCTCCCCACCCAGCCCCACCCCTCCCACCCAGCCCCTCCCCACCATCCCCACCCAGCCCCTCCCCACCATCCACACCCAGCCCCTCCCCACCCAGCCCCTCCCCACACTCCCCACCATCCACACCCAGCCCCTCCCCACCCAGCCCCTCCCCACTTCTCCCACCCCCCCACCCTCCCCACCCAGCCCCTCCCCACCCACCCCCCACCCTCCCCACCCAGCCCCTCCCCACCCAGCCCCTCCCCACCCTCCCCTCCCCTCCCCACTCACCCCCCACCATCCCCACCCCCCACCATCCCCACCCAGCCCTCCCCACCCAGCCCCTCCCCACCTTCCCCACCCAGCCCCTCCCTGCACGACGGGCACAATAATCCCCTGTGGGCTGGTGTAACCAGGAGGTTCCTACCAGTACAATGTTAATGACTTGCCAAGGCGCGGACGTGATGTGAATGTGATGGTGTAGCGCCACCCCTGGTAAGAGCCCGGTCACAAATTTTTGGCAGGGCCCTCTTTAAACAGCCCGTGACAATTTCCTGTGCGGCTTTCGTTTTTGGACACGCGAGGGGTACTGTTGCCGAACACAACAACAAGAACAACATCATCTCTGGAGCCCGTGAGTAACGAATACACCGCTACACACACACAGAGACACACACACGTTTCTGTGTGTGTCTCTGTGTGTGTGTGTCTCTATCTGTGTGTCTCTCTGTGTGTGTCTCTCTCTGTGTCTCTGTGTGTGTGTCTCTCTGTGTGTCTCTGTGTGTCTCTCTCTGTGTGTACACACACGTCTCTCTCTCTCTCTGTGTGTGTCTCTGTGTGTGTCTCCCTCTCTGTGTGTCTCTCTCTCTCTCTGCGTGTCTCTCTCTCTGTGTCTCTGTGTGTCTCTCTGTGTGTGTCTCTTTCTCTGTGTGTGTCTCTTTCTCTGTGTGTCTCTCTCTGTCTCTCTGTGTCTCTCTCTGTGTCTCTCTCTGTGTGTCTCTCTGTGCATCTCTGTGCATCTCTGTGTGTATCTCTGTGTGTATCTCTGTGTGTATCTCTGTGTCTATCTCTGTGTCTCTCTCTGTGTCTATCTCTGTGTCTATCTATATCTCTGTGTGTGTGTATCTCTGTGTCTCTCTCTGTGTGTCTCTCTGTGTCTCTCTCTGTGTCTCTCTCTGTGTCTCTCTGTGCATCTCTGTGTGTCTCTGTGTGTCTCTCTGTGTCTCTCTTTGTGTCTCTCTCTGTGTCTCTCTCTGTGTCTCTCTGTGCATCTCTGTGTGTGTCTCTGTGTGTCTCTCTCTCTGTGTGTCTCTCTGTGTGTCTCTCTCTGTGTCTCTACACACGGTGGTGGCGAGGGAGCGGTGGCGCAGTGGTTAACGCACTCAACGCTGCGTTGCATTTCCGGTCCCACGCGTCAATGGGCGAGTGATGTCCGAACCGGTCAGAACGCGGCCGTCCCTGTAGGTCGACTCAGCCTTAAATGAGTACCGAATGCGATCCGATTTGGCACCGGCGAGGGAGGGGGGGGGGCTGCAGGCCTCTTTGCAGGGCCCTCTCCGGCTCCCCTTGGATCAACTCGGCCTTAAACGAGTACTGCACTGTACAGCACTGTCCTCGCTGCGAGCATCAGCGCCGGGAAGACAAAGGCGGCCAGGGGGCAGCGTTATTGGTTTGGCCATGTGTGTTTGTTTGTTGTAGTACAGAGTTAGAGTGATGGCCTTAATCTAAGTTGTCTTGTGGTTGTTGTTGTTGTTTGACTTGCATCCCACTGGGATTTGTGCACACAGCGTTGGTGTACGGTGATTTTTTTCTGCAATATTTTGCTGTCTTTTCTTGGATATTCTGTTTGCACTTAGTTACATATTCACTTTAAGATGTTTTGTTGTTCATGTTTTAGTTTTTTTTGTTGCGGTTGCACCCGATTCAAGAGCCGAATGGCTCACAGGGCTATACCTTTAGAACCTCATTTGCCAGTAGCAAAATATGATAATTGTTTTTTACCCTTTTACCTGGCAACAAAACTGACACCTTTTTTACAAGGAGTCATGTTTTCATAGACCACAATACCTGCAGTCGGAATGCAAACAAAAAACAACTCTGATAATGTATGCACTGTCCTTGAAATTGATTGGTCCACACCCGAGACAGCTTTCTTTAGAGCCTAGTACATTATCAGAGTTATGTTTTTTGTTTGCATTCCTACTGCAGGTATTGTGGTCAATGCAAACATGATTCCTTGTAAAAAAAAAAGGTGTCAGTTTTGTTGACAGATAAAAGGGTAAAAAAACAATTATCAGGGCTATACCTCATAAATTAACTTGAACTTGAACCGGTATCATAACAACAAGAACCATGCTCAGTCCACCGCTGCATTAAAGCCTCTCCCACGCCACGTGGCACTGTGTGATCCACGTGGCGTGGCACCCATGCACACGAGCCGACTGCATCGTTCCGTCTCCCCGGTGCACGTGCTTAGCATTGACCTTGTGTGTGTTGTGTGTGTGTTCATCTCACGCTCTCTGAAATTGCGGCCAAAGAGAATGAAACAACCAAACGTGTGCCCCGTTACTAACCAGTACGCATCTGGTCACCTCAAGTTCATTTCAAGTTCATTTATGTATAGCCCTGTGAGCCATTCGGCTCTTGAATCGGGTGCAACCGCAACAAACAAAAAACATGAACAAGAAAACATCTTAAAGTGAATATGTGACTAAGTGCAAACAGAAAATCCAAGAAAAAACTGCAAAATATTGCAGAAAAAACACCGTACACCAACGCTGTGTGCACAAATCCCAGTGGGATGCAAGTCAAACAACAACAACAACCACAAGACAACTTAGATTAAGGCCATCAGTCTAACTCCGTACTACAACAAACAAACATGGCCATACCAAAACACTTTTCGAAATCACCAAAATAAAGCCATCAAAGCAATGTAACAGTGATCATGGGAACTGTGACCGAATTTTCACAATAAACGACATTAACAACATGTACTACCAAAACCCTGCAGCCATAGGTAGGCCTCGGCAAGGTAAAAGTTAAAAGGTAAAAACAACGAGACTACCTTTACCTTACCACAATACAATCACTCTACCCTACCTTTTACCCTTTAGCAGGTAAGGTTAAAGGTAATAGGTAAAAAGCAACGAGCCTACCTTTTACCCTACCATTTACCCTTACCCCATAAAAATTACCCGATTACATGGTAATTACTAGGGAACTACACATGAACAAGGTTTATACCGGTAAATGCTACAAGGTAGAGTGCTTTAATCATATAGAATACTCTCGATGATTCCAATTTTACACGCTTGTCGTCGTTGTTGTCATCGTTGTTCCCTCAAATCTTGTAACTAAAATTTTACCCACTTCCTAATGTGGTATCGACTGCAAACTTGGTATACTTATGTCATACTGATGACAACACTATATTCTATCATTAAAAATATATATATTTTTAAACATTCTTTTGTAAATGTTATGTTTCGGCTTGGGTCTAATTGTCCACGCTCAACTGACGTTGGCTGTAAATCACCACGGTTTCTTACATTATGGCAAGCTTCAGGGCCACTTCCTGGAGTCGTGGAGTTCTGCCATTACGAGTACATTTAATAAAAGCGTGTTTTTAAATAAAGTTTGTTTTAATATTACTTATTAAATGGAGGCCACGGACTGCCCCACGGAGCTTCTAGCGGTAAACAAGGCACCGTATTTACCGGGTAATACTTCGCGCTTCCTTTACCCTACCAGGTAATTCTTCCGAGCTACCTTTACCCTATCCTTTACCTTACCCCTTGGCATGTCGACACCTTTACCCTTTTACCCGGTAAAAAGGTTAAATTACCTTACCTTGCCGAGACCTAGCCATAGGTGGCTGCACACACGCATCTACTGCAATATAAGACCCCCCCCCCCCCGCTCCACACTTTTACTTTAAAACACGGGGTGGTCATTGCGTCTTATAATCTGGGGAATATGACAACGCACACTTCGGCCATGGGGCAGCATAGATTTCATACTCAGTGGTCGAGAAATCCGTATACCTTTTAACATGTACGAGTTCAACTCATGATGTTAAGACTTGGGTCTAAGAACTTCCCGCCCGCCTGCCCGCCCACCCCTGCACAACACAATTGAATGTGTGCGTGTGTTTGTGTTTCGTCAGTGTGGCTGGCTGGTTGCCTGCTTCGCCTGCCCTCCTTGCCCAGGTATACACCCATTGCTGCTGCTGCTGCTACTGCCTCGATCTGCTGGAAATGTCTGCAGAGGGCTCCCACCATGGGGACAGCGACGGGAAGGAGGACGCAGCCGAGACGAGGAGAGACACAGAGCCCACGTGTTTGTTCTGCAAGATAGCCAATGGACAGCAGGAGGATTGCGAGCTCGTGTACCAGGTGTGTGTTGGTTGTACGTAGGTGTGGCGTGCCACGGTGGCGAGATGTTCATCTGCCTCGCCTGGTGTGCAGGAGGTCCGACGGTTCGATCCCCGACCCTGCTGACGCCTGTATATTTGGAGTGTGTGTGTCTCTCTCCTCGTGGTCACGTGGATTTTTCTCCAGGTCCTCCGGCTTTTTCCCTCCACATTTAGAAACATGCGCTGAGGGTATTTGACTTCTCCGTTGAGCTATCATTGGTGGCCAGGTCGCTTCTGAAAAAGCTATAGAGCTCAGTGGACCCTGCCTGGTAAAATAAACATTATTTAAAGTTTAGTTTAAGCAAGCGGTGGTGAGCGTACTGCGCTACGAACCCGGCGACCCGTGTTCCACCTCCCACTCGCGGCCAACATCGGTGACGAATATCTGAACTGGACTTGGGGCCCCCCATACTAGGTCGACTCAACCTTAAATGAGTACCTAGTGCAGTGTGTAAACATCGGCACTGGGGAGACAAAGGTGGCCAGCTGGGTTGCGGTGTTGGCCACCCACGCTCCGGTGTGCCATGCCGGCCTTAGCCGGTGCTTGCTAAGAGCACTCGCTCTTGTGGCCTATTGGACTACACAACGGGGAGAGAGGGGCTCTGCGCACTAAACACTGTTAGCAAGTGATACGTGACACAGACTGACCAGCATGGTGAGGTCACGCAACCCTCGTAATGAACATGATGTGGAGAGGCCTTCATTGAGCAGTGGATTGTTACATAACTGAAGAATGTTTTGTGTTGACCCCCAAAGGGGGGGTCATTAAAATCGAATATATCCCACAATCTGTGGGCTAAGTGCAACTAGGTGGATGAACGTAAGTCGGGTCTAGGGGAGTGCACACTGTCTTATAGTGGGAGGAAGGATGAAAAACGGGTAGGAGTGAGTTTTTTTTCCCATTAGCAACGGGGATAGCAAAGTGCATCACCAAATGTGCACAAGTGGATGAGCACATTATTTTAGCCAGACAACGATTTAGACGTTGCAATGTGTCAGGAGAGGAAGCATACGAATCCACTGAGACATCCGAGGAGGATATCAAAGAGCAGTTTAACAATAGTTGACAGGCCGTTTTGGGCATGATGCCCAAGCGTGATGTTCTCCGACGACTAGGGGACTATGAAGCCCATGTAAGTGCCCACTATGATGAGTGGTACACGTACCATGTCATTCGGAACGTCTGCTCTACGCCAGTGTTCTTCATTGCCAGGCGGCCCTTGGTGGCCTTTAGTGCGGTCGCTGACGTGCGACCCCCGACAATACACACATGTAAAAGCAGGTGGTGAGGCGGTCCTCACACTGACGTCTTATCGGCCAAAGTGGACCCCCCCCCCCACCTTTTGAAAATCATTGAAGAACACTGCTCTACGCAAACCAAGTTGCCATCGTGGCCCACAGTAAACGCACTGCTGTGACAAACATCAGCAAATGGTTGCCCTCGGATCTTGCGAGCGTGTCCATGGCCTTAACGGAGCCCCGTGCGTCATTTCAGGATGAGCATCTATCGTCATTCCGAGACATCCACCCCGGGGCTCCGCACCACTACCTGGTGGTTCCGCGCGACCACGTGGGGAACTGCAAGTCTCTACGGAGGCGCCACGTGGCGCTGGGTGAGTTCGCCGGCTGCGAAGGTGGCAGTTGCTTGGAGGCGGATCTAGAAACTCAAGTTTTTTTTAAATAGGGCCCTATGTTAATAAACAAAACTGTTACGGGTCATAATTTATATTTGTTGGGTCAGACTACGTGAGTACAGTGCCAATGTGTGTCGTACTCCCTCCTCCGCACGACGCAATCGAATCAATAATGTTGTCACGTGAAGAAACGTGCCAATTGTATTGCTTCAGCACACTGGTATGTCGAAGAGCGGTCCAAGTCATTTAACAATTTGACGAAACATTTCACTGATAGTTAAAACCGACATTGTCGGGCGGTTGTCAGAATTGAACTCCTGTCGTGAAAATTGTCCTGCAATGCTGGGCTTTAAATAGGTAACATGACATAAGCACACCAACACAGATGAGCAGGAAGTAATACCCGAGATGAATGTATCCACATACATTACACATACATTGCGTGAGATTACAATAAAGTATGTTAGATATGTTAACATGAAGGCACATATAATTACGTGACGATTAAGGTTAGAATGATCGTAAGGATTCTGTGATGTTATCATGTTGTCTTAGTTATAATTTTTGTAAATACAGTCTTGTTGCATACTTTATTGTAGTAGAATGCAATGTTTTATAATTTGTGTGAAGTTATTTACCAGGTATTAAATCCTGATACTACCTTCTCACTTGTGTGGGTGTGCTGATGATGCCACGCCACTAATTTGAGGCCTAGGAGTGTGGGACATTTTAACCACAGGAATTCAAGTCTGGCAATCGCCTGGTGATGCTGGTTGTAATCACCAGTGGAACGTCGCTAACTCAAATTGCAAATGCTGTGGGTTTACTCTCCAGTACACGGGTGTGCTGTGTCCGCTGGAGGTGGGTTCAACGACACATTGATATTTACGCGATCTAACGCAAAAAAATCCCATACGTGTTAACATTTAATCTGTTTTCTCTGGTTAATATCAATACGGTACAATACCAATTGTTGGGGTCTCAAGGGGGTGGCGATTGCCTCCATTCCCCACTGGATCCTCCACCGGGGTTGTTGGCGTGGGGTAGGGATGTGGGCCTCACGCCAATTGGCGTAGACATAGCTGGAGTACTTGTGACACTGGCTGCCTTCCACATCCTATCGTGTTCCCCCACCACTGCAGGTACTAACGTCCACGGGCCAGATAAGGCATTTCACTATGTCTACCGGGAGCAGCAAAAACTGTAGTTACACTGGTTCACGTGGCTGACAAAATCTATGAGATAACATGTCAGTGATTTTTCGATTTAAAGCTTTCGTGACTGCAGGGATTCATCTTTTTGGTTCTTTCGGTAAAGTCACGTAGAAGGTAAATAATAAAATAATAAAAATAAAACATAAAATAATTCTCACGACGTTTCGGCCACAACGCAAGCAGCCGTCCTCAGGTAAAGAACAGGTCTGTCGGAAAGACAGTGTCTGAATGAGTACCCCCCTCATTCAGACACTCTCCCTTCTACGTGACTTTACCGAAAGAACCAAGAAGATGTCAGTGATTCTGTGAATTTGTGTGCGATTTTGGGGGGGTGGGGGGTGGCAGAGTGATTAGCGCACTGCACTGTGATCTATGAGTTCGAATCTCGGCCACAGCTCACTACGTGATTGACAAGCTATATGTGAGTCAGTCCTGGGCACTGTACGCAGAACTGGAGTGTGGCTGAACTCGGGTGTTTTAAATGGCAAGCAACATGTCGATTAAGGATTGAGGCTTGATTACGTTTTATGCTCGCTGTGATTAGAAACTGCTTCAATCTGTACATGTTTTTGCCTGCAATCAATCACCTGCAATGCACCTGATCTCTACATCTCTCAAGCCAAGCACGGTTGAGCCTGGACAGTGCTTGTTTGGGCAACATTCCTGCATGGCAAGTGCTGTAGGCTGCAGCAGGGCTAAGATGTGGACATTCGAGAGAAGTGCAGCAAAATACATTGTTGTACCATACTTCTATGCTCTCGCATCTGTGTTTCTCTGCATTCGCAAACCCGCGGTGAGCAGCGCGGTGAAGCATAGTCAAAATACCCCCATTATCCACGGCATGGGATTCTACATAGCTAATCATCGTTCCCGACTGGCACACCAATGGCCATTTGCAGGCCAGCTACTGAGCCTCCTTGTGCCCGCGGGGAGAGCGGCCGCTGGGGGGGGGGGGTACCCTTCGAATGTTTCAGATGAGCTGTGAGATAAAACGGCACTCTGAAACGCTGCCCCCTGCCCCCCTCCGTGGATGTGTGTTCTTGTAAGGCGAATGTTCTGCCGCCATGGCTGACAGTGTCTCGCGTGTCTGACTTCCCGTTGCCAGTGAACGAGATGGTTCGTGTTGGAAAAGAAGTCCTGCAGCGACAGGGCGTGAGCGACCTGTCTGACATCAGGCAAGCGTGACGCGGCCGCCCGCTCTTGCGATCTAACACCGCAAACGTGATGCTGAGAACTGTGTTTGCTATGAAGAAAGGCCATTGCTCGAAATGTCACCCATAATGTATATTTTTTGTTCTATTTAGCGCCACAACATTATCGACGAATGTGTTGAATTTTTGTTTTGTTATTTGTGCCGGTCGTGCACCACTGCCAACGCAGCAGCATCACCAAATAATATCTCTGACAAATTCGATTGCAGGAAAATAATTAAGTGTTTCCTTTGTTATCCTTCGAACGTTGTTCATGAATAGAGTGTGGCGATAATCGCCGGCCCGCACAGTCAGAAATCCAACCCTAAGTGTTCCGCCGCAGTTCCTACGGATTGGGTTTCCTCTCCAAAAGGTTGTACGTGTCGTCTCATCAGAAGCGGACGCTTAGTTGCCCTTCTCCAGAACAGGGAGACACAAATCCTCTGTGCACCGGTGCCGGATTAAGCTAGTGCGGGGCCTGTATGACATGTTATAAAGGGGCCCCAAATAAAAAAAAACACAAATATTAAAGCACAATTTTTTTACTTGCATAGTAAAGTAATTGTATTTTTTCATTCGCTATTCAGCCACATAATACGACAAATCGCTAACCTTAAACACCCAGTCGTTCATAAAAGTTGAAGGCAGTATAGTACTATAGTAATAGAGTAAGTGCAGAATCACTGAACCGGAATTGATAGCTTGAAAGCATTTAGCGTGGGGCCTTGAAAGTGTGGGGCCCGTAGCATTTGTAGCTACTTTTGCTACTCGGATAATCCGGCACTGCTGTGCACAGTATATACATCTCTATAGGCCGAGGCCACCAGCTCGCTTTAATAATTATAATGACATCTATGGCGCTGTAGCATAAGCTATTACCAGGGCACCTGTAATGGCTTTCAATCTTGATATCTTATTATCAAGGGTGAGATGATGACTGTGCGTTAAAAAAATAAACTCATTCAGGTGACAAAATTAAGAAATATGTTATTGACAGAAGAAAATCCCCTAGGGGAGACATTAGAGCCAGGAGCGGACCCACACGGAGTGTGTCCAATGTTGCTGTTGTTGCTGTTGCTTATGTTTTTGCTGTGAGGGACGACACACATGAGCGGACGTGTGTGCGCGCAAGGCAGGCTGGGATTCCACTGGCCGCCCTTCTCTTCCGTGACTCATCTGCACCTCCACGTGCTCGCCCCGGCCAGCCAAATAGGCTTCTTGCGGCTCGCCTACAGGCTCAACACCTGGTGGTTTGTCACGGTGCGTCCGAGAGCTACCAAGTGGGGACCGAATCCAGATCAGAGGTCGCAAACGGGTTTTGATTCCTTACCCGTACCCGGCCGCACCAGGGTCGCAAATGGGTACCCGTACCCGGCCGTACCCGTACCCTACCCGTACCCGGCCGGGTACGGGTAGGGTACGGGTATCGGGTACCTGATTGCGACCTCTGGGATGAAGCCATGTTGCAGGCGCGGGTGGGTTGATTCTAGGAACTTGAATTGTGAGAAGAGACAAGACGTTGGGAAATGAGTGACAAACAGTTACTCACCAGTGACTCACGGTCTACCCGTACCCGTACCCGGCCGCACCAGGGTCGCAAACGGGTACCCGTACCCGGCCGGGTACGGGTAGCCGGGTATCGGGTAGTGTACAGGTATCGGGTACCCGGTTGCGACCTCTGATCCAGTTGGGGCGATTTGGACACACCAATACCCGCCATTCGCCACTAAGTGACGGTGATGTCACCACGGCATCCATGCCAGGCTAGATTTGGACATAGATTTAGACATAGCCCTGGTCCCAGAGGTTGAGTAACTTTTGACAAGGGTATCGTTAAAAAAGGAATTTCAAATTAGAGGAGTAAGTGGCAGGTGTCCGGGTGCCAGGGTGGCATTACAGGACCGTGAGGCATTGTGATGGCATGGGGAGGCCTTCAATCATCAGTGGGTAGATAGTGATTCGAGGACGATAATGATAAAAGGTGTTGCACATGCATAAAGTTGCCACAATGGTCCACTCCTATGCTCATTAGACGGTGGCTGTAGGCGGCGCATGGTTCAACTGGCCGACATGGAATAACGTTCCATGGCTGAATAAACACGATGACTTAGGCATGGGAACATAAGGGGGACGGCTTCCACCCTCAACTCTTAAACCAAAGGAATTGCAATTGCTGAGCCCTCTCAAAAGCCTTCGTGGGCCACCTTGGCTCCAAGTTGTTCCCACGTGTCTGGGAACAACTGCTTTTTGTTCCAATATTGCGCTGAATGCAGCGGCTACCATGTTGCTCCTGGGGGCCGCTTGAACCCATTACGGGCAACATATACAGATCGTAAGTCAGTTCTTACTCGCGTGATTTTGATGCGTAGATCGTCAGCTTAATGATTTATTTTAACCCATGGTTCTCCTTTTTGTATAGAGGATCGGTTAAATAGTTGCCACTTTATTGATCATAGAGAGGCATAGGTTGTTTATGTAACCTTTATATTACTCTTTAGTCTTTGTAACACAAGTTCACGTGTTACTATATTAATGGGAAGCTGTGGGGTAACGATTCGCACACCGGACTTGCAATCCAGAGTTCGCCAGTTCGTAGGGCACGTTTCTCAAATCCCACCCAGGCCACCGTCTCTGTCCATGGGGCAGTATAAATGGGCACACACCAGAGTTCGTCAATCGGCAGGTTTCGTGTGTGGTGGGGTAAAGCGTGGGGACTCCCACATCTTGCGTCTAAGACGTCGGGCCATCATGGAAGAGTCGGTCAAATACCGTCTAAGAGGCGCTCTCGTGAGTTACGTCTATTGGAGGACCCCCTCCATCAGTGAGTGGTGTGAGCACACAATTGCAGGGCTGCACCTATGGGCAGGTTTTTTTTTTATACTGGTAGGAACCTCCTGGTTACACCAGCCCACAGGGGATTATTGTGTCCGTCCGTCGTGCATCCAAAAATGGTAGGGGTGGGGCTGGGTGGAGAGGGGAGGGTGGGGAGGGGCTAGGTGGGGAGGGGCTGGTCACCCCGTGGTGCCCTTATAAAACTCAACGTTTAACCTACTCACGCCGGCTTGTGTCCGCCCTCACAGTCGGGCATATTTGTGGAATACACCACGCCGCCGTTGACCCTGGCCATTGACCGAGCAACCCAACGTTCCTACCAGCTCCCTCCGCAGGAATGTGTTTTAAAAAGCATCATGTGTTTTAAAAAGCATCTTTAGACACTTGTGAACAAAGAGAGTGTCAATTTTAAAATACATATGGCTCTACGCACTTCACTGACCTCGCTGCGCGTGTGTATTCCTCAGTCTGATCAGTTGATCAAGATACTTGAAGCCTTTCCAGAGGAGTCGGCAGAGGAAGGAAGCAAGGCCCACTGAGCTCATCACTTGTGTACAATCCACGCGCGGTGATTACATACATTTAAAGCTAATTCGCTTGGATATATGGAGCTTGTTTCCACACTGCTGCTGGCTGAAGGACATGTGCTGATCATTAATTATTGCTGCTCTTTGGTGAATTAACATTGTTTTCTGTCGATTGTAAACTCTCGCATTAAATGTAATATCGGCGATGTGCCTACCCAAGCGTTTGTCATTCCCAGGTGTTTAACAGAATTGAGGAAGTGGTTGCATGATATATATATACACACAGGCGTCCCTGGCATTACGCGCGGCACGCATTCCCGAAAAACGGCGCGTAATTCGAATCGCGCTGTATGAAGCCTATTTCCCCAAAGACATACATGTTATACAGGGGGGTACGGTACCGAATACAAAATCGAGTATCATTTCATTATATTAGCCCTGGATTTACAAAACACGTATAAATGTAATACTTAATAACTATATTAACATTACAAAGTTACTTAATACGGAGTTTAATAACAAATAATTTAAATTAAATATATTAGTACTCAGAAAGATTACCCTTCTTGAATGCTTCCGTGGGCTGCTTGAAGCAGCAACACGCATGCAAAGGCAGATCTAAGATGTTACTCCCAGCCCGTGACGCTGGGTGCTGCCATGGCTGCTATAATTTTTATCATTTCAAATGTAGTTTAAAAAAAACTTTACAATGTTTTTTTTGCAACGTGTAACTGAAACACATAGCGTAAGTGTGACGTATGTCCCTAGAATATGAATGAATTGTGTAACAGCGAATTCACGCTTTGGGGGGGGCGGGAGAGCGTTACGTAAGATGCCTTCACTGTATATGGAATGGATTTTGCACATATCTGGTGTTGTAAACTCTACATGCGATCGTGCAGTTATGGTTGATAATGTTGCTAGGCATGAGTAATATCTGGTGTTGTAAACTCAACATGCAATCGTGGAATTATGGTTGGTAGTGTCGCTAGGCATGAGTAATCCTAAACACACGCTTCGGGCTCCAAGCAGCTCACGAGGGCTGGGATTCCTTAAAAAATAGGGTTTAACTATTATCAGCTTTTATGCAAATCCTAATCAATCTAAACATCGAAATAACATAAAACTCTCATTTAGTCTGCATCTCTCTACTGTCATCTAACTCCATTTGTATATCTTGTCGACAACCCTCATTTCACTGCATCTGTCTCATCTGTATTTAGCATCATCTTTTCTGTCATCTCTTTTAGTTTATGAATCAAAAGGGGAGTTGGGGTGGCGGGGTCAAACATATTTTTGCTTAGGGCCCCCCCAAATGGGCATCACCGCGGGTCAGAGGTGGCAAACGGGTTTTGATTCCTTACCCGTACCCGGCCGCATCAGGGTCGCAAATGGGTACCCGTACCCGTACCCAGCCGGGTACGGGTACCCGTTCCCTACCCGTACCCGTACCCTACCCGAAATGAGTGACAAACGGTTACTCACCAGTGACTCACGGCCTACCCGTATCCGTACCCGGCCGCACCAGGGTCGCAAACGGCTACCCGTACCCATACCTGTACCCGGCCGCACCAGGGTCGCAAACGGCTAACCGTACCCGGCCGGGTACGGGTAGCCGGGTATCGGATAGGATACGGGTATCGGGTACCCGGTTGCGACCTCTGCCGCTGGTACCGCTGGTCATGGTGCGACACTTCAGGCCGGTGGGTCCCAATATTTCTTGACCCGTGCGGACCGGCCGGTGTTGGGAACCACTGCTCTAAGCTATGCCTGAAACAAAGCGATATATAATTCACGTTGACACGATTTCCCTTAATAACAAAGGTGCGAACTCGATACAGCAGGAGCGTCTCATCCGCAAAAGAGTGGAATCAAGTGCAGCAGTTATATTCAAGTTACGGGGGCCAGATTCACATCTTGTTGAAGCGGACACAGCACATTGTTGGCGATGCACACACACACACACACAGGTGAATCTGTACCACCACGCGGCGGCTGCCCGCCACGCATATTAAGTACAGTCCGTATCCTTGGCCGGATTATTCGGGCTGTGGATTAACATTGGTCAATCCGCATCCATCGGTGGTTTCATTAATAGCTGCTCTTCTTCACTCAGTCGTCGTGGGTCAGTCACTCAGTGGCCACATGATCGGGAAACGTCGGAAAGTCAACTGTTGAAATAAATATTCTTGGTTCTTTCGGTAAAGTCACGTAGAAGGGAAATGATAAAATAATACAAATATGAAACGATAAAAATTCTCACGACGTTTCGACTGCAACACAAGCCATCATCATCAGGTGTGAAATCCACAGCAAGAAAATTTTCCACAGCAAGAAAATTTTCTTGCTGTGGATTTCACACCTGATGATGATGGCTTGTGTTGCAGTCGAAACGTCGTGAGAATTTTTATTTTTATATTTGTATTAAGCCATCATCATCAATCCACAGCAAGAAAACTTTCTTGCTGTGGATTGATGATGATGGCTTGTGTTGCAGTTGAAACGTCGTGAGAATTTTTATTGTTTTATATTTGTATTATTTTATTATTTCCCTTCTACGTGACTTTACTGAAAGAACCAAGAATATGAATCCCTGCAGTCACGAAAGCTTTAAATCAAAGTTTGCTGAAATAAAGTTATATTTTTGCAAATGTCAATATGTTCAGGAGCTAAAATAAGTTGATGGATTTTCTGCTATACCCCCCCCCCCCCCCCATTTTATCCAGACCCTTCCCTCTTCACCCCACTACTCTGGATGATCTAAAGTTGGATCATTTCACAATTTTATTAGTGTTGATTATAACCCAGTGGTGGAAATGCCACGTTCTTATGACAGGGCCCGAGAGGTCATGCTCTATGAACCAGGCAACCTGAACGACTAACATCGGTGGAGAGTGGTATCTGGAACAAGTTCAAGTTCATTGATTAGGTATAGCCTTGTGAGCCATTCGGCTCTTCGGGTGCAACCGCAACCAAAAAAAACATGAACAAAAATCATCTTAAAGTGAATATGTGACTAAGTGCAAACGGAAAATCCAGGAAAAGACAGCAAAATATTGCAGAAAAAAACACCATACACCAGTCCTGGGCACACACACACACACCACCCCCCCCAGACCACCACTTAACCAACCAGGGTGGTGAAGTATGGTTAAACAACTCTCCTGGCTGACCAGGCGTGGCCAGGGAGGTCGTCATCCAGCAGTCGAATGACAAAACGAGCTGTCGACCTCTCTCACACAATACACAAAGTAAGGGCTCTTGTTACATAGGAAACGCGTTGCTGTCACTGGCAACGCACACACATAGGCAAAGATCCCCCGTGTAGCCTTAGCATACTGTCGGGGCAAGTGCTGTTAGCGATGACCTATGAAGGCCGGCACGGCACAGGAGGGGGGGGGGGGGTAGCCAGCAACCACGCCCGGCCGCCTTTGTCTCCCCGGCGGCGATGTTCACGCACCACCTACCGGGTACTCATTTTAGGCTGAGTCGACCTAGGGGAGGCCCAGAAACCCATACATACCCCCCCCACACACACCAATACTGACTGTTGGAGCGAGCTCGTTCAAGGGAACGCCTATTAAATTTATATTCTTAGGTTTTTTCGGTAAAGTCACGTAGGTAAAAAATTTAAATTAATAAAAGTAAAATAAAATAAAAATCACGTTTTGTGTGCTGTACTTGGCCCTTCCCCCCTCTCCAACCATTATATAAACGGAGTGGTAGCTCCTGAAATCTCTCATTTACTTGATACAGCTGTCGTGGCTGTGACGGTTCCACCTGAAGACGGAAGCTTGTGTTGCCTCCGAAACGTCGTGATTTTTATTTTATTTTATTTTTATTTTACTTTTATTAATTTTAATTTTTTACCTACGTGACTTTACCGAAACAACCTAAGAATATGAATCCTTGCAGTCACGAAAGCTTCAAATCTAGAATTAACGCCTATTAAAGTTGAGCAGAAGAAGCACTAGAGTTGACAAAGTTGCCCAAACCACAGCTCCTACACTAGAATCATCAAAGAACACACAGGCAGATTGACAACCATACATACAACAACGATCCCCCGTGTAGCCTGTAGGGGCAAGTGCTGTTAGCGAGCACCTATGGAAACCAGAACGATACACGAAGGGGTGTGTGGCCAGCACCACACCCGACCGCCTTTGTCTCCCCAGTGGCGATGTTTACGCATCGCACCAGGAACTCATTTGAGGCTGAGTCGACCTAGGGGAGGCCCGGTCACCCGGGTCACCACCGCTTCACCCACAGAGACACTCACAGAGACAGAGACACCCACAGAGACACGCAGAGACAACAACAACAACCGCCATTCGCCACTAAGTGGCGGTGACGTTACCACGACGCTTGTGCCAGGCCATGTGCACCTTTGAGGCCACGTGAAACGCAGAGACACCCACAGAGACACGCAGAGACACCCACAGAGACACACGCAGAGACACCCGCAGATACACCCACAGAGACACACACAGAGACACCCACAGAGACACGCAGAGACACCCACAGAGACACACACAGAGACACCCGCAGAGACACACGCAGAGACACCCACAGAGACACACAGAGACACCCACCCCGTGTATGTCGCCTGTAAAATGGACTTGTGTAGGTGACAAGTGCTGTTAGCGAGCACCTATGAAGGCCTTGGCACGGCACACGAGCGGGTGGGTGGCCAGCACCACGCCCGACCGCCTTTGTCTCCCCGGGTCACTCGTTTGAGGCCGAGTCGACCTAGGGGAGAGGCCCAGGGACAGGTTCCGTGAGCGGGAATCGAACCCCGGGGACCTGCCGGGTTCGTCGTTCACTACCGCTCCCCATAGACGCACGAAACACGTGGACATTCACACACACACGCAAGGAACACGTGTGTACACGCACATGTGTAGACTCACTCTCACGCAAGGAACACGTGTGTACACGCACATGTGTAGACTCATACACACGCAAGGAACACGTGTGTACACGCACATGTGTAGACTCACTCACACACACACACGCAAGGAACACGTGTGTACACGCACATGTGTAGACTCACACAAAGCAATGAACACGTGTGTAGAATCACTCACACACACGCAATGAACACGTGTATACACGCACATGTGTAGACTCACACACACACAAGGAACACGTGTGTACACGCACATGTGTAGACTCACACACACATGTGTACTCACACTCACACACGCAAGGAACACGTGTGTACACGCACATGTGTAGACTCACACACACGCAAGGAACACGTGTGTACACGCACATGTGTAGACTCACACACACACGCAAGGAACACGTGTGTACACGCACATGTGTAGACTCATTCACACACACACACGCAAGGAACACGTGTGTACACGCACATATGTAGACTCACACACACGCACATGTGTAGACTCACACTCACACACGCAAGGAACACGTGTGTACACGCACATGTGTAGACTCACTCACACACAAGCAAGGAACACGTGTGTAGACTCACTCACACACACACGCAAGGAACACGTGTGTACACGCACATGTGTAGACTCACACACACGCAAGGAACACGTGTGTACACGCACATGTGTAGACTCACTCACACGCAAGGAACACGTGTGTAGACTCACTCACACACGCAATGAACACGTGTGTACACGCACATGTGTAGACTCACACACAAGCAAGGAACACGTGTGTAGACTCACTCACACGCAATGAACACGTGTGTACACGCACATGTGTAGACTCACACACACACAAAGCCAATGACAGTCAGGTCACGCACCTACCTCTCTCTGGGGGGGGGTGGGCAGTGAGTTGAGTGTTGGACTGACAGACACACAGCGGCCTCGTGAGGAAGTCGCCTTTTGAAGAAGTAAAACGTCGGCGGTGTTTCGTCAACGTCCGGATGATGGGGGGTGGGGAACAGCTGAGCGAGACCAATGCAAAGGGGGAGAGAACCTGAACTCCACCGCTCAATGTAAGGGGGGGGGGGGGGGGAGAGAACCTGAACTCACCACTCAATGCAAAGGGGGAGAGAACCTGAACTCCACCACTCAATGTAGGGGGGGAGGGGAGAGAACCTGAACTCACCACTCAATGCAAGGGGGGGGGGAGAGAACCTGAACTCACCACTCAATGCAAGGGGGGGGGAGAGAACCTGAACTCACCACTCAATGAAAGGGGGGGGGCAGAGAACCTGAACTCACCACTCAATGCAAGGGGGGGGGGAGAGAACCTGAACTCACCACTCAATGCAAGGGGGGGGGGGAGAACCTGAACTCACCACTCAATGCAAGGGGGGGGGGGGAGAACCTGAACTCCACCACTCAATGCAAAGGGGGGGGGGGGAGAGAACCTGAACTCCACCACTCAATGCAAAGGGGGGGGGGAGAGAACCTGAACTCCACCACTCAATGTAGGGGGGGGGGGAGAGAACCTGAACTCACCACTCAATGCAAGGGGGGGGGGGAGAGAACCTGAACTCCACCACTCAATGTAAGGGGGGGGGGGAGAGAACCTGAACTCCACCACTCAATGTAAGGGGGGGGGGGAGAGAACCTGAACTCACCACTCAATGAAAGGGGGGGGGAGAGAGCCTGAACTCCACCACTCAATGCAGGGGGGGGGGGAGAGAACCTGAACTCACCACTCAATGCAAGGGGGGGGGGGGAGAGAACCTGAACTCACCACTCAATGCAAGGGGGGGGGGGAGAGAACCTGAACTCACCACTCAATGAAAGGGGGGGGGGAGAGAACCTGAACTCACCACTCAATGCAAGGGGGGGGGAGAGAACCTGAACTCACCACTCAATGCAAGGGGGGGGGGGAGAACCTGAACTCCACCACTCAATGCAAAGGGGGGGGGGGGAGAGAACCTGAACTCCACCACTCAATGCAAAGGGGGGGGGGGAGAGAACCTGAACTCCACCACTCAATGTAGGGGGGGGGGGAGAGAACCTGAACTCACCACTCAATGCAAGGGGGGGGGGGAGAGAACCTGAACTCCACCACTCAATGCAAGGGGGGGGGAGAACCTGAACTCACCACTCAATGCAAGGGGGGGGGGGAGAGAACCTGAACTCACCACTCAATGCACGGGGGGGGGTGAGGGGAGAGAACCTGAGCTCACCACTCAATGCAAAGGGGGGGGAGAACCTGAACTCACCACTCAATGCAAGGGGGGGGGGAGAGAACCTGAACTCACCACTCAATGCACGGGGGGGGGAGAGAACCTGAACTCCACCACTCAATGCAGGGGGGGGGAGAGAACCTGAACTCCACCACTCAATGCAAGAGGGGGGGGGAGAGAACCTGAACTCACCACTCAATGCAAGAGGGGGGGGAGAGAACCTGAACTCCACCACTCAATGCAAGGGGGGGGGGAGAACCTGAACTCACCACTCAATGCACGGGGGGGGGGAGGGGAGAGAACCTGAACTCACCACTCAATGCACTTGGGCGTCCACGTTGCGCAATGCACGTTGGTTGTGGAGGGGGGTGTGGGGTGACCAGCTCGCGAGCGGTGGTGCAGCGGTTGGCGCCACGCGCTCCAAACCAGCGCCGCCAGAGTTCCATTTCATCTCGAACCGGTCCCAGGTGGGGGGGGGGGGGCTTTCCTCCCCGCCCCCCTAGGTCGACTCAGCCTCAAATGAGTAATTATCCGGTGCGGTGGTGTTTATTCAACATCGCCACTAGAGGGGAAGGGGGGGCACTTGCCCCATCGGTCTGTGAAGGCTACACGGGGGATCTTTGTCTTTGTGGAGGAGGGTGTGTGTGGGTGGGGGGCAATGGGAAATCCCAACCACGTGACGGGCCGCGTCACGTGCAGCGCGAGCGCCTCGTCACGTGACGGCGCGCTCCCCCTGCACCAAGCGCCTGTGTCACGTGACCCGCTGTTCGATTTCTAATTTCATCGCCTCGTGAAATATTGGCGATCGATTTTCAGCAAAGACCGAGCGTTTGAAAGAAAGGCAACGTGTTTATTGCCGTAGCGTAGAGATCGCGAGACAAATCGATACGCCGCTGCAGGTTCTTCGGGGTGCGGGTTTTGGACCCCCGGGCCTCTGCAGCTCGGCCAGGGAGAGGTGAAGGGGAGCCGGCAGGCTTCGCTAGGCGAGGCCGAGGCTTCGGCCTACACGGGCCGCCTCCGGATCTCGGGGAGGAGGGAGTCGAGGGCGAACCATGGTGGACTTCCTCGCCGAGAATAACCTGTGCGGGCAGGCGATCCTACGGGTTGTGTCTCGCGGGAACGCAATCATCGCCGAGCTGCTGAGGCTCGCCGAGTTCGTGCCGCCCGTGTTCCGCCTGCGCGAACGGGCCGAGGTCGCCAAGTACGGGGAGCTCGTCAGCGACTTCTCATACTTCAAGGTGCGGGCGGCGGGCGGCGTGCAGGGGTTTCGGGACTACGGCTCGCCTGGGTCTGGAGTTTAACTCGTTATCCACACGCCTGGGTCCGGTGTTGAACTCGTTATCCACACGCCTGGGTCCGGTGTTGAACTCGTTACTCAGCTCGCCTGGGTCCGGTGTCTAATTGGTTACCACCACACGCCTGGGTTTGGTGTCTAACTCGTTATCCCACACGCCTGGGTCCGGTGTCTAACTCGTTATCCACACGCCTGGGTCCGGTGTTGAACTCCTTACCCAGCTCACCTGGGTCCGGTGTCTAACTCGTTATCCCACACGCCTGGGTCCGGTGTTGAACTCGTTATCCCACACGCCTGGGTCTGGTGTTTAACTCGTTATCCCACACGCCTGGGTCCGGTGTTTAACTCGTTATCCCACACGCCTGGGTCCGGTGTTGAACTCGTTACCCCACACGCCTGGGTCCGGTGTTGAACTCGTTACCCCACACGCCTGGGTCCGGTGTTGAACTCGTTACCCCACACGCCTGGGTCCGGTGTTGAACTCGTTACCCAGCACGTCTGGGTCCGGTGTCTAACTCGTTATCCCACAAGCCTGGATACGGTGTTGAACTCGTTACCCAGCACGCCTGGGTCTGGTGTTTAACTCGTTATCCCACACGCCTGGGTCTGGTGTTTAACTCGTTATCCCACACGCCTGGGTCTGGTGTTTAACTCGTTATCCCACACGTCTGGTCCGGTGTTTAACTCGTTACCCAGTTCGCCTGGGTCTGGTGTTTTAACTCGTTACCCCACACGTCTGGTCCGGTGTTTAACTCGTTACCCCACACGCCTGGGTCCGGTGTTTAACTCGTTACCCAGCTCGGCTGGGTCCGGTGTCTAACTCGTTATCTCACACGCCTGGGACCGGTGTTGAACTCGTTACCCCACACGCCTGGGTCCGGTGTCTAACTCGTTACCCCACTCACCTGGGTTCGGTGTTTAACTCGTTACCCAGCTCGGCTGGGTCCGGTGTCTAACTCGTTACCCAGTTCGCATGTGCCCGGTGTGGAACTCGTTACTCAGCTCGTCTGGGTCCGGTGTTGAACTCGTTACCCCACACGCCTGGGTCCGGTGTTGAACTCGTTACCCCACACGCCTGGGTCCGGTGTTGAACTCGTTACCCCACACGCCTAGGTCCGGAGTTTAACTCGTTACCCAGCTTGCCTGGGTCCGGAGTTTAACTCGTTATCCCACACGCCTGGGACCGGTGTTGAACTCGTTATCCAACTCGCCTGGGTCCGGAGTTTAACTCGTTACCCCACACGTCTGGGTCCGGAGGTTAACCACTCACGCATTAGGACGGCTGGAACTTGTTTAATCAACACACCTTAACCTGGGAGTTTATTCAGGCTGCATGAGCACAACTGGAAATGGTGTGTAACCAGCACAACTGCCTTTGGTGTTCATAATGTACACCTGCCTTTGGTGTTTAACCAGTCATACATTCGCACACATAGTCTCCGGTTTTTCCCTCCACATTTAGAATCAACAGGCGTTTGGAGTATTTGGCTGCTATAAATTTCCACGTGATAAGCCACTAAGTTGACTCATCATTTGTAATAGCCAGGTCGCTTATGAAACATAGCTATTATAGCTCCGTGGGCCTTGTCTGATAAATTATAAAAAAAACTTTCTTTTGTTGTTGTTTAGTTTTTAGTTTAAATGTTAGACTTGGGTCTGAGCTCACTCCTGTTATATATCGGTACCCCTGGGCATCCTCTCATGAATGTCAGCACAGTGGTACATTTGTTTTTGTCATCTGTCAAATGTGGGACATTGGGTCTGGTCGCATACGTAACACAGTGGCACACTTATTTTACTCACATTTGTTACACAGTGGCCAACGTAAAACTTATCTCACTCTTGGCATTCATTGACACGTTTATCTCGTTATGTCATTTACTGCCCCATCCGTGATGTGATTTACTATCAATCGCTTTGTTCCTCATACCACAGACCAGCGAGCTGTTGGATAGCCGAATAGATGCCAAACCTGAGCTGCAAGACCTGGACGAGGAGATACGAGAGAATTACATCGAAATCCTCACACGCTTCTACTTGGCCTTTGAGAGTGTGCACAAGTACATTGTGGATCTCAACAGGTACTCGCATTACGATGACATGACCTAGCCAGTGGTAGCGCGTTCGCTGCTTGTTGCAAAGGTTTTTGGTGTGAATTCAGCGGCAGCCCTGAATGACGCTGCGGGTGTATGTATGTTGAACCTATTTCGCACTGTATGGAGCCAACTGCTAATCGGGGGTAGGACAAGAAGAATAATTAACTTGTTGAATCATCAAAATACAGGTGGTCTACTTGACAGTGGACGTTAAAGATCCCATGGTGTCAAAATCCAAGTTTATTAAATTAGAAAATTTTCCTGCAAATTACTCGGTTGAAATATATACATGTGTCCATCGATTTTAAGAACATTCGGTTTATGAAATGTAGCATTTACGCAATTGCAAATTATTGGCACTTTTCGATTAATTAAATAGAATTTCCACGTGAGAGAAATTTCACACAGCACGCGCCATGAGATCAAACAAGAAGCACCCAGGAGGCTACGCCATCGGTCCGTGACGGTGTCACGGTATCCCAACATTGAATCAGTAATGCCTCTACATTACCTTACCAGTCATTTCGTCAAGCAGATCTTTTGGTGAGTTCACTGAAAAGGTTAATTATTTTGGTTAATTTTTTTAAAAAATCTTTTAATATTCATTTTCTTCACTATTATTTTTGTATTGTGAAAAGTGATATCGGTGTATATGTGTGTTAGGAGTACAGTTGGAATGACTGTCCAAAAAACATCCCTACGTTTTTGCATTAAATTAATGGGAAGAGCCATTACGATTTACGAAATTTCGTTTTACGCATGTTTTTTTGAAGAACGCATTCCTTTCATAAATTTAGGGATACCTGTATGGTGTGTATTATAATCATTGCCCCCTTCTGTGAAAACGTAGCAGAGTCATGAGACTCGGTGAGGTTTCCCTGGATAATAATTACCCATCATATTTACACCACAACCAATAATATTGTGACCTTTAACCATTAGAGCACCGGCTCCAGGCCTTGTTTTCATCACAGTCCAGGTTTCCAGATCCACCAATCTTTTACCAAGCAAATTCAGCTGTGCACTGATGCCAATTTTATTGAGGGCGATATTAGAATGTAAAATGAACATCGATTGATTGATTGAAATGTCTGTGTTTCATCAAAAATTTCCCAGGAACGAACATGTGAAAGTTTGCCATTGGTGCTAATTTTTCATTCCAGATACCTGGAGGATTTATCTGAAGGAGTGTACATTCAGCAAACCCTGGAGAGTGTGCTTCTCAATGAGGATGGAAAGCAACTCATGGTTTGTGTGTTTTACACCAGCATGCATGGCTTTTAGTACTCTGTTATCAGCTTGCGTTCCATGTTATGCACCTGACAGTACAATTGTGCAATGTAGTCACGTGTGTACATAATTCCACTGGTCACTAAAACTCCGTGATCCTAACTTCTATAGTTTACTGTTTTAGGCTCATGAACAATCAATTGTTCATCGATGATAATTGTTTTTTTACCCTTTTATCTGGCAACAAAACTTGACACCTTTTTTACAAGGAGTCATGTTTGCATTGACCACAATACCTGCTGTCGGACTGCAAACAAAAAACACAACTTTGATAATGTATGCACTGTCCTTGAAATTGATTGGTCCACACCCGAGACAGCTTTTCTTAAAGCCTAGTCTCACATGGTGTTGGACCAGATGACGCCAAAAGGCGCACCATTGTTCATCGATCTGCAATATGTGGTCCGAACTTAAATGCACCGGGCTGCCTTGTATCACTGTGTTCCCTCCTAGTTAATCGGGCACAAAGCAAGTAGAGATAATAACATACACAGACAGGGGCATGTTTCCTGCTATTAAAATAAAATTGCTATTTTTGCAAAGCAGGGTTTAGAATCCTCCATTGTTTTGGCCTCATACTCATTTCAACAGCACATGTTTAAGCAGGCAGCGCCTGTCTTTGTGTGTGGTCGGCAGTGTGAGGCACTCTACTTGTACGGAGTGATGTTGCTGGTGATTGATCAGCGGATCGAGGGTGAGGTGCGGGAAAGAATGCTCGTCTCCTACTACAGATACAGGTAAATGCAGTAAAGCACACGTGTCTCATATTGCATCTGCTCGTTTTTATTACAGTTTTCTCTCAATTTAATTGCTTGGGCGGGGGGATAAAAAGCAAAATGCCGATTATCATTATTATACACTGTGTAACACAACTTTTGTTCCTGGATTATGCCTAAAAAGTATGGAAAATGGCTGTTATTTTCCAACCAGGACAGTGATAATTTGAAATGTACCTATTTTCAATGAGAAAAAGGGCGAATTGGTGTCCTTTCATTCACATAAAGTCAGAAAAAACAACATATTAATCAAAATTAACATGTATTTATACTAAAGTAATACAAAAATTACTGCAAAAGATTTAGAAGTGATTTGGTTTTCTAGATTTATAATTATACTTTAAATCACTTTCACGAATCAGCCCCCAAATGTAGTCTCCCATCATGTTCTCGTTATACTGTGCTTGGTAGCGCCGTTCAAAGTTCAGTATATCCTGGTGGAAGCGCTCGCCTTGCTCCTCCGAGTACGCTCCCATGTTCTCCTTTAATTTCTCAAGATGAGCATCAAGGATATGGACTTTGAGGGACATCCTACAGCCCATTGTGCCGTAGTTCTTCACCAGAGTCTCAACCAGCTCCACATAGTTTTCGACCTTGTGATTGCCCAGGAAGCCAGTAACCACTGCGACAAAGCTGTTCCAAGCCACTTTCTCCTTACTAGTGAGCTTCTTGGGGAATTCATTGCACTCCAGAATCTTCTTTATCTGTGGTCTGTCGAAGACACTGGCTTTGACCTTAGGGAAGAAGTCTTGAAGGTACTGGAAGGCTGCCGACTCCTTATCTACAGCTCTGACAAATTGTTTAATAAGGCCCAATTTGATGTGCAGTGGTGGCATCAGAACCTTCCGGGGGTCCACCAGTGGCTCCCACTTGACGTTCCTCCCCACAGAGAACTCTAGTCCCGCCTGTGGTAGTGCGCCTTGGTGTCCCTGCTGTCCCAAAGGCAAAGATAGCAGGGAAACTTGGTAAAACCGCCTTGGAGACCCATCAGGAATGCCACTATTTTGAAGTCTCCGATGACCTCCCAGCCGTACTCATCATACTTCAAGGCATCCAGCAAGGTCATGATGCTGTTGTAATTCTCTTTGAGGTGCACCGAGTGAGCCAGGGGAAGAGACAGGTACTTATTACCATTATTGAACAGCACGTCTTTGAGGTTCCTGGATGAGCTGTCAATGAAGAGGCGCCACTCATTCTGGTTACAGGAGATTCCGATTGCCTCGAACAGACTGATCACATTGTGGCAGAAGCAGAGCCCATCTTGACGGGTGAAGAAGCTGCAACAATGTTGGTGACGCTTCCTCTGATCTGCGACTTGCACACTTTCATCCAACAAGTTCCACTGCTTGAGCCTAGACGTCAAAAGCTCAGCATTGGACTTGGTGAGACCAAGATCTCTGATCAAGTTATTGAGGTCTTCTTTATGGTTGGGGTAGTATGGGTTTCTCTTCTCAGCTCCACCTCTAAAATTGTCATCTGGATCTACAACGTCTTCCTCGCTCTCTGACTTGCTGCTCTCTTCTAAAGACGGCTGCTCTCTCTCCGGAGGAGTGGGTGCGGGAAGCTCATGGCAGTGTGGCACCGGGGCGATGGATGAAGGAAGGTCCGGATACGTGATAGCAGGTGCCTTCTTGCCAGTCAGACGTTTTGAAGGGTCCTACCATGCAGAAGTAGCAGTTGCCTTGAGTGGTCAGTGGGTTCCCGCCAAATTCTTGGGATAGCGAACTTCGTGGCTCTCTTTTCCCCCCTCTGTATCATCCTACAAAAATACATTTATTTCACCCATGACTAATGTGTAAGAGATTCTCGCAACATTTTTCATGTATGATACATTTTTTCAATAACATTGAAAATTGTAAAACATTTTAAATAAAAAACTTTAACAATTAAAAATGTTTTACTTTTGAGGCTTTAAACAATTAAGAAATAACACTTACTACCCAGGAATAAAAAAAAATTGTTACAAAGTGTTATATATTCATTGTGTTTTTTTACACCGAGGGGTTGCTCACGTCAGCCGTTTGGGGCTATGAGTTCAGGAGTGACTTGCATAAACCGGCATGCATGAAAGGAAAACATTTAATGATTTATTCATTGGTCAATTTTTATTTAGAACAAATATGCTAGAACACAAATGTTTTCGGTTATATATGGTGTCACAAGGTCTCATGTTCGCTTTCCAGTAGACATTGCCTCATTGTAATGCCCTGTAGAATTGAAGCGTGTAATAATTCAATCCCCAGCATGTTGATGAATTGGCAGCATTCAGAGGGGGCATGATTCAATAGTCCGTGTTATTGCACTTGTGGTTCATTCAGAATGTGCAGTGGCTGCAAGTTTGCCACAAACACACCGATTACATACAATCCCATATTCATCGTAAATATTTGTTTCTCACACGTGCGATATGTATTTTGAGCTGAAGTGTTTTAATAATTGTATTGCATGGTTACATGCCTTGCAGAAATTGTAAGGTGAGGATTCAAATTGTCAGAGATGCACATATTAAATTGTCCAACCACCCAACACACTGCCAGTGTTCATTCAGTGTTGTCGGTTGTCTTGGAAGCTTTTTGCAATTCTGAGTTAATGTCTGCAAATGGTCTGCTAATATGACATGCTAATGGTGCAAACAAAAGGGCCCATAGATGTATCTGTTCAACCCGAGCCATTTATACGTTGATGCTTGCATTGCCTTTTTTTACACGCTTTTATTTAACTCACTTTGTCTGTTGTATCCTCAAAAAATAAATCTTGCAACTCAGTTTTTACACACTTCTCAATGTGCTATCGACTGCAAACTTGGTATAGGTATGTCATACTGATGACAACACGATATTCTATCTAAAAAAATCCCAAACATATATTTTAAAACTTTTTACACGCTTTTATTTAACCTACTGTATGTGTTGTCATATCAAAAAATCTTGTAACTCAATTTCAACCGTCTTCCCAATGTCGTATCGACTGCTAACTTCGTAGAGGTACGTCATACTGATGACAATACTATATTCTATCATTAAAATAAAAATATATCTTTTTTAAACAATCTTTTTTACGGCTCTAATTGTCCATGCTCAACTCACGTTGGCTGTAAATCACCACGTGGTCCCTTATGTCACGGCAAGCCTCGGGGAGCCACGCCCAGGGGCGGGGGGTGTGGAAGGAGGGGAGGGGCGATGGGGGAAGGGGGCAGGGGGAGGGGCAGCTCGGACAGTACATTTCATTAAAGCGTAGTTTTTAAAAAAACTTATTTTTAGATAATTTATTACTGTTCGCCTTTTGGCGTTCTCTGCTTTAACACTGGTGAGACTAGGCCATAAAGAAGGTTGTCTCTGGTGTAGGCCAATCAGTTTCAAAGACAATGCATATATTATCAGAGCATGTTGGTTTGCATGTTTTTCCACAAGCACGTGTGGTTAATGCAGACTTGATGCCTTGCAAATAGGTATCTGTTTGGTGTTTGAATATCTTAACTCCTGTTTTATTGTCTGAAAGGGTAAGCCTATTCTTATTTTGTTCAACATTTTGATACTGGCAAAAAAGGTTCCACAAATGAAACTGTCATAACGAGACTTTTTGTGAAGTGTTGTGTTCAATTGTGCTCCGCGACTTGTATTACTTATACCCGTGCGAGGCACTATATATTTCAAGTCGTAAACTATTGCAAACCTGAGACTGCAAAGGAGGCGGCTTCGCTGCTGCCGAGCCATTGATTGCTGAGTCGCGTGTCGTTCACGACTCTAGCGGCGCTCGCTCCTCGGCCGACTCGAACATCGATGACGTCTGCAAGCTGTTGCGCAGCACGGGGTTTTCGTCGGCGCCTGGCTCGCGCCGCCCGGTCGGGTACCCCGAGAGCTACTTCCAGCGCGTGCCCGTGAGCGAGACGTTCATCAGCATGCTCATTGGACGCCTGCGCTCCGACGACATCTACAACCAGGCACGATCTGCACGCCCCCACCCCTTCCGCCCACCCCCCACCCCGCGCTAAACCAGCCACAGTTATTCCACTACTGCTTGCTACATGCTGCTGCCACCTGATCCATGGTCAGCTGCCATGTTTAAATCGCTGCTGGATGAAGGCCTCCCCGTACTGTCGCCGCCTCTTGTGATCCTTCGATGTAATAATCCATCGGGTACCTGCATACAATGTGATTTCATCGCTCCATTTTCCTCATCTGATGTCCTCTCGGATGTGTTCCATTCCTTGGCTGCCACTCCATTATTATTATTCTTGACCATTGTCCATCACCTCCGCTAGCAAAGTGTTCTGCCAGATCCAATTTTTTTAAATTAATGGTTTAAATTATGTTCATGAACCTGCATATGTTATCTCATCCATGTTTTCCTCTTTCCGCCTCGCAGTGTAGAAGTATAATAACACGCTTCTTTCGTGGTTGAAACCGAGCGAGCAAAGTTCACTGCTGCAGTACTGATGTCTCTAATAGGCATGCAATGACGTATCCAAAACCCCAAATAATTGGATGAATGTTGCAATGTTGATCATTAATCCACTCGTGCCCGGCGTTTACCGGACCTCGCACCGCTGCGCGCAGGTGTCGGCGTATCCCTTGCCAGAGCATCGGAGCACGGCGCTTGCCACGCAGGCCGCCATGCTCTATGTGCTGCTGTACCTGCAGCCCTCGACGCTGCACACGCAACAGGCCAAGATGCGCGAGATCGTCGACAAGTACTTTCCCGACAACTGGGTGAGCACCGGGCAGCACACGAGCATGAACTCAACCAATGCTTGTGCTCGCTTGGTCGATAAGTTTGTTTAGGTTATATGAGTGCACGGCAATGTGTGTAATAGTCAATTAAGTCGATTACTTTACAGAAGATTTTAGTCGACTTTTTTTGTGTGAATCATTACCCGAGCCACTGTAAAAATGGTGGCTGCCCCCGAAATTCTACCTCTCGAAGGCAGGAAACCCCCTGCAAGCCACCCCCACTGTGCTGCCAGGTGCGTTCCTTTCAGCCTTATTGGGATGGCCACATTATTACTCTCTTCAAATTTGTGGCTTAAAAATACAGCTACACATTTAGCTCTTGCACTGGTGGTCTGGACAAGACTGAGAGCATTGTACATGCAATGTGATGGTCACACCACATGCATGCAAGGCATGTTGTGAGGTTGTGTGTTCCTGCTGTTTGTGAGTCCACCTTTCTGTGTTATTAAGATATGAAGGAGCATTTGCCCGTTTAATGTTTATTTGCACACGTTTCTTTGATAATTCTCCAAAGCGGATGCTCCTCTATTTGACAGTATTGCCAGCTTGTTTGTTTCGAACAAGAGGCCAAATGGAAAGTAGCGAGTCACACTCCTGTCCTCCCCGCAGGTGATCAGCGTGTACATGGGCATGACTGTGAACCTCATGGAGGCCTGGGAGCCATACAAAGCAGCTAAGACTGCACTCAACAACACCCTGGAGCCGGGCAACATTCGCGAGCAGGTGTGTGCCTGGCCTCACCCACAGCCACTCCACTATCGGTAATCAGTCGCGTGCGCTGTCCACTTGGTCATGCTTTATCGTTCACCCGTGATGATTCGCACGCAACACTATCGTACGGGTAGTGCAGATAACAGGGATATGATACTGCTGTGATACTGCTGTGTAATTCAGTTACACGCAACGCTATCGTACGGGTAGTGCAGATAACAGGGATATGATACTGCTGTGATACTGCTGTGTAATTCAGTTACACGCAACGCTATCGTACGGGTAGTGCAGATAACAGGGATATGATACTGCTGTGTAATTTCGTTACACGCAACACTACCGTACGGGTAGTGCAGATAACAGGGATATGATACTGCTGTGTAATTTAGTTACACGCAACACTATCGTATGGGTAGTGCAGATAACAGGGATATGATACTGCTATGATACTGCTGTGTAATTTAGTTACACGCAACGCTATCGTACGGGTAGTGCAGATACCAGGGATATGATACTGCTATGATACTGCTGTGTAATTTAGTTACACGCGAGGGTAATTGTAACCTCTGATTAGCATGGTTGGCTGTGTACGGTGCAAAAGAAATTCAACATGCATACATAACCTGCATTATTTGATTCAAATAGATGTTTACGCTCACGATACAGCATGGCCCAAGAGTCAGTTTCCCGGGATAGAGGCCCATGCGTTCAATTGTGCACGCAAGCATTGAGAAACAATACAAAACACGATTAATTTTGGAGCTTTCGTGACTGCAGGAATTATTCTTTGGTTCGTCACGTATAAAGATTAAATAATAAATTATATAATAGCATACGACGTTTAGATTGCAACACGAGCAATCATCATCCCCCTCTCTGTACCTGTGTTACTCTCTCTATATATCTTGGTGATATCTGTCTGCTTATATGTCTGTCTATAGTTTTCTGGTTAGATTTTTTGTTGCTATTTCTTTTATACCTGATGATGATTGCTTGTGTTGCAATCGAAACGTCGTATGCTATTATTTAATTTATTATTTTATCTTTATACGTGACTTTACAGAAAGAACCAAAGAATACAAAACACGATGGCAAAATTTAGAAACAAACGAATCAAATCGATTTCAAATTGTGAAAATTGAATCGCAGCGTAGGGGTAATATTACATGCTCGATATATACACGAGTATATACACACACACCCACGAGATTGCATTTAACCAGTACTACCTGTCAGTATCTAACGTGTTAATTCTCGTGTTGTGCTTGCCTCTCTTTCTCACTTATCTCTCTCCGTCTCCTCTTCCTCCCCACCTCCTGCTGTTGTAGAGTGACTCATGCAGCCAGCTATGGCTGCAGGGTTTTGGTAGTACATTGGAAAGATGTGATTAACCATGCAAAAAAGATTTAACTACACTTATTTGGCCAATCTTATTTGACAGACAACTATTACAGGTTTACCATGTTTAGTTGTTTTCTCCTTTTCACAGGTTGAGTCACAAACCGTACCTCTCCATAACAAAGGCTCACCCTCTTAAGCCTCACCTTACCATATGAATAAAAAGTGTGCTGTACTTGGCCCTTCCCCCCTCTCCAACCATTATATAAACTGAGTGGTAGCTCCTGCAATCTCTCATTTACTTGATACAGCTGTCGTGGCTGTGACGGGTCCACCTGAAGACGGAAGCTTGTGTTGCCTCCGAAACATCGTGATTTTTATTTTATTTTACTTTTATTAATTTTAATGTTTTACCTACGTGACTTTACCGAAAACAACCTAAGAATATGAATCCTTGCAGTCACAAAAGCTTCAAATCTAGAAGTAGTACATGTTGTTTATGCCATTTATTGTGAAAATTCCGTCACAGTTCCTATGATTGCTTTTTCATTGCTTTCATGGCTTTATTTTGGTGATTTCGAAAAGTGTATTGGTTTAGCCATGTTTGTTGTAGTACAGAGTTAGACTGATGGCCTTAATCTAAGTTGTCTTGTGGTTGTTGTTGTTTGACTTGCATCCCACTGGGATTTGTGCACACAGCGTTGGTGTACGGTGTTTTTTTCTGCAATATTTTGCCGTCTTTTCTTGGATTTTCTGTTTGCACTTAGTCACATATTCACTTGAAGATGTTTTTTTGTTCATGTTTTTGTTTTTTGTTTGTTGCGGTTGCACCCGATTCAAGAGCCGAATGGCTCACAGGGCTATACCTAATAAATGAACTTGAACCTCACACACTCCCGACGTTCCCACCTGCACACCCTGGTCTGGCCACCCCCTCCCTCCCTGCCCCCCCATCTACCACCACTGCCCCCCCCACCACCCACACCAGGCGTGCCGCCACGCACGCAAGCTTGACGGTGTGATGAAGGAGGTGAGGCAGTACCTGACGGAGGGCGTGCTCACGCAGGAGTTCGTCCTCGACTCCATCCCCAAGCTGCTGCACTGCCTGCGCGACTGCAACGTCAGCCTGCGCTGGGCCATGCTGCACGTCGCAGAGTCAGGTCGGAGAGTCGCGATCTTTCGTTTAGGCTGGAGGTGGAATCTGATGAGCCACGAAGCTCTTGTTCACACGTGGCACCCACCGTCGAGAGCGTGCCCACGCGTCGTCGATTCGAAAGCAGAAGGCCGGTCGCCCGAAACGTCAACACGTTTTTTTTTCATTTAGATTGAACACTCATTTATTTAAAAATGTTTTTTGTGTTTAGGTTGTTGTCCTTCCCCCGCCACCTCCGATTATCTTATTATGTTTTATTTTTATTATTTTATTATTTCCCTTCTACGTGACTTTACCGAAAGAAACAAGAATATTCAACATACATATGGTGATAAAAAAATAATTGTTGCTATGCTTATCAACCTGTGCATCGTTGCAAACCTTTTTTGAAGTAACCTTACCTTCACCCATTAAAACTGACTTGCCGGCAGCTGCAATTGTTTTAATTAATGAGAACCCACTTAATAATACTCTTTGGTTCTCTCGGTAAAGTCACGTAGTTAGAAATAAAATAAAACCAATCACGACGTTTCAATCACAACACAATCGAAATGTCGTGATTTGTTTTATTTTATTTATTTTCTACCTACGTGACTTTACCGAAAGAACCAAATAGTATGGATTCCTGCAGTCACGGAAGCTTCAAACTGCTTAATAATGTTAGAATTTTTTTCACTTCATTTAATGAATGTATTAATTATTTGTAACTGATTGTCTATGTTATCATAAGGTATGAATTGAGAATTGGTACAGTGGTACATTTAAAAGGGTTGATAAAATAATTGCACGGTGCATTATTCTTTTGAAATATGCTTTGAGCTTGTTGCACAAAGTTCACGATACATCTGACAGTGTCAGCTGCTGCTATCTGGCTTGAAAAAGTTTTACTTCTGCTAAAACTACAAAAACACGGAACCATATAATGCCTCAAAACAAGCACTTGTGGTCTCGCCCAAAAGCAAACTGAAAATAATATAATCTAGAAATAAGAGTATTTATAAGTCACTTTCACAGCATATGGCATACGAGCGTGAAACTCCAATTAATAAATAAGTAAAAACTTTGTTCCGGATTTTTTTTACACATTTAACCAGTAATGCTTTAATCTAATGTTACTGAAGGTAGAGAGAGGTGCAAGCATGCAACTGATTGCTCACACCACTGCTGCTGGTGGTGGAAATGCCGCCACTAGAGGGCACTATACAGAACCCCTCTAATCTTGATTTGAAGCTTTCGTGACTGCAGGAATCCATACTCTTAGGTTCTTTCGGTAAAGTCATGTGGGTAGAAAATAAAATAAATCACGACGTTTCGGGCGCAACACAAGCGTCCGTCATCAGGTGGGAAAGCATGGTCTGCTGCTGAGGCAGACTGTCTTAAAAGGTTTGAAATGGGTGTAGCCCAAGGGTCATAAAGAAGTGGCTGGGGCTAGTGATGTTAATGTGAGAAATTAGCGTGTACCTGTAAGATAGAAGAGCGGCCTCCTAAACGAGGGCACGGAAGTGGCTCTCTACTAGAAGGCATTTGGCCTATTCTTCCATGCTGGTCAGACATCTTGCAGTATGTGAGATGAGCAATGCTTAATTTAAAAACTGCTAATGGCACCCTGTTATTTTTGACCCTTACATCCTCACCTTTTTTTGTCTCCTGTGTAGCTTACGACTCCAGCAATAAGAGGTCCCGGCAGGTGCGAGAGCAGGTGATGGCTGACTGCAAGTACCGACCGGACACCATGTTCCAGCTGCTGCTCAACACGGCTCAGCTGGAGTTTCAGCTCAAGGAGGTGCTGGCCGCCCAGACAATAAACATCCGCAAGCTCTTATCAATTTGTCTTTGCGCACAACGTCACGTGACCGTCGGATGTGTTGATGCCGATCGTGTGCAGGTCTCTAACATGCTCAGTTGCGCTGTACTGCCAGAGTCCACACCTCCCTTTAGCACGGTTGGCTACGTACGGTGCGACAGCAGTTCAATATACGTACACAGTCCCACACTGATTCATGATGGCAATAAATTACATTATTCCTATAGAACAATGGAAATAACAAAAAAATTGTGAACTTGAAAAAAACAAGTAATATATGAGATTACAATTGTGTTGTAACGGTGCTGTAAGCTGCGTGGTCACCATGCGCTACTGTGGTTTGTATGGTGTGGCGGTGGTGGCGGTTGCCCCAGATGTTCCGGCTGATGCTGGCGGAGAAACAGCTCAAGTGGGAGAGCTTCCGGAGCGAGGCAGCGGAGAGGATGATCGAGATGGCCGAGGTGTTCTCCGGCACCAAGCCGCTCACGCGCGTCGAGAAGAACGGTATCTCGTTCGTTGCCTCCACCGACAGTCGCTATCCAGGGTTTGACGGGTGTGGTCCTTCCATTTGAGCTCCCTTTTAGCTTAAAAAGTTGTACTATTTATTGTAATGTTTCTTTTTTTCCTCTGCCTATCTTATTAACCTTTGCCCTCCAGGCCTCAATTTCTGGTCATTCCTAAGCGGTGTCAACACGAACAAAATACAAACAATTATACATAAAGTATATTTTATCATTAAACATTTATGAACATTAGCCCAAATGGTATGTTCATGTTTGGCTGAAGAACTTGAAGGTTATTTCATATTAACGGTGAAACAGATTTGTGATGATATGGTTAATAACCCAAAATCCAACGACGTTACATACTAGAAATGCGACAGCAATTTTTTTATTCAATCGCAAAATCTGAAAATCAAACCAAGCTACGAAATTTTGAATGATTCAAAAAGATGATTTGTTTGGAGTTGATCTGAAAGTGCGATGTCACAGGAAATGACATCACCTCTATTACCTCGCTTCCATGCTTTTTCCCACCAAGAGTAGTGTCACATGGCATCAGGTGATGTCACTTTTGTTAGCACAAAGACATAATAAATCATTACATACTATAAATGACCCCCAACGTAGAGAATCCAGGAAAAAACTAATCCGAAAGTCCAAATCAGACAATTTTTAAACTGAAACACATTAATATGAGACCGTTGTTTTTTTACAAACCAAACACACAACTGCTTTACGTGGAATAATTACCTACTTCTCTTGTCGCCTGCCCCTCTTCTCTCTCCTGCATCCTGAACTATCGCTTCAGAAAACCTCCAGGCGTGGTTCCGGGAGATGGCCAAGCAGATCTCGTCGCTGGGATCGGAGGATGCCACTGCGGCTGGGCGCAAGACTGTGCAGCTGATTCAGGCGCTGGAGGAGGTCCAGGTGTTCCACCAGCTGGACACCAACATGCAGGTCACTGGCACAGCCTGACCTCCACTGCCAGTTTAGTCGTTGTCATGTGCACTGATGCCTCCTTTGTTGAGGGTGATATTGGCGCATGAAATGAAGACCGATTGATTGATGGAATGGTTGTCCCCTTGCACCAGAGGTCGCAAAAGGGTTTTGATTCCTTACCCGTACCCGTACCCGGCCGCACCAGGGTCGCAAACAGGTACCCGTACCCAGCCGTACCCGTACCCGGCCGGGTACGGGTAGGGTACGGGTATCGGGTGCCCGATTGCGACCTCTGGGATGAAGCCATGTTGCAGGCGCGGGTGGGTTGATTCTAGGAACTTGAATTGTGAGAAGAGACAAGACGTTGGGAAATGAGTGACAAACGGTGACTCACCAGTGATTCGCGGCTCACCCGTACCCGTACCCGGCCGCACCAGGGTCGCAAACAGGTACCGGTACCCGGCCGGGTACGGGTAGCCGGGTATCGGGTAGGGTACGGGTATCCGGTACCCGGTTGCGACCTCTGCCTTGCACGCAAAAATTACCGCTGCGGTGGAGATGGGGCAATGCGATCAGAGTGGCCAGGGTATGTGGCAGGGTAGCACTGCAGTGGTAACACTTGTGCCTCATAGCAAGAAGGGTCTGGGTTAATTTTCTAACTGGGGTGCCATTCTGTCTGGTGTTTGTAGGTTCTTCTCCCTCTGTGCTGGATGGGTTTTCTCTGGATTCCTCCCATCGCCAAAAATACCATGCAATGTTAGCTGGTATTGGCCGAAACATCGCAGTGCTGAAAATTACATACACATTACTCATTTGGGATTGTAGATGATGATGACGATGGTGACAGAGCATTATGATGCATAAGCATCAGGAAGCATGTTTATTGTGCTGCACAGTGACAAAGCAAAGCATTGATTGAAGAGCACTCAGAAACAGCAGCCTCGACTGGTCTAAAAATACAGCGCAGACAAGATATAATCAACAAGGATATGATTGTTCAGAAATGTGAGGAATCTAACCATGTGACCACAAGCGGCCAATCATAAGCCTGCTTCAGTTCGACGATTGAAGTCTGGATTCCAAACCCATTGATTCTTGAATTAAAAGGTTTTCACGATGCAAGTGTGGTTAAGAAATCAGAATGGAGTAAAGCACTATGCAGCAGGAAAAACATGGATTGTATTTCAATATATATGTTTTATGGGTCTGGCTTATAAAGAATGTCCCTTACATATACAGTGGAACCTCGGTATACAACCGCTTTGGAATAAGTCGAATTTGGTATACGTCGTGTTTTTTCGAGAAAAAAATGTCTTGGGATACGACGTGCTTGCTCGAACTTGTATTGGTCGGGATGAGTCACCGCGTACAGTACCCGCGTATGCCCAGTTCACGACTGAAACAAAGCGAGAGGGGCGGGGTGGCGTGGGGGAGAGGGGCGGGGTGGCGTGGGGGACGTGGGGGAGAAGGGCGGGGGGCGTGGGGGAGAAGGGAGGGGGATGTGGGGGAGAGCGGCGGGGGGCGTGGGGCAGAGGTCGCAATCAGGTACCCGATACCCGTACCCTACCCGATATCCTGCTACCCGTACCCGGCCGGGTATCGGGTACGGGTACCCGTTTGCGACCCTGGTGCGGCCGGGTACGGGTAGGCCATGATTCACTGGTGAGTAACCGTTTTTCACTCATTTCCCAACGTCTTGTCTCTTCTCACAATTCAAGTTCCTAGAATCAACCCACCTGCGCCTGAAACATGGCTTCATTCCAGAGGTCGCAATTGGGTACCCGATACCCGTACCCGGCCGGGTATCGGGTACGGGTACCCGTTTGCGACCCTAGTGCGGCCGGGTACGGGTAAGAAATCAAAACCCGTTTGCGACCTCTGGCGTGGGGGAGAGGGGTGGGGGATGTGGGGGTGGGGGATGTGGGGGGGGGACGTGGGGGGCGGTCCCCATAGAGGGTGGAGCCCCGGGTCGAGGCGCGCGCACGTCACGTGACTAGCGCAGCTGGCAGCAGCGCGGTCACGTGGCTTCTGTATGCATTTTAGTAATTAGTGTCTAAATTATTTTATACAACCCCATTAATGTATAATATGCCATATAAAATATCATTTATTTTCCTCTGGAACGGATTATTTCCTTTCCCTTAATTTTCTTATGGGAAAAATTCATTTGGTATCTACGTCATTTTCCGTATAAGTCCTATATTCTGGAACGAATTAACGACATATATCGAGGTTCCACTGTATGACATTAAAAATAGCACTTTCATGGGATTAGCTGGCATGAATTACAAAAGGCCACGATTGTATATTTTTTGTGAGGCTCAAATGTTGGTGACACTTCAGTGACTCCATTGGCTGAATTTCTTTTTTTTACCATCAGACAACAAATGTTGAATTTTTTTAAATAATTATGATAATTGCGTACCAGGCAAAGTCTTACCGAGTCTCATGACTCTTTCAAGAGGGTTCTACATTGGGGTATAAGTCCATTAGCATTAATGCATTATTTGCTGATGGGGCTTTACCAGGGTACCCAGAGAACACCCTCATGTATGAGGCAATAACACTCAGTACTGCCATCCACAATTCGTCACCACATTCTGCAATACGGGCTATATTCAGGCATCCCATCCAAGCGTTTAAAAAGCCGTAACTCTGCTTATCTTCTGAGATTGCGAGAATTTGAGTCGATGTGGTTTTCGGAAATTGTGTGTGTCACATATCTCTTCAACAACTGTTTTTCGCTACGCGTTGGCTGTTGCCAAAGTTGGTAAACACTCCCGACGCTTTTTGTAGGTGTGCCAATTCCTGGCGGACACGCGTCGCTTCCTGCACCAGATGATTCGCACCATCAACATCAAGGAGGAGGTGCTTATCAGCATGCAGATTATCGGCGACCTCTCCTATGCCTGGGAAATCATTGACAGGTGCTCCATGGGGCACGCTGGCTCATTCGCCCACTCGCCCATCTGCTTGCCATGGCCACCGCTGTCACCAGCCGCCCGTTCTACGCTCAGATGTCCACCGCAGTGTGGCCATCATCGATCCTTGATTTAAAATGCAGTGCTGTTACATTTTTAATGAAGATCCTGACTTCGTTAATTGTTGATTGGAATTTGACCCTGGTTAATTGTTAATTAAAAACCCTGCTAGCGCCCGTGTGCTTCTGGATATTTTTTAGTTTGTTTTCCCAACTCGCACAAAACGGTGCTCTCATTTAAAATGGAAAGATTGCTTTTTGTGTTCAGTTATCTTTGGGCTTCTCGGTGTCGGTAACTTCAGCCAGTGAATGTTCAGCTCGCTGGTGCCTTCCATGCTGATTCTGACATGCCCATGGTTTTAAATTTCTCAAAGAGCTTCATTAGAACAATTTGTTTTAGATCTTATTTGTCAAGTAAATTTAATATTTGTTGACATGCATGTGACATCTTTCTGGCACAAACCTGCTACTCAAAGAGCCATCACAAATCATCCGTGACTTAAAATTGACCAAAAATGCCACACAATGAGGAGACAAAATATTTATATTTACATACTATCTAGAGTTGTTTAAAATATAAAAAATAAAAGCAGGCTATGGCTGTGAATTAATTGTTGTATGCCATTGTAAAGAGATTTGCTGTTGAATTGTGACTTGAATGTAGCGATGGGGTTGAGTGTGCGGATTGCTTCGGGGAGGTTGTTCCAGAGGTGTGGTGCTGCAAATGCGAAAGATCTGTCCACCTCCATGGTTTTTATTACTGAGCCATCTTATGTTGCATCCAATCCCTTTGTGTGAGTGTGCATCAAATTTGCACTCCAAAAACAAATGGATGCAACCTCTTAGACACTTGCCAAGACTGTACGAGCTGTCTAACGCTTTTTATTGTTGCAATAGTTAATAAAAAAAAAACTTATTGGAATTTATTTTCTATATTATTTTCAGCTTTCTCCCATAACACTGATTGAAAGCTTTTGAATTTGTTCTTAATCTCTTTGGGAACAGTTCACGCTTGACATCCAAAGAGTGATAAATGTAACATCTCAGCGTCCTTTCAATGAAAGCTGGTTCTCAAAAACTCTACCTTATTCCGAATGTAATCACTGCGTGTCCCCCACGAATGTGTTCTGCTGTAGCTACACTCGCATTATGCAGGAGGGCATCAAGAAGGACCCCTTTATGGTCACGAGGCTTCGAGCCACCTTCCTCAAGGTACTCACACGTGCAGAGACCCATGCTGCTCCGAACACGAGGGCACTGGCACGGCCTATAGCGGCAGCACTTTCCCCACTTGTTGCGGAGGTTTGCGCTTTACAGTGGATTTTAAAGATCCCCGGACGGCTATCACATGACGGCCAGTGTTCAAGTATTTTTATTTTGCCAAACTCGAAAAAACTAACCGCAAATTTCGATTTAAAGCTTTCGTGACTGCAGGGATTCATCTTGGTTCTTTCGGTAAAGTCACGTAGAAGGGAAATAATAAAATAAGAAAAATAAAACATAATAAAATAATTCTCACGACGTTTCGGCCACAACGCAAGCAGCCGTCCTCAGGTGAAGAACAGGTCTGTCGAGAAGACAGAGTCTGAATGACACCCCCAAGGCGCTCTCCCCCCCTCCAACACAGCTTAAATAGACGCTCCAAGCCTGGGGGTGTCATTCAGACTTTGTCTTCTCGACAGACCTGTTCTTCACCTGAGGGCGGCTGCTTGCGTTGTGGCCGAAACGTCGTGAGAATTATTTTATTATGTTTTATTTTTATTATTTTATTTTTTTCCCTTCTACTTGACTTTACCGAAAGAACCAAGAAAAACTAACCTCAAATTGCTCAATTGGGATTATACAGAGCAATCATCGCCCCCCTACTGGCAGACTAATACCTCAGGTCACTCTTGCAAATTAGACTCATCCTTGTCCCTTTAGTTCTCACCTGCTTAAACAAAATAAACTAGGAGCATGATTATATTACCGTCTTTCTGCCATTAATGGTGTCAGGGTGATTACCATGATAAACAGTTTTAAATACAGGGACAAGTAATACAGTGGATATGACCATAGTGATTGTGATGTTTTATTATGTGTTTATGATAATTATTCTAAACACATCAACCATGAAGTCACGTTATGGTTATTATGATGCCATTAAAATGCAGTAGACTCACGATATTGGTCACAGTATTGATCATGTGAATTTAATTGGTGACGGGCTTGTAAAGACACCATTATGTTTGCACGCCTTTTGTTGCTATTTCCATAGCTTGTCGAGAATTAAATTGCTGTTTTAGTGAACTTATGCCTAAAATGTGATTGGTTTATCAAAATAATAACAGAGTTTTTACTTGTCATTCGGAACAAAGTAAGATCAGATCCATTCTGTCTGAACTTATTCCACCAATCCTGGTGTATAGAGAAATGAAGTCCACCCCTTGTTATACATTACTGATGTCCACATTCTGCCCTGCCCTTCATTGTCATTCCCCCTTCGTTGCCCATACCCATTTTCCCTACCAGTTGGCGTCTGCACTGGATCTTCCCCTGCTGAGGATCAACCAGGCCAACAGCCCAGACCTCATGAGTGTGTCCCAGTACTACTCGGGCGAGCTTGTCTCCTACGTACGCAAGGTGCGTCCACGTTCAGCGTTAAGTTGATGCTGATGTCTTAAGCAGGGATGTTTCTGAGTTTTTTTGTCTTTTTGCTTGGACGTATTTCAATTGTGCTATCAATGTAATATCATGAGATGAAATTTCCATTTTTAGCAGCTATTGCAGCCCAGTGCCAACCCCCGTGTGTTAGAGAATAGCTCGCGAAAGCATATTCTCACCAAGCTGCTTGTGAAGTCCCCTATAGTCCATACTTTAGCAAGTGTCCTTACCTGTCAACCTGCTGCAGAGAAGTACAACTGAAATATACTCTTAGTTCTTTCGGTAAAGTCACGTAGGTAAAAAAATTAAAATTAAGATTAAAGTAAGAAAATAAATAAATAAAATAAATAAAAATACTAAAAACTTTTTTTTATTACTTTTTGTTTCACTTTTTTACCTACGTGACTTTACCGAAAGAACTAAGAGTATGAATCCTTGCAGTCACGAAAGCTTCAAATGTAGAAGAAATACAACTGAAATGTAGCCAAATGAATTGAAAATTTTTTTTTTTTTTTTTTTTCTAAAATAATTTTTTATATTTTGTTTTCATCGTGCAGTCACTGGAGACCATCAACTAACTATGCTCGAGGACCTCATTTAATTCCTGGTGAACCTCCCAGATTCGAACCCCCATCCTTACATCCCACTCGACACTTCACGAATCCAGTTGTATTGCATCGCGTAAAATTATTGCAATGTTACGCGATTTGTCTTTCATAAATATCTACAGTACATTTAAAAAACTAAATACAAAATCTAATTTGGTCAATAGATGAATGCATAACACTGCTCGACCGAGCATTCGACAAGGCTAAAACGGGGCATCCTTATCCATGTGTGTGTGTGGTTCTTCCAGGCGATAAGCACACTGTACTTGTATGCTCCTGTTTATTTTTATTCTACGTGCTTATTTGCAGGAACAGTCGTGTGGTGGTTTACGTGCTACGCTAGTATTCTTATTTACGTTTTTATAAGGTGCAGCAGAACCAACAAAGGGCTTCAGAGTTCTATGAAGCTTGCGACCTGAGTTCGATTGCTGCTCGTGCCCAGAATCACAATATGTATTTATCCTGGAGGAATCGGATGAGCTATAAAGCTCAGATGTCCAGTAGGGGCAGGTCAGAACGTTACTACAAACAATACACAAACAAGATAGCGGTACAAAGTATAGGAAAGGTAAATAAATCACTTAAAAACGTACAAATACAACAGCATTTTTTTCTATCTTACCAGGTTAAGCCCCTTGAGCTATTAGCTTTTTTTTAGAAGTGACCTGACCACAAATGATTATCTGAATCCACCCGTCTTGGTCTTTTCATTGATAGAATTGGCCTTAAATGAGCACCTGATGCGGTGTGTAAATATCGTCACAGGGGAGACAAAAGGGAGCCGGGCGTAGGTCTGGCCACACCGCCCTCTTGTGGGATGGGCCAATCTTTTTCCCCAACAGCTTGTATTGCTATCCGGGGGGGGGATCTCTGTGCTTCCCTACAGGTGTTGCAGATAATCCCGGAGACAATGTTTGGCCTCCTGGCCCAGGTGATCCAGCTGCAGACGCACAACATTTTGGAGGTTCCGACGCGTCTCGACAAGGACAAACTGCGCGAGTGCGCACAGCTGGAGGCGCGGTACCAGGTGCGCACGCCCCATGCGTCCGGAGGAATCGCATTCGTGGCCCTTGAATCGTGGCAAATTATCTTATGATGCTGCGTTGGCAGTGGTGCACAAACAACATTTTTAACACGCGCATCGATAACGCTGTGGCCCTGAATGGAAAAGTATATAACAGGCGATGTTTTGGAAAATGGCCCTTCCCCACCACAGCAATGTTTTGTAATGATTTGTGATGGTTCATCAGATCACAGGGGTTGGGTGAATAATTGCCTGCTAGCTCAACAATCGGAGACAACTGTGCTGCTAGATGATTTGAGAAAAAGAAAGACCACAGTTTAATACATCTATATTCTTGGTTCTTTCGGTAAAGTCACGTAGAAGGGAAATAATGAAATAATAAAAATAGAACAGGTGAAGAACAGGGCTGTCGGAAAGACAGCCCTGTTCTTCACCTGAGGACAGCTGCTTGCGTTGTGGCCGAAACGTCCTGAGGATGGCTGTTTGCATTGTGGCCGAAACGTCGTGAGAATTTTATCTTATGTTTTATTTTTATTATTTTATTATTTCCCTTCTACGTGACTTTACCGAAAGCACCAAGAATATGAATCCATGCAGTCACGAAAGCTTTAAATCGAAATTCTATCAAATCTATCACATTTCTTACGGTAGTGCATTTTCCGCTTGTTGCAGAGGTACGTGAGGCGTGAACCATGTCCGGCCATGTTAATACTGCATGGTGCATTAACCATAAACACTGCCTTCTGTTTGACAGTAGACATTAAAGATCCTATGACGTTTTTTGGAAAAGAATAGGGCCATGTGTGCAGGCCCCATGATCCAAATTTGCCACGTTTTAAATATAACCTACAAATAACTAAAGCACTTGCCAGCATCGGAAGCCCCCTTACTGTGCAATCTGTAGACTATAATCCGACGTGGAACACAGGGCCATTTGTGATGGCCTGGTGCTCTAAGAATGGCACGAATTTCGATTTAAAGCTTGCGTGACTGCAGGGATTCATCTTCTTGGTTCTTTCGGTAAAGTCACGTAGAATGGAAATAATAACATAATAAAAATAAAACATAATAAAATAATTCTCACGACGTTTCGGCCACAACGCAAGCAGCCGTCCTCAGGTGGAGAACAGAACCAAGAAGATGAATGGCACGAATACCAAAAGTATTCAAGATTTGATTCATTACATTACATCAGAGTAGGACATGAGAGCTGTTGGCTTGGCCTCGTTGCTCACCCTCCTCCCACTCTCCACCTTGATTGTACTTCCGCTCCCCCGCCAAACTTGAGATGCAGTTGCATTTATATGCTAAACAAGTTACCACTCAATTTAAAGCTTTCGTGACTGCAGGGATTCATCTTCTTGGTTCTTTCGGTAAAGTCACGTAGAAGGGAAGTAATAAAATAATAAAAATAAAACATAATAGTGAGAATTGTTTTATTATGTTTTATTTTTATTATTTTATTACTTCCCTTCTACGTGACTTTACCGAAAGAACCAAGAACAAGTTACCACTGTGAAGGGTCAGTGCCCTTTCAAGGCAATTAGCAGCCTCAAAGAATAGGATTTGACACTGGGGTTATACTGGTAGGAACCACCTGGTTCCACCAGCCCACAGGGGATTATTGTGTCCATCCGTCGTGCATCCAAAAATGGGAGGGGTGGGGCTGGGTGGAGAGGGGAGGGTGGGGAGGGGCTGGGTGGGGAGGGGAGGGTGGAGAGGGGCTGGGTGGGGGGTGGAAGGGGTGGGGCTGGGTGGGGAGGGGCTGGTCACCCCGTGGTGCCCTTATAAAACTCAACGTTTAACCTACTCAAGCCTGCTTGTGCCCGCCCTCACAGTCGGGCATATTTGCGGAATACACCACGCCGCCGTTGACCCTGGCCATTGACCGAGCAACCCAACGTTCCTACCAGCTCCCTCCGCAGCAGGAATGTGTTTAGTATCAACACGATTTAGCGTACAATGAACAGTCTGCTTCCTCATGCCGTCCTTCCAGGTGGCCAAGTCGACGCATGCCATTTCCGTGTTCACCGAAGGCATGTTGATGATGAAAACCACATTGGTGGGCATCATAAAGGTAACTCCAGCTGTGTGGCTTCATGCAAGGATAACACTTGTTCCTCGCTAGAGCTGTTTTCCACTATATAACATGACATTTGCTCATAAGAGGTTCAACTCTGCGTGTTATTTTGTCGCACTAGATTGTTTGATGCTTCTGACGTTTAATTAAGCGCGTGCTTCTAAGATGTGCATTTGCATGTTTCTCTGTACATGTTTTTTTTTTGACAAAGTGGAGGCTACCTTAATGTACTGACTTGCCAGCTTGATGCTAATTGGATCCAGATATTATTTAATTTGCTCGATCCAACATAAAATAACAAAATAACTCGACACAATTGTCAATAACGCTGCCGTAAAAGAAAAAAACTAAATATTATATGTGACATGTCATGCAGTGGCCCTTATTAGCACATCAAACCAAGATCGGTTTGGGAAATGTATAAAGATTATGATTCGGATGAAAAGTAATTATGGCCCTTCACCCGGGAAAGTCTAATTGAGTCTCAAGACCATGTCAGGAGAGTCCTGCATTAAACAAATCACAAAAAGTACCTTGGGCATGCGACTATTAGTGACAACTTGGAGAAATTGCTCATGCAAGGAGTAATTGAAAGGAAATGAGCTCGTGGCTGCCCTGAAACCAGAAGGCCGGATGATTGAGTAAAGAAGCTTACTGGGGAAAAAAAACCCTAGGAGCATTGAATAAGGAATGTATAGACCCGTGAGAACTGGAGACAATCTGCCAGAGGAATCAATGACGGTTGATACCGAATTCCAAACAATGAATTAACCTGCACTATGATGTTTGTCCAAGCCGTGAGTGTTTGGCATGTGGGGAGAAACTGGAATACTTGGATAAAACCCACGCATTTGAGCAATAGTATGCACAGACAGATAAAATACACAGATAGATAGATATGTTGTTAATTTAATAACTTGTGGACTGAACCCATTGCTGCGCTGCCAACACCTGGCCACCTCACAGTTCCACACCATCCAACTTTAAAGTGAACATCTTTCGATGAACAATTGAGCCATACCCCCAATAGGTATCCCTAGCAAGCAAACATCACAAACAATAAACACATTTTTATTTTACCAGGTAAGGCCCATTGAGCCATATAGCTCTTTTTCAGAAGCGATCCGGCCACAAATTGTAGCTCAACGAAATGGTTGTTCACGTGGAAAATTATATCAACCAAATACTCGTAAACGCATATTTATGAATTTGGAGAGAAAAACCGGAGGACCCGGAGAAAAATCCACGCGACCATGGGGAGAACATGTAAACTACAAATATACAGGCGTCAGGGTCGGGATAGAACCCATGACCTCCTGTATAGCAGGCAAGGTAGTTAACATCTTGCCATCAACACATGGTATGTGCAGGTGGTGATCGCCCTCCCAAGTTCTAACCAGGCTTAGCACGACAGAGCTTTGGAGATCTGACGACATCACGCAGATTCAAGACATGAATTGGTCATTGGCGTCCTTCTCACCGAGTGCCGTTTGCCCGGCTGTGCCTCACACACCAGGTGGATCCCAAGCAGCTGCTGGAGGACGGCATCAGGAAGGAGATGGTGAAGCAGGTGGCGGCCGCACTGCACACGGGCCTCACGTTCAACCCCAAGGCCAAGGTGCGTCAAGCCGGAACCTCCTGCCAAACGCGTCGTCGGTCGGGGTTATGTTCACAGATTATAGATTTGCTCGTCTGGCTAAGGCCAGACACTATTTCCCGTGCAGAAATTTAATGAGCTCTGGTGAGCTGCTGACATTGTGCCCAGTGTGTAATTGGCAAATAATAAAAACGGCTCTAAAATTCTGGTGGGGTGGTGACGTGGCCCAGCGATGTTGCAGAGGATCACAGTTCGAATCCAGCGGCCGCCCTGATTATTACTGCAGGTGTAATAACCACTGATTCTATGGGCCATCTGCTTTACATTGGATGTTACGATCCCCTGACCTCATTCCCAAGAGTAGGCCATTGTGTGCCAACTCACGATGGCCTACATCATGGTCCAAAGTGGCTAAATTTGTAAATAACCCCGCAAATTACTCAATTGAGGTTCAATATACAACAATCTTCACGCCTTACTGGTAGACCAATGTCTGTTTGTATGCCAGATGCTGAGTCTCTCCTTGTGCCCACAGGGACAGCTGCCATTGGGGGTGCCCTTTCAAATGTTTAAGATGAGATGTATAACGCTCTGCGACACTTAGAGGGTGCTATATCAAAAACATCTCCATTGATTGAATTAGCCGCTAATGCTGCTGAGTAATGATAATAATTTGCTTCTCTATAATGGTCTGTGCTGTTTTGTGTTTCCGTTACCTCTGTCTTCCGTTGTCTCTGTCCATGGCTTTCTCTCACTCTGACCGACTCCCCGCACTGATCTGTTTGCCCCCTGCCTCCACCAGTCGAGCGAGCTGATGCCCAAACTGCACGACTTGGCCGCTCGCATGGATGGCTTCCGTCGTTCGTTCGAGTACATCCAGGATTACGTGAGCGTGTACGGCCTCAAGATCTGGCAGGAGGAGGTGTCGCGCATCATCAACTACAACGTGGAGCAGGAGTGCAACAGCTTTCTGCGCACCAAGGTCAGGGTTTTAAACGTTGGAAACGTTTACCCGAGGCAGCTCGATCGACTCGCAATCGAGAGGGCGTGAGTCGAATTCCGTGTCGGGGTCATGGAATGACCCGACTCGAGTGATCGCTAGTACATTTTTTATTTACCAGGTCAGGCCCACTGAACTATATATTGCTCTTTTTCAGAAGCGACCTGGCCACAAATGATAGCTCAACAAAGTGGCTGTTCTATTGAAAGTGTATCGCGGCCAAATTAAACGCATGTTTCTAAATGTAGAGGGGAAAAATCGGAGGACCCGGAGAAAAATCCACGCGATCACAGGGAGAACATGCAAACTCTAAATATACAGGTGTTGGGGTTGGGATTGAACTCACGACCTCCTGTATACCAGGCGAGGAAGTCAACATCTCGCCACTAATCCGGTGTTGATAGTGTGGAACTGCAAAGTGACCAGGATATGGCAGAGTAGCAGTGGGTTCATTCCACAGACGTCTGAGTGAATTGTACATGTGTCTGTGCTGCAGGTGCAGGATTGGCAGAGCATCTACCAGTCGACTCACATCCCCATCCCCAAGTTCCAGCCCACGGACGAATCGGCCACCTTCATCGGACGCCTGTGCCGTGAAATCCTTCGCATCACAGACCCCAAGCAAGTGTCGCACGGGAAAATTGCGCAAGCCTAGTGCACATGATGCACAGCACGACTTCGTTTTACATAGCAGAAATACAAAGGTTGTTCTTTTTACAGATATTTTTTGAGGGTTTTATTATGCCCAGGAAAGCCTTGCTGAGTGTCGTAGTTTTTGCAGTAATTTCCAGTTGATTTTTTTTTTATTTGGCTAATTTGGACAATGACGCCGGCACACAAATGGCCCACTCTTGCGAATTGCGTCACGGGATCTGTAGCGTCCACTGTGAAGCAGGCGGCGTGTGTTTTCTTGTTCGACAATACTCTTGCAGCAATAACCAGGGCGGCCGCTGCTTTCGAACCGTCAACCTCTGCAAGCGGCGAATTGCGTTACCGCTAGGCCATGTCACCACCCAAGGTGTCTGGACGTTACAGAGAAGAATGGGCAAGGCGATGTATAACAAGTGTGAACAATACAAGCTTAATGGCTGGCTGCATTGAATCATTACTCAGGAATTGTGACAATTCGTTGAACTTCAGCAGAGGGAGAAATCAGTCCGTGTCCGAGTGTTCAGACTTGTTTAGAGGATTGGCCTGATGTGATATTACTGTGACTGTCCACTCCCAACAGAACGACGTCCTACGTGGATCAGTTGAGCATCTGGTACGATGGTCGCACAAAGCAGGAGCTCACAAACAGCCGCCTCTTCTCCGAGGTCCAGAAGAGCCTGGGAACCTTCGGCCTCAATGGGCTCGACCGTCTGCTGAGCTTTATGATCGTTCGGGAGCTGCAGGTGATGTCAGATTTCTCACTCTCATGATTCTAGATTTGAAGCTTTCGTGACTGCAAGGATTCATATTCTTAGATTTTTTCGGTAAAGTCACGTAGGTAAAAAATTAAAATTAATAAAAGTAAAATAAAATAAAAATCACGACGTTTCGGAGGCAACACAAGCTTCCGTCTTCAGGTGGAACCGTCACAGCCACGACAGCTGTATCAAGTAAAAAAAAAAGCTGTCGTGGCTGTGACGGTTCCACCTGAAGACGGAAGCTTGTGTTGCCTCCGAAACGTCGTGATTTTTATTTTATGTTACTTTTATTAATTTTAATTTTTTACCTTTCACTCTCATGCTTTTGTGGGGGTGGTGCCTTTAGCGCCGCATCGCTACAGTTGAACATCAGCGCATCACATGATTAATTCTAAGTTTAAGACTCAAAAGCCAGGTTGAAAAGATATAGATTTTAGAAGTTTCCGAAAGATCTTTTAAAGTTTCTCGGCACTCAGTTTGCTGAGAAGTGAGTTCCAATCCTTAGGCCCAACATACGAGAAGTCGTGCTCCCCAAACTTGTTTTTTTACATGCGGGACGTCCTAGTCAGAGCTGTCTGCAGAGCGAAGATAAGGTCATGTGCATTCACAGGCAGAGTAGCCGTGTCCGAAGCTGTTGTCCTTTTGTCGCAATGGTAGAATGATGAGTGGTTTTCAGTCTTCATTTTCACTTCATGATGGACAAACACAGTTGTGCACTCCGTGGTATCTGCTTCATGTGAGTTGCTTTGGAATTCGAGACAGGAAGTCGGGCGTTGGTCAGTGAATCTGTTCTCTTCGTTAACATATGTTGCCCGCTTCTGGTCAGGTCACGCCCTCGCAAGAAAAGAAACTTGCATTTTTAAAGGTTTTTTGTTTATTCCGATGTTCGGTGTACTGCTCAGCCTTGTACTACGTTGTGGTTCTGGAGTTACAATCAGAATGAAGACAAAACTATATTTTAATAAATGAGAGTTAATACATGTATGTCCCACACCTGCTGTTGGTGGTAGGGAGATGGGGGGGGGCGTCACCAACATTGATAAAGGGCTGTAATTTATTATTTAAGTATCATAATAATCTGTTTTATAAAGCGTGCATGCAAATTGCATTTCGTAATGCGCATCACACACAGGTGCATTTATATTAAGACGTTTTCAGCCAATTACTGAATGTTTCTTTTTGTTATTATACTGGCTACAGTTTCATCAAATGTAAATACCATTTGAGGTCTGTTGGTCAATTGACTGAAATCTTTAAACTTAACATAGCATGAGGCTATTGATTTGCTTGGCACAGTGGCTTGCTGGCTTGAACTCAGGGATCTCAGAAATTCGAGACTGCTCACATGGATATGATTCACTGTGGCACCTGCTGGCTACACGCCTGAATCCCGACGAAGCCAGGTGTGCTCTCACAGTTGGCTATGTGCGGTGCGAAAGAAGTTCAAAATACATGCATATAAACCAGGATAATGTATTTGATCCAACTGGCAACGTTGTACCTGTGGCCAGACCATCGAAAGGCGAGGAGAGTGAAGGATATATTATATACGGACAAAATGGGAAAGGGAAGAGAGAAGATAAATACAGTGGTACCCCGGAGATTGAACTTAATTCGTTCCAGAAGGCCATTTGAACACCGAATACATTTTCCCCATAACAATTAATGTAAATGACATTAATTGGTTCCAGGCACGAGAAATCTCTCATTATAAAGCATTTTTACACGAAGTTTACAGTAATTACACGCATAAAATCATACAAAAAAACAAGAAACACAATAAATAAATGGAATAAATTAATAAATATATGGAATAAATGAAATAAATGAACATTGAACTTCACTTTACCTGTAGTAAGGAGAGTTGATGGCTTGAGTGGAAGGTGGTGAGGAGGAGGAGGAGGCGGTAAAACCTGTGTCTAGGCAAGCGTCATGCACGCTGGCCATACGTGTCTCAGCCGTACAGGTTCTTTCAAGTCGCGATTGCCCGTTCGACCTCCGAATTTCGTTCGGTTTCCAGGGCAAAAAATGTTCGGAAATATCGTTCAAACACCGATTTGTTCGAGTTCTGGTGCGTTCGATCTCCAAGGTTCTACTGTAATGGGAATTAATAGGAAAAATATAGAAAAGGTACAGAAAATTGGATCTAGTGTCAGAAAAGATGATGAATGGGAGGAGAAGGCTACATCAGGGTCTTGACGCCACATGGAGCGGCATCTGTTTTCCCAGGGGGCAGCGGGAAAAGGGGAGGGATTCAGAGTGGGGGTGGCCACACACAAGTCACGTGATTCAGGGAAGGTTTGAGCCGAGTGCCACGCTGTACGAAGCCACCATCTGACGTTGTGTGCCACGTCGCACCGTGGCACCCTTTGCTAGCCCGCCCCGTGGTTATCCTGCGGCCGCCCCGTGCCACAGCGCGACGTGCTATGACCTGCCGCGTTGTACCAAGCTGGATTTTGACGTGGCCGCTGCCTTCATTGCAGAATGCGGTCGAGTACCTGCAGAAGAATGTGCTAAAGGACAAGGTGCTCATGGACTCGTTTACTGCGTTCATGAAGACTGCCAACCCCATCAAGGGCATACTTGGTGAGCGTCTACATCAAAACAAACCCTCTCATTCGTAGAGTTTCAAGTTTATTTTCTTTAACCTGGGGGGGGAGAACTCAAGAGACCGGGATAAGTCTCATATTCAAGAGTGATGACCTCGGTCAACAAATGAGTATTTTCAATAAATTGCTTGAACTGGAGGGGACCCATTTGCAGATGACCAACATCCATAAAAAATAAAAATGTCACCAAAAAAGAAATAGCCTTATTTTGTAGATACACACTTTAAATGTGTGCCCCAGGCTGCCCAGACATGAGTTTGAAACCTGGTTAATAAGATAGAACAGCGTTTTTAAGGGCCTGTCAGATGTACCATCTCGTCACTTTAATGTTGTCACCATAATGACATCACCGCTGTGCATTGAATTACAGTGTCCGTGCAGCGATGTCACTAGAGTGTTGAGAACAAAGTCGTTTAAAATCACACCCGGACCGATTACCGCTCCACGAATCACACAACCTCCACATAACACGCCACACCCTCTCACAGCCTCGCTTCCCTCCCCGACAACACTCCTCAAAGCATCGCCTCTCCACTCTGTTTATTACATTGATAACGTTCACCCAATGTGTGGGACCCTGACTCGCTGGGTGAGGTTACTCCATGTGTTGTTCCCCCACCCAACTTCGTCTGAACGTACCCTGTTCCTTCTCCTGGTTAGTTTTTTTCCCCCTTTCAATAAAATAATTCTGGAAGGAAAAGAATAAATATCACACGAGGGCAACACGACTATAGCACCTTACCATGTCTTTCATGATTAGCATGGTTGTCTTCGTACGGTGCGAACAAAGTTCAACATACTATTTGGTTCTATCTCATTAACCCTCCTCTCTTACCTATATAGCCTCTGTTACAGCAGCAATTTTGTCCACTTCAGCAATTGTTTCTTGCTGTGGCTGTCCCACCTGATGATGATTGCTTGTGTTGCGCCCGAAACGTCGTGATTTAATTAATTTTATTTTATACCTACGTGACTTTACCGAAAGAACCAAAGAGTATGAATCCTTGCAGTCACGAAAACGTCAAATCTAAAGTTCAACATACATATACAATACATACATTACAAGGACGCACTCATTACGCACACAGCGGCTTGCCAGAAATGAACCACAATACTTTGCTGATCTCATCAAGGAGCATGAACCATCATGCAAACTCCGGTCATCCTCACAGCGGCTTTTTGGCTAACCATTTAACAAATACAGGTCACTGCATCACACACTTTCAGATGCGCTTCTGCGGCCGTCTGGAAAGCTTTTCCTTCTGATATTCGGAAGCCACTGGAGCTATGCACTTTTAAATCTAGATTTGAAACTAATTTCTTTAACTGCTTTTTGAGTTTAATTTGTTGTCCTTTCCCCTGCACCTCCGATTAGCAAGGTTTGCTCCATACGGTGCGAAAGAAGTTCAACATACATACATACAAATGCGATTTAGACACTTCACATTTTCCCCAGTGATGTTGTGTTGTGTGACAGAGTATAGAATTTGGTTGTGCACATAACACCAATTGCTGGTTTTTGCGGTGTTCTGTCTGCCTCCGTCGCCTGCAGCCAATGCAAGCAAAGTGTATTCATCCGTCACATCAAAGTCACAGAAAATCTGGCCTGGCTACATGGACATCATCCTCAAGGTGGCGTGTGGTTCTTTCTCTGCTGCTACCCATTCATTGCATGAGCACAGAAGCTTGCCAAAATAAGTCCTTGAGGCTTAATTAGGCGTTGCTGGTCAAACAAAAACATCATTAGGATGATGACATAAAAGCAACCGTTAAGTTGAAACATTCCTGCTTGTATATGCTAATAATTAACTTTCCATATGAAATTGAGAAAATAACAGCATTATGGGACCTCCTTTGCCAGTACCAAAATATGAGAATAGGTTTTCCTCTCTTTTCTGGCAACAAACAGGTGTTAAGATGTTAAAACACCAAACTGAAACGTTTTACAAGGAAGCATGTCTGCATTAACCACAATAGTTGTGGTCAGAATGCAAAAAAAAACATACTCTGATTGTATGATGCGTTGTCTTTGAAACTGATTGGTCCACACCAGAGACAGCTTTTCTTTCGAGGCGTACACCTTTTGGCGTCCTCTGGTCTAACACCGTTTGATACTAGGCTCAAAAGAAAGCTGTCTCTGGTATGGACCAATCAATTTCAAAGACAATGCATATATTATCAGAGTATGTTTTTTTTTTGCATTCTGACCACAAGTATTGTGGTTAATGCAGACATGATTCCTTGTAAAAGGTTTCAGTTTGGTGTTTTAACATCTTAACACAGCTGTTTTGCTGCCAGTAAAAATGGGAAAACCGATTCTCAACATAACAGCAGTTATCCTGGATGTAAAAGGTATTGCAAGGATTATGACAAATTTTATTAGCTGCTATTGCTTCTTAGAAATTACACAAAAAGTGTTTAGTCATGACACATCGGCAAAACTATAGGAAAACTGATGAGGGTAGTCGGATCTTGCCCCCTTAATATTAGGGTACCCATTGGTACTGATCTAAGAGGTCACATCTTGCTAATACGACTCGCTGAAGTCATAAATTGCCCAAGTTGTCTTTTTTTAAACGATGCTTAAATTATTAAACATGATTAGACATAAACGATCCCACACAATTAAGTTCCTGATTTCATCACCTCTTCCAAGATGTCTGGCCCAGCTTTGAAGAGTCAGCCAAAATACCCTCCACTAGAGGGGCTTTCAAGACCTCTCTCTAGTGGAGGCCCTTCTGCCAGCAGTGGCATGATTGAGCAGTTTGCAGGGCTGCATCTTGACCTACTTGGCTAACAATAATTGTCTTGGGCATCAAAGTTTTTGTCCGTTGGTAGATGGACCTGGAGAGAGTGGAACTTGGCGTCGAGGCCTGGCGATAGGGTGAGAATGGCTTGGGGATGGAGCTGAAGTTAAAACGACCAAGTCGTGCCCACTAGTGGCAAACGTTGACATCGCCTTAGTTTTAAAGTTGTACTTTTTTTGCGCAGGTTGGGCAGCTTCAGCTGCTAAGGCGACAGATGGCTCATGAGCTCAGCTACTCCTGCAAACTCGACTCCAAGACTCTATTTGGAGCTCTTATGACACTTAACAAGTTAGTTCCCTTTTACGTTTAGTTTGAAAACTTATTTATTTGGAATATTTTTGTGTGTGTGTGGTTTGTTGTCCTTCCTCTGCACCTCCCATTATCATGGTTGGCTACGTACGGTGTTAAAGAAGTTCAACATACACACAAGTTGACTGCCGGTCGGTTCTCTGCTGTCGCCCCCTCGGCGTGGAACTCTATCCCTTTGCACATCTGCAATATCAAATGCACTCTGACTTTCAAAAAACATCTAAAGGCCTATCTGTTTAGTCAGGCTTTCGCGCAGCCCTGAGCTTGGCTCCGCGCCTCGAGTTGTCGACTTGTCTACAAAATCTGGCACGTTATAAATACATTTATTATTATTAATCTTCCACCGCGGGCTCTGCTGCTAGGGCCCTGCTGGCAGACGTGCAGGCCCACTACGCTGAGCCGAGCCGCCCGTACCCACGAGAGGACAACCCCCTGCTCTTCGAGCTCACCTCTTACCTGGAGGCGGCGGGGATAAACAACCCTCTGAACAAGGTAACGTGCGCAGGGCCTGCTCAAGGTAGGCCTTAGCCATTCAGCGATGCATGGATTTTAAACTAAAACTATCATCTAATTTTTGTTTACTAGGTAAGGCCCCACTGGGCTCTATATAGCCCTTTATCAGAAGCGACCTGGCCACAAGTGATCTCTCAACGAAGTGGCTTATCGCGTGGAAATTTATAGCGGCCAAATACTCTAAACGCATGTTGATTCTAAATGTGGAGAGAAAAACCGAGGATCCAGAGAGCATGGGGAGAACAAGCAAGCTCCAAATGTACAGGCGTCAGTCAGGATTGAACCGACGACCTCCTGCATACCAAGCGAGGTAGTTAACATCTTGCCACCTTGGCCATTTGTCGATGGATAAGCGCTCTCGCGCTTGAAGAATGTGCGATGAGTCATGCACGTGAGAAACGGTTGTGCTCACACATTTGTGGAATGTATGCAAATGTTTAATTTAGGTGAGCTTCGCCAACACAACTGTGTAAGCGGGACGAATGAATTCGAAACGGGACAATTTTTTTAAATTCATTTTAAATGGTCAAAATGAGACGTAATCTATTCTTCAGTCACTTCACGAACCTGGGTCGTGACGTTTGAATCTATCATGAAGGTGAATAATCGTTAAATGTCCAGTAAACCCAAAACGTGTTTGTTTGCTTCTCCGGACAGGTCTGGGTAAAGATGGGGGGAGCACAATGAGAAAGCTGATGCAATGCTTCCTATGTTTGTATAATAATTGTTTAAACTGCTTTATAAAGATAAAATATAGCTTTGCAATGATATGTCATGAAAGGTTCTGTATGCATCTTTAGTTTGTAGTTATTCCATAGGTCAATTATCCATCTGAATCTTCTCCATAAAAGCTTTTTTACACGCTTTCTTTTAACTCACTCTGTCTATTGTGGTCGTTGTAGTCGTTGTCGTCGTTGTTGTTGTCGTTGTTGAATCCTCAAATCTTGTAACTCCATTTTAACCCACTTCCCAATGTGGTATCGACAGCAAACTTGGTAAACTTATGTCGTACTGATGACAATACTATATTATATCATAGAAATAAAAAATATATTTTTTTAAACGTTCTTTTTTATATGTTATGTTTCGGCTTGGGTCTAATTGTCTACGGTCAACTGACGTTGGCTGTAATTGGCCACGGACCCTTACGTTATGGCAAGCTTCGGGGCCACTTCCTGGAGTCGTGGAGTTCTGCCATTACTAGTATATTTTTAAAAAAGCGTCTTTTTTTAAAATATTACTTTTTGGGCTTAGATCGCGTTAATATAAATGTGTCATTAAAGACGCCACCACCCAACAGCCAATTAGTAAGGTATGTCACGCCAACACACCGGTGTGTTGGAGAGTAAACTCAAAACGCTTACAATCCAAGGACAACATTTCACCGGTAATTACAACCAGACTCATCAGGCGACAGCCAGAATTGCGATATAACCCAAAAAAATATTGTTTGCGAAAGCCTTAATTTTCCTCTAGATCTTGACCGTGAACACATTTGAACGTGTTCATTTATCGAGACCAGTTCCTTGTAAGAGCTTTGTTTTACTCATTTCCCACCCCTCCCCCCTCTTGTGGTGCAGATTTACATCACAACCAAGCGGCTGCCGCATTTCCCACTCATTAACTTCCTGTGCGTCATTGCGCATCTACCCAAGCTACAGTACAGCAAGGCAGTGGGTGGGTTTCTCTCTTGTGCGCACAGCGTTTTTTGTGCCATGCATTGTTTCATTTCCCCCCCCCCTCTTCTCCGCTGAGAAAAAAACCACCCTATTAAATAACTTATTGGAGCGAATCCACTCATAACATGAAAATAAAATGCCCGAAAGTAATTGTTTGGTCACAAACCGTAAAGGAACAAATCGCTATCGAGAGCCAATGTGCTTTTTAAACTGTTGGCCAATTTTAGCCGAAAGCTTCAGTTCACATGGATTTATGCTATATTAGACAATGGAAATGCATATTCTGTTGTTAGAAAGAAAGGCAGTTAATTTACTGTTGATAAAGATCGTACCGTAACCAATTTTATAGGTGATTGATGACATGTGGGGCAACTGAGTATATTAATACTATCCAAGTTTAACTAACACAAGCCTCTGTTATAACTATGGGTGTAGTTAAACTATTAAACTAAAATGTCTTTTTTATTTTATCAGGTAAGACCCACTGAGCTATTATTAGCTCGTTTTCAGAAGCGGCCTGGCCTCAAATTATAGCTTAGCGAAGTGGCTTATGTGGAAATATATAGCAGCCAAATACTCTAAATGGCATGTTGATTCTAAATGTGGAGAGAAAAACCGGAGGGCCTGGAGAAAAATCCACGTGAGCACGACGAGAACATGCCAACTCCAAATATACAGGCGCCAGGGTCAGAATCGAACCTACGACCTTCTGCATACCAGGCGAGGGAGTTAACATCTCGCTGGCGTGGTGCTCATTGCTGTAATAATACTACGCGCTATCAGTTTCACACTTATTGTCGTGATTACAGTTTTTTTTATGTCTACGAGAGTCATCGGACTTATTTTCAGGAGGGTGCTGCATTGTTTTTTTTTAGATTTTTCAGCCAACTGATGATGAGTGTTTATACAAGCGGGAGGAAAACCGGAGCACCTGGATAAAATGTAATCGTGTGAGAGGGCAACACTATCCCCATACAGATGGAAACAGATGGCGATTATTCCACCAGCTGTTTTTTATTCTGCTGGCAAGGCAGACTATGGCACCTTCGCGACACCCACTGGACAGGAGTTTCACAACATTTATGTGATCCGTCAACCCTGGGGCATGCGCCACCGCTGCCCCGCTACATAGGCAGGACCAAGTGAAAATCCAACAATGCTTGTTCTCCCTGACCCCCAACACCAACGTCTGCTGTATCTAGGCATGGTGAGCAGGCGGGCGGGTGATGGGCTGGACTGGCCACCCATGGTGGTGGGGCTGCTCACATTGCTCAAGCAGTTCCACTCGCGCAACACCGAGCAGTTCCTGGCACTGCTGGGCCAGTTAGTGCGCTCCTTACTGGAGCAGTGCACGACCAGGTAATGATAACGACGATAATAATAATGATGACCCCCTAATTAATCCAGCACACTGCACAGGCTGCACGCACGGTTTACGCCTGGCCACACGTTTTCATGCACATTCATCTCTCTCTTGCTCGCACACCACGCACAGCACACTCGAGCGCGCGCCAGGGGTCACAGGCAGCTTTACAAGCAGTATCTGTCCACACGTATGCTTGCGCTGTAGAAAACCTGATGTTAGCATAGCTCTTAAATACCTGGGTTATAGCCAGATAAGAGCATGGTCGATGCACCTGAATTACTGGCAGGTAAGAGTATAGTTTGCTGACTTAAGATTCATAATAATTTACTTGCAGATTTTTGCCAAACCATTGCCGCTTGAAGGCACCTGGCACCTCTGGTTGTTTTGTCATTCGCCATTAAAATAGTTGGTGAAAGTTTGTTGAAAGTGTTAGCTGCGGCTAGGATTTAATGAGCAACATCTTTAATGGTACGGATGCTGCTGTGCTGTAATAGTTGGCACGCCGTATTTGCAATCCTGAGTTCACCAAGCAGTATACTTTGGTGTACCCACGCGTGGTGGGGTAAAGTGTGGGTACTTATCACCCCTTCCAATACATTATTTCGCCGGTGTTGAAGAGTAGGCCATACGCCCTATAGAGGGGCTATCTAGAGCTACCACTTGTGAGGTCCTTCCAGCAGTAACGTGGTCAAGAAATTGTCGGGCTGCACCTTTGTAGCATGGCTGGCTACGTACGGCGTGTAAGAAGTTCAACATACAACTATGAATTGTATCTATATTTTTCTCATTGTTTAGAATTTCCTATTTTTACGTTGAGTATTAATGTGATGGTGCTTTGAGTAGTAGATTTGTGCCAGAGAGGTGCCACATTTATAAAAAAAAACATTGACTTGACTTTTATCTTCTAATCGGTGTGAATTGTTTTTCGCAGCCAAAAATCTCCAGAGATGCCTTCGGATGTGGTTGGAACCCTCGTGTTCCTAGAAGATTTTGTGCACTACACACAGCTCACGAGACAGGTGTGTGCTTGGGAAATGCGTTTGCACTGCACCCATCCTTACACAAACCATCATCCCGGATCCTTGAGCTATCAGATTATGGGCACTTGCTCTAAGCTTGTCAATTATTTTTCTAATCAAAAGCACAATGCTTTTTGTGATCCATTCCCACCGTATGTGCTGGGGCTTCACAACACAATAATGTGGTTTCAGGAACCAAAGCTTCCAGGAATCAATGAGGAACCCTTAAAATCCCAATGGCCCATAAGAAAGGCAGGCTGGGGATTAGCATTTGCAAATTACAGATTGGAATTTCGTGATAAGACTGCCCGCTGTGCCCGAAAACAGTGGTCTACGCATCACAGCAGTTGCACATGGAACTTGAGGCAAGGTTTTGAATTAACCAGATTGTGTGTTAATTGAGAATAGTGGCGATGTTTGTTCCTTGTTTTGCAGGTGATTGAAGCCCACGTCCCGAGCTACATCCTGGATGAGTTCAGGCATGTTGCCCAGTAGCGGTCGTGCCACTCAAGCGAGACGTTGTGCCAAGATGTCACGTGTACGTGACGGTGGATTATTTGGCGAGCAGTCAAAACGTACGGTCTTCATTACCTGTGCTGTTATCAAGACGGCTGATTGAAATTTACGTCTTTGGAAATATTTTTTTGTTTCTTATTTTTGATTGGGCGTGTCACTCATGCGTACGTGTCATTGTGGGAACTTGGACGTGGGCATAATCCAGAGTGATGACCTCTATTAAGAGTTTTTGCCACTTGCGTACAACAATGTATTTTGTCTTGCCATTTTTGATCAAGACCAGATACATATGAAGTTATTTGTGTCTTAGATAACTGTACCTCATGCACAAAATAATTTGGGGGAAGACTCACACTGTATTTCAAATGTGCGGGGTGTCTTCTTTGGTACCAAATCTTCAAATCGATAGGTGAAGCCCTGTATTTATGAAGTAGAACCAATTGGAATTCATCAAAACAATTTCTACAACGCGAGAGGGTGTATCATTATGTATGTTATATGTCAGTCACACGATGCTAGAATTCACATTTTTGTAAATTGAGTTATAATTCGATTTACAATTTTGAGTGGGGTGGAAGGAATACTGAGTGTAATTGAGAACAGGACAAACAGCACTTGCATGAAATGCCACAGTGCCACTAAGCACACATTGGTGCACCTTGGCACACCCAATTTATCTTCAATCTTCCTGCACATATTAAACCATGGCTAAAATGTACAGGGGTGTTGCCCATCTTGTGAGTAACTGTGCATTGATTGGCCAAAAATAGCATCTGATGTCACCTTTGATGTCGATTACATAGTGACAGGAACAGCAGACCTGTGGCTGATGAGACGTCTGGTTAAGAATAGCCGCCCCACCCCTGGGTGGCAAGAGTTAAAAGAAATAATCCGGCACTGACTGAGATCCTGAGTTGAATTTGGGTCTGCCGTTCACGTTTAAACAAGGTTCTTAAGTTGATTGAGATAATGCTTTCAGCCCAGTCACTAATCTTCCATTATGGCATGGGGTTGTCTCAGAGGTCGCAACCTGGGTACCCGATACCGGTACCCTACCCGATACCCGGCTACCCGTACCCGACCGGGTATGGGTACGGGTACCCGTTTGCGACCCTGGTGTGGCCGGGTACGGGTAGACCGTGAATCACTGGTGAGTAACTGTTTGTCACTCATTTCCCAACGTCTTGTCTCTTCTCACAATTCAAGTTCCTAGAATCAACCCACCCGCGCCTGCAACATGGCTTCATCCCAGAGGTCGCAATCGGGTACCCGATACCCGTACCCTACCCGTACTTGGCCGAGTACGGGTAGGGTACAGGTACGGCCGGGTACGGGTACCCGTTTGCGACCCTGGTGCGGCCGGGTACGGGTAAGGAATCAAAACCCGTTTGCGACCTCTGGGTTGTCTGCTTGGATTTTCTCTCTCCATGTTACCCTCTGTATCCATCTCCTCCCGCCCTGCTCCGGAACCTTCTGCCCTGACACTTTCCTCCGTTTGTCTTTGTGCATACTTTCTCAGTTGCTTCCACCTCTGCATTTTTTTATATTGTTCTGTTCCACGTCGCCTCCATCTGGCATTACTGTTTCCTTTCTCCTTGAATATATCTCATCTTCAGACCTGTTGAAATTCTCTCCATTTAGTTGTCAGATTTTTAAATTTCGATTTAAAGCTTTCGTGACTGCAGGGATTCATCTTCTTGATTCTTTCGGTAAAGTCACGTAGAAGGGCAATAATAAAATAATAAAAATAAAACATAAAATACAATTGTATTTTATAATAATAAAATGATTTCCCTTCTACGTGACTTTACCGAAAGAACCAAGAAGATGTCAGATTTTTATTTTATTTTTCCTTTCTGAATTTCATTTTCATCTATTACAGAGGAGGTAGTATAATTTACGGGATCTCAGCATTAGTTCTGTAACCTTTGCTTCTGCCGGGCATTCTCTAAAATGGTGGGGAGGCACTGCCTGGGAGTATTCCAAATGGATTACTATAATGACATGAAACTCAAAGCATAATTGATACTTGTATATCTTTATTGATGTTAAAAAAGAATAGCCCCACCCACAGTTCAAGGAACTGGCAGCTGAAATGATGCAGCAGTGAGGTCATGTGTATGAGTGTCCAGTTGGTCATGATGGTGCGTCAGTACAAATTGTCTCACATTACAATACAGTTGAATGACTTCACTGTAACGACCCACTCCACGCTGAGCGGCCGCAAATAATTTATAATCGAATTATCCTAATGGTAAATACGAATTACTGTCGGCATGTATTTAAACTATGTGAGATATGAATTGTGAATATATACATGACAAACATAAAGTGAACATTGCCCGTGGACACACCGAAAGCAGCTTGCCATCGTAACCAGCCTCTCGCACCGTTTATAATGTCAACTAAAGTCCCCTTTTACGTCCACATCTACACGGTGCTGATACTGACTCTTCAAATCCAGCTTTTACTCGGGTAGAAAATCTTTGAAGCGTTAATTGCCTTAAGGAGGTTTATCCAAGAGCTGACAAGTCACTCATTTACATTGGACTTTCTGTTTCATCAGCTTAAGGGTTGTGGCAGATGTCACTGATACCACAAGCACTGCTCCTATTGTCTGTTTGGAGCAATATTTTCACTTTTAATTTTTTTCTGTTGAGCAATTGTCTGTAAATACAGTATATTACAAGTTAATTTTATTACTAATTTCCTGTTGATTATTGCTTGAATACTCTTGTGAATTAGATGTCATCTTAACAAGAATCCGATACGTATGTTGTCCATGAAAGCTAATGCTTTTAACATATTTGATGAGTAGTATATAATTTCGAAGTTTTATATGTCTAAGCCTACACACAAAATAAAATTACATCTTTTCAAGTAAATGCAGTCCGTTCAATATAATTGATATTCCAAAAGTTGGTCTGAAAATAACAATCTGCCACTAAGTACGGTACAATAATTTCATTTGCATAGAAGAATTCAGTCTCAAGATTATTTTTGGAAGATCCTTCAACGAGATGTTTGTAAGTGTCATGTGGGAGGAATCTCATATAAGAGGATAACACTCAAAATATTTGAACAGATAGATTCAATCCAGACTCAATCCACTAAGTGGACCAAATCTGTGGACAATACCCATTTCTGTACTACCATCTGACACCACAGCCCTTGCAGACCCAGGCCTACCACACCTGGTATGCGCTGATCATCGGCCAACGAAATTATTAATCCAGCTCCACCTTTCATGGGTTTGAAGATCCGACACGATTAGGTGCATTCAAGGCAATTAGCTCGGAGACAATCTTGCTCTATTGAAGCGTTACGGGACTTGAATAGTGGGATGTTTGGAACAATTCGATGTTAGTGTTTTGAATTCACCAGTGTTGAGTAATGTGACGGTGAAGTTGTAGTAGGTAAAGAAAAGTCAAGCACTGTGATGTGCTCTTGGCTTGTACCACGTGTTTGGAATGATTTCCAACGTTTTGGACATCATGTCGAGGTTGAAAGATGCTAATTTCTTACCTCAATTATGCTGCCCGTGATGAATAAGGTCGCAATTATTCGCAAGACTCCAGGTCCAAATTTGCCAAGAAGATATAGTCCAAAATTACTGGTATTAAGACATCTTGCAAAGCGGTTCTCAGCAAATAACCAGACATCTCTTTCGTTTGTCGCTCCGCATTCATATAAAAATTACATTTTTACATTTCCCGTTATCTATTCTTGGATTGAGCATTGGAAATTGTTAACATACATGTCAACCCCTTATGAGTGCCTGCTTTATTACAGACCAATTCAGACCTTATTGGTTACCCCGTGCCCCTTCTATTTCGCAACGTTCATCCTAAAAAGCCCCATCACAAGGGGGATACACACATATAGTCATATACTCACCACTAGTACACTCACCACGACATACCTGTCAAGCCATTATCAGTGCCGACCTTATTACAGACCAATTCAGACCTTATTGGTCACCCCGTGCCCCTTATCATTCTCAACGTTCATCTTACGAAGTCCCATCGCAAGGGAGAAACACATATACAAACATTTATATTTACTCAATTTCCCTGTACAAGAATATGGGTAAACCGTATGGGTTGACAGCTATGTTGTAATAATGCGTTAGCAGTGGTGAAAAAGTGCAAAGTTCAACTGCCCTAGGTCACTTTAACACGTAAGACTTTCACGACCAATATTCATAATACATTTTTATGGCTGAGGTTGCATGTTTGCTCTCCAAAACGTGATTAATTAGTAGCTAACTAATGGACACCTTTTTTTCACGTGACAAACCTAATTGTCCGTGGGTTATCCTAGACTGGTCGTAGGATAACTGGCGACGTTTCAATAGCCCTTGTTCATAGCATTAAGGGCCATTGCCCGAAACGTTGTCTGTTTCTCCTTTGAGAAGCTTTATATACGTAACGTGTTAAGTTGTTTTGTTGAGATTTTGGCAGTGAAGCAACGTGGCAATTTACACAATGGTTTATACTGGTAGGAACGAAGTGGACCAGACCACCAATAGATTAATGTGTCCGTCCGTCCGTCCGTGGGAGGGGTGGTGTTGAGGGTGGTGTTGGAAATGAAAGACTACGAGTCTTTAAATCTCACAGCGTTTATTGTCAAAACAAACACTTTTAATTAACGTTACACTAGAATACAGTAATTTTTTCTTTAACTCCTCTATACCCGGTCGATATCTCTGTACCGGTACTAAGTATTATTCCTACCAGCCCACCCCGCAGGGTCCTGTTACTTTCATTTGGAATACTCTGCATTGAAGAGTCACGGCTACTTATTCGCATGGTAACCGCATACATGTCAACCTCTTATCCAGTGGCAACTTATTACAGACCGATTCAGACCTTATTGGTCACCCCGTGTCCTTATGAATCTCAAAGTTCTTCCTACAAAGCCCCATCACAAGGGATAAACGGCTGCACGCCGTATGGACCTGAAAACTCAATATCCCTGTACAAGAATAGTGTGGATTGACACGCAATGTAACTGTGTACTGGTTTTAACGTTTTATTTGGGGTATCATCAGTCTGCAACAGTCGCCACCAGAGCCGGTTAATTGCCAATTCCAAGCCTCGTGGCAGTCGCACAAAGGTCAGCCAGCGATTCCCAAATCCAGTGGTGACTGACGACGTCATCACGTCGAGTAAAAGTTCGCGGATTCTCATCACGCAAAAGACGCGGTGACGTCATCACGCACTCGTAAGCGATGTCGTCACCGCAATAACCGCCGCTCGACAGGAACTCCAAACCAAACCCGTGCGCGGTGACGTCACCCCGCCAGATTCCACTCCGCCGATTGACGTCGGCGCCCGGACGCGAGACGCTCGCGCCAACGTGGTGACGTCACGCCGACCAGATCGCCTTCCGATTGGACACCCCGATCCCATCCCCGCCGCGCGTGACGTCACCGCGAAAGGTCTGTGCCGGTGACGTCACGCCCTAACGGCTCGAGCGCGCGGCCGCGGCGCCAAATCACCCGGCCATTCCGGCTGCCCCCTCAACGACGTCACCGCGCAACCGGTACGCGGTGACGTCATCGAACCGAAACAGCCAATCGGGACATCGTCGCTACGCGGCTACGTCATCACGCACGCCGACGTGATTACGTCACGTCGCGCGAACGCGTTTCCCCTCCCCCCCCCACCACCACCATCACGACGAGCAGCGGCGGCGTTTCCCGGGGTCGGAGAAGCGGACTCGCTTCCCCATTCTATCCGTCCGCTCGCGGGCCACGCCGTGAGGAGGGAAAGGCGGCAAAGTCGGGGAGAGGATTGTCCTCAGGGGGCTGTGCGTGCGCGCCCGCCCGTGACTGTCGAGCAAAACGCTAGGGCAGCGGGAGAACGAGCGCGACGGCCGACCCTAGCTCACCCCCGCGTCCTCCCCGCGAAGGCGTCATGTATCAAGAGCCCGAAGGTTCGATTCGCTTGGCCCCTTACATCGCCTATGATGCTACGTCGGTTGTTCGCGTTACGAACTTGTTTGTGATGAGAGCGATTGTAGGTTTGTGAGGGGAAGTTGTTGTGTTTGTCGTTGTGCGCGGTGCGCTGGGCCCGGTTTCCTCGACTAGACTTTAACCGGGTCTCGCTTAATTTAATTGTCTCCTTATTTTCATTTAAAAAGATATATACGTATGTATATTAACGTGGTGAATAACAAAACTAAATAAAGCCGCCAAAGGTGGTGGATTAATCACCGTGGCCGGTTAAAGTACACGGAGATTCGCTCCCGTAGCGTGAGGAGGAGACTTAGCGGGGAAAGCCTGCGGTAGGCCCTCACTGCCTGGCACGGCCATCGCGGTCACAATGTTAAATTATCTTAAGTGGGTTTTAATTTCATCTTTATGGCTGCTAATGCTCCGCTGTTGTGTACCTCTCGACTAATAAACACGTTCTCGTTGTAATCTGATACACCGCCACCAGTTGTATTGTTGTGGCTTGTGGCCCCCTCCACTCCTCGTGTGCTCACGATGCTTGTAATTGTTCCTTGGTGTCCTTTATTTAACGAGGTCAGAGCCCTTCGAGATCATTATCATTCTTTTTAAACTCGCTCTTTCCTCAACAATTCTTAAAATGGACATGGTTATACGTTCGCACGGTTAGCATCCGCGATTTAGCGTACACAGTTTCGGGGATTTCTTGGATAATATTGTGTATGTTGATTTACAGTCTTGGATTCTTTGAATTTGGTATGTGCCCATGTGATGGGATACACATTTTCTTTCTTGCAAGCATAATTCTTTGATCATACACGTGTCCTGATCAGATATATTAATACAATGTAATTTGTTAAATGTTAGCCTACAGTGATGTAGTTTTGGTTCACAGTTCAAATACATGCGGAGGTGTTTTCCTTTTACCATACAGCTTGTAGTAGTTTCTATATTTTGCTTTAGACCGGTCAGCTGGCATTCCGAGAGTTAAATAACTTAAGATGCAGTGCGTAATGCCACCAGCAACATGTATCCTCAAAATATGTTAATTGGCAGTTATAAAATACATGCTGGGTCCCTCGTGTTTTTGTTTACCTGTTTACAAATAATGAACACTAATTCTTAAATATATAATTTGTATATATTTTAGGATGCCACCGAAAATAAGTTAAATTACCTGCTTATGGATCTCCCTTGCTGTTCTTGTACTGCCAACTTATCCTTTACCGTATACGCTGCTGTGATGGACATTTGAGAAGGTTGTTGCGTTAAACATCGGTGTCGCCGAAAACTCCTACAATAGATCGTGACTGACGGTAATTGATGTGGCATTCTTGAGAATGCGAATGCAGGACTGGTACTCGGTGGACAGGTATGGGTAAAGATCAGCTTCTGTTCTGCCAGGATTCAAATGAACTTGACTTGAGCGGCCAATATCCTTATTTAAGAAGCAAATGAGCTCTACGGTGGTTCCAAGCCTTTGTGTGAAGCACATCAGGCTTTCACAAGGCAAACAACAGGATTTGCCCCTCTGCCAATGAAGCTATTTGTTTGTGAACTAAAATAGATAGTCTCAAGCAGTTCTTTGTGAGTACATGTTTGTCAAAGGCTGGTTTAAGCCTTGCTAAGGCCAGCAAATGCTTCCTGTGGCGTCTGATTTAAAGATAACAGGTATTTTAGGAATGCATTGCCCCAGTTTTAATTTACTCAAAGAATCCACTTCTCTATTGTGTCGGAAAACGAAATGGGAACTGCGACTGTAATTTAAGTGTTGTAAGTGAAAAGAATTCCACTCCATTTACATAACACGTGCAAATATATGCTAATACGATTTTCCTTCATCATTTTGGAAAATTCAGATACAGTACTGCCAGTGGGGGAACTAAATATTTCATGGTTCTCAGAGCAAAGTAGTTTGTTTTACTTAAGTCTGCATTGAAAAGTATTCCACGTGTGGTCTTTGTGGTTTTAACCAATGAGGTTGTTGGTGTCCGGAAGGGAATATGTACCTTCACAAGTTGTTGCTAATATTCAGGACAAGACTTTAATTGCACTATCTACGTATTGGTTTCCATGCCCACAATCAACGTGACAGTTTAAGTGACTTGGGTGATTAACTCTAAAGGCTTAATGCATCGCATTTAATTATTTTTATACATTTCAAGATAACCTAATGTGACATTTACTTTTGTAAACAAAGCAAATTTACATTTGTAGTTGTGTAGTTACATTATTTCCTGGGGGTTTCTTCCCCTCAAGATCAAACACTGTTTAAAGAGTGATCAGTTTCAGTATTGTATTGATAGTTTAAAGACGGATCCTTTTAGTGGAAGATTGTTGAGGAGGGGGCCACGTGATAACGTTTTCAATCACAAGATGACACACATTTTCAATAGTTGCTGTAGATGCTCAGACATGAGCAGCAATTTGCATCCTTGGGCAAAAAATAAGCTTAAGAATTATTCTTTGGCAGATGTTTAGAAGCCCTTTTGAAAATTGATATTCTTGTTTGTGGCTACCTGCCGTGGAAACACGAGGGTTGGGATGTCATCAGAAACCCCGTTTAGCATATGTTGTCGAATACATTTAAGTTACTTTCTAAGAGTATGCTCTTTAGAAATAATTGGTAAGCCAATAAATGCAATTTGCACAATGTTATGTAACAGGGATCTTCGAGGTTGGTGTGTATTTTTAGCCAACGATGAATTTCAACGGGAGTATTCATTCAACACAAGTCGTTATGTGTGCAGTGTAACATCTATGGATGCCTACAGTTGGCATGATACGGCAGATATTAGACGTGGGCGCACAGGTAAGAATATAAATTGACCAATGTTGCGTGATGAGTTATGTAACAAGCACTTGTGTAAATCCTAGATATTGTATGGATGGTGAGGAAGTAATACAAATGGCACGAAGGAAGTGAGATAACAAAAAAGCCACCCTTGGTCAATCCACTGCTGAATGAAGTCTTCATGGGGGGTCAAGGAAATTGTTCTCGTCATATTTCACCACATTGGACAGTATGGTTTGGTCTAGACTGTCCGAAAGACTGCTTCAGATATCATCACTCTTATTAGCCATGTTGTAGTGCACAAATTATTGCACCACCTCACCCCCAAGGCCTGATAATGATGAAGTTAGAATTGCATGAAATTTACGACCCGTTTGTCGATCCACTGTTGGTTGACCGCTTCCCTATGCTAAATTAGTAATTGGGGTTGATTGACCATGCTTCACCCTGCTGGTCAGTGCAGGTTGGTGATGTTAACTGTGGCCAGGAATCAAATTCGGGTTTCCGAGTTCATAGTGCATTCAGATCAACATCGTGCCACTACACCAGCACGTATATGCTGTAAGTACGCTTAAAGCTGCATGTCATATTCTAAAACCATGTATTGTGTATGGTTATTGATCATATTGGCTAACAAAAGTGTGAGGAGGTAATTTTGTTTGTTGGTAAATGCACAGTAAGCTTCCTATTTGGTACTCCTCAGATATAAAAGAGTCGCGTGATAATTAGTATTTATTTTATTGACTTGACTCTTGATGCTTTCTGCATGGAATAAAAGTTATATCAGTACTTTTTGAGAAAAAAAAATCTTGAATGGTTTTTAAGTTCACCTATTGTGAGGCCTTTAAGCTTAACTTGGGCAGATATGTATCCCCTTATTTAGGATCCATATCTGGTGTTTACAGTTGCCTGTATTGCGTCCATTATAATCTCAAACGTGACTCACACGAACTGGCTTCATCGGTTGACCTACATTCACAGTTGGTTTTGAAGCTAAATAAAGGAACCGTAAATTTCCCACACATGGCGATTTTTCAGAGTGGTTCTTGTTTTTTTTACTGACCTTTAAATGATAAATAACAACAACTTAAAGAGGAAAAGTTATTTTGAATTTATCCTTTTAGGCATAGGTAAATCTCTCCCTCGCATGGAAAAAAACCCAACCCTTGTAGTTCTCATGATTGATGGATTGCTTATCACAATGGTTGTCAATTGTTTGAATTGATGTGTTTAGTTGCTGAGCTTTTTTGGAAAGTAACATGCATGTTAGGTGTCATTTTCACTGTCTGAAACTAGTCTGCTCGCCCTAACTATAACCCTTATTGAATGTTGTGGACACTGTAGTTCTATGTTAAGCCTTCAAGTGGACTCAGCGATTTGTCTGACCACGAAGACTTAGTTTTACTCTGAGGGAGAGTACAATTGACTAACATTTTCGTACATGCATGTTTGAATTTGTGAGCACGAAAAAATAATTGTCTATCCCCTCGTTATTCACGAACTTGCTATCCGTGATTTTGGCTATCCGCGAATCACATGTGTAACGACTACAGAGAGAGGAAAACTGATGAGATGAATTTATGAGAGAGAAATATGTGAGAAAGTGATGAGATATTATGATGCTGTGCATCATAATAATTTAAGGTAAGTTCATTTATAAACTATTCGTTAATACTTTCATATTTGTTTTTACTGGAGCCAATATTTTTTGTGATATGACAATTATCATGCATTTAATATCCTATGAACGTATTTATTTAAAATAATATTATCTGCGAAATTTGCTATATACGAGTGTTTCCGGAACGTAGCCCTCACGAATAACCAGGGAATACTATAATGAAACGTTTCTGGATTATTAAAAATAAAGCTTTTTGGATGGGCTGAATGACAGCTTTCATGTTTTTAATAAACCTACCCTGCAGCTAGCTGTTGTCATACATGTACAATTAAATTAATAAACATAATATCAGAGACAGCATTCGCACTGTAATTAGAGCAGGTGCTTGAAATCTCAATTGGCCACTCTGTCGAGAAACAGTCAACCATTTAAAATGCCATTATTGAGCTTTCTTAACATTCTGATGCAGGACCTATAAAAAATCTCCCATTTGCAAAAGTCTTATTTCAACGATGCTTAATGCCAACAAGTGTTGATAACAAATCAACACAGCGCAGGAAAGCAAAGGTGCCTTATATTGCAATCAGAAAATAGGGTAAAGCACTACAGTAGCTCCTCCGTGCCCTGGAAAGCAGCCATCCCAGAGTCCCCGGATGCAATTTTTTTTTGGCATGACATCGACCGTGGCAGGCAATGGTTGACACGGCTGATTACATCGGCACATACCCAACGTGCCTGTAGTACACTCTGCTGTTTATAGATGCCCTCTTACAACCCAGCACTGGCTTGCAGATTGTTCTCAACATTTGGCTGGGAAAAACCACTTGGCTTCTGTGAAAGGGGGGGGGGGGCGGTGTGTAGCATTGTGTTTATCATATTAGTTTATGTGCCATCCATGGCGGAGCCGTGCAGCCTTGCGCGGACGCATCCATAGAGCGCCAACACGAAGGGTTCTAAGGACCACAATGCATGGTGAAGAAAGCGGCGCCTAACAAAAGACAAACGCGCCGGGCACAATCCGCGATTTTACGGTTAGGTTTTTTCGCGTGCATTTCGTCCATCGGCCCATCGATGTTTATGTTTTGTGTGTGTGTTTGCGGAGGGCATCTCAAGAGACCTCATCCTTAAATTATCCCCCTTGTAAATTATCCCATGTGCTGTAGAACCCACGCGACAAACGTTTAGGCGCGAAGCATTCCTTCGCTTTAATTTGGATTTGGCTGGATACATTGATGTGAGGCACCTCTGGAAAGCTGTACATTGCTTGAGATTTTTGCGTTCATATTTGTATTTTGTGTAACCCATGCTTTCAGTGTATTTATTGCGTGGTATGTTTTATGAGTCGAGCAGTATATAATGGTCTGGCTGGCGTGTGCCACTTAAATGTATTTCCCATTTATTTGTTTGGTTTCTGTGTCGGCGGCAAGGAGACATTTGTGGTCAGCTTTGTTTATGAAGGGTAATGAAATCGTTCAATGTTTGCTTAATAATAGGCTTACAACGATGTATAGATTTAAAATGTGTTATTACTCATGATACATTGATCCAATAATGCATGCAAGTATCGATTGTTTTTTATTTGAATATGGCAAAGGTAATAGCTTCACATGGCCCCTGCAGCCAGGGAAAGTGCTACATTTCCTATATTAGTAAAAAAATATTTAATCAAATCATGAGGAAGAACATGTGTTTCAGTTCCACTAAATATCTAATTTTTAATCGGTGATACAAATACATCTAAATTGGTGTTATATTTACCCACTTTCTCACTGGTTTGCAGAATGTTCCATCTTTGTCAATGTGCATTGTTTGTAAACTTTTATTATTGATGTAAATGTGCCAACTGCTGTTATTGCGTGCTACCAGCAGCCCCGGCGATGCCACCCACAACGCCACCGGTGTTCCAGGCCCCCCTGAGGCCGGGCTTTGGCACTGTGGGCAAGCCCATCCAACTCAGGGCCAACTACTTCGAGGTGGACATCCCAAAGATGGACCTGCTCCACTACGACATCGATATCAAGCCTGAGAAGTGTCCACGCAGGGTCAACCGGTGAGCGTCGCCTACCAGTGCAGTGACTCGCAAGGGGAAATTCTGAGTTGTTCTTCGATAAAGTCTGCAGGGCAGACACTATCTAACCTTAAACCACTTACAGTACTAGGTCAATCGATCAGCTGTAGGGAAAAGGTCCCTGTTTAATATGGAGCGGTTAAGGGTGGTAAACGACACATTGTTTAACGTTCATAAAAATACAATGCGATCTTTGTAGATGTTGCTGCACCTCTCCTCAGGTGTTTATATTTTCACATGAAAATGAAATTTTTAGATTGGTCCTTTGGCATCCATGCTGATTACTAGGAAATAATGTCATGTCTTTTGTTAAATCATAAAATCAAGACGTGCATGCTGCTTTCCAGGAATGAGTAATTGTTTTTCTGAGAATTGTGGCAGTCAATTTTTAGTTCACATGTGCTGTGCTCAAAGATTTTTACGTTAGATTATGCTGGAAGCAGCCAAATAATCTTAACGTAAATTGCATGGGAAAATCATAAAATGGAGTGGTGCTTTGCTTTATCATGCTGCTGGGTAGTTGGGAGAGGATTTCTAATTTAATTGTGAAGCACTGCTTTAATTTTAAATAAGTGCTATTTTTATGTAGCTGCTGCACTATTATACATGCAGTTCCGTTTCACTGCTAGCTTTCAGGCAGCTTGTTTGACGTGCTGGTCAATGAATTCCTTTGTGGAATTCGCATTGTATGTGCTGCGTTGCAATAATTAATTATGTACAGTTCTTTATCAATCTACTTGTCGATTAAGGTATCCCCGTGGGTTGTTTTGATCATACTTTTGTAGTGTCAGTGATTCGGAGACGAGGTTTGTAGGAGGCACCTTCTTTATTAACAACACATTCACGGTCTCGTCTACACACCCTCTACCGCCGCTTAGCCGAGCCTGTACACAACACCAGCCGTCTAACACTGACGGTGCTGACTGAGACAGCCAGCAACTATCCTGCAGCGCAATATCTAGCGAAGACGGCAGCGATGACGAGACGAGTCCAATCTCAGAACCGGCAGCCTCGAGCTCCCGCTCTCTGCTCCTTTTATCCTACCAGCGCGGCCTGGCCCCGTCCTGGCCCCGCCTCCCTTCTCGAACCCATGAGCAGGTTCCAGGGGCCTCCATGACCCTTTCCCTAGTTCCTCCGCCCTGCCCACACCCCGTGCACACGCTCACCTGCGTGTGTACTGTTCGTCCACCACAGTTGCCGCTGCTGTCCACCAGCCGGTGCTATTACACGACATATTCGTCATGTTAGTCTGTGCGTATTGGTCAAGGGAAGGCCCAAGACCGGTTCAAATAACAATCATCACCAGGTCTCTAAATCTCAGGTCGCCTGGCTTTTGGAGCACTGGCTGACTACAGCAATGTCCACCTCCACTGCACTGATTTGTGACTTTTAGCAATGTTTTTGGGGGATTTTTTATCAACAACAATGGTCTTCTGTAGGGTGCTCGACACCGTATTTATATTAACAGGCATGTAGATGATTACAAATGTATAAGTCTAACAAAAAGCACCTGAATTTGATTACAATGCCAAGCAGTAGGATTGTTTAGATGGTGCCAATTCAATGACCATAGATAGAATATCGCATATATTGAGTTCCTCACTTGATTACCAAAGGCCATAGCGGGTTCTTTGATGTGTTCATATCAACAAAGGTGACATGACAACACACCATTTAAGTTTATTCTCTATTTGAAGCACTCGCTGATTGAACTGCGAGTGTTGTGATTGACATTAATTCACTGGAGCACAGCTGAGTGTGCTCAGATGGAGCCCCCCTCCCCTCTTATCCAAGGATCACTGGTATAGAGCCCATTCAACATTGGCAAGTGCCTTTTCCTATTAGAGGTATATTATGAATGTTAAAGATCCCGCAGTACTCTTCACTAATGAGAGCGCTGCTGGGATAATGAACAAGAGTCATTATTTGTCTTTTAATTTTGAACGGACATTTAAATCGATGGAAAGCAAGAAAATAACTAAACATTTTATGGTTGTAAACATTTTTACTTCTGCGTTTTTGTTGTAATCATTCTGGAGTTTAATGTATTTGTTGTGAACCGTATTGTTTGAGTTGCATTATAGAGTGGAAGAATTTCGTAACAGGCAGTCAACGGTCATTATTCATGTGGGAGTGTTGAGGGCATGTTGACTGTGTGTCTTGTGCTCTAGGAATAGTAAACTATTCGAAGGCAAACAGCTGGTAGCACTTGAAATGCCAGCAATAGTTATATTATTGAAATGGACATTTTTTTCCCCCCTTGTTTTTCTTAGAAAGAAGGTCTGGTACTGCGTATAGCCTGGAAAAACAGAGCTGCTACCAAGTACCGTTGGAAATAGAGTCACATGTGTATTTCGAGTGATATATGTGCAAGTTGTGAGTGCTGGCGTGCTTCATGTATGCACCTTCCTAGCTGCTTAGCCTCCCATTTACTTGGATTCCTCTCCTGGCATGCCTGTGGTTTTTGCAGTTGGCAATATGTACCATTTGCAGGTTTCCCATAGGCCCTCTGAAAATGCACACCCGCTTACTGTGTCTCAATAGCAGTGGTTGGGAGGGGAGTTGGCTGAACACGGTGCTTGCTTCATGACAGCATCTAGTGCCGTGCAGACCTTTCATCACTCGTAGCCCTTTGTCCATTGCTGGATCAGGGCCTTCCCACACTGTTGGTTACGGAGGTTGCCCATGCTTTACACTGGCCAGTGCAGATTGGTGAAGGGCGGGGAGGGGAGTGCCCAAGAGAGGTTCAGATGCACACCACTGCACTCGCCACCATCGTTAGCCATGGCCCAGGATTTTGATTGCATGTCACCATGTTCATTCTGCAATTTGCGAACCGCTGCCCACCACGGGTATCATTATATGCCGCTGGGTATAATAGAAGTGTTTTATTTCTAACATCTGCTCATATTTCATAATTTACCCTCAACGTTGCTTTAACAGTACGGTTAAACAGTTTTTGTTTGGAGTTTCATATTTTCACAACTTTGTGTAGATGAAAAATAAAACCCCATTATGTGGAATCACCGGAAGCCCAGTCACCAATATCCACAACACTGTCTGAAAACCACGAAGGGAACCAGGGCGAACGCCACCGTATTTTGACCGGTCGTTGCGCAGCGGTGTGATGAGCATTGTGCTTATGCCGTGTTCACCTGCAGGGAGGTGGTGGAGCACATGGTGCAGCACTTCAAACACAAGATATTCGGCGATCGGAAGCCGGTGTTTGATGGAAGGAAGAACCTCTACACGGTCACGCCCTTGCCAATTGGAAGAGACCGGGTAAGCGATTTCCATCCACGCATTTGCATGAGAACCATTCCGCATGTGATGACTAATCATATTCATCCTTCAGAATTCAATGCCACATTCATAAAAATGCACTGAACGTTAAGTGCAAGAATCAATTACATTTAATGTAAATCTATATTCAGAAGTTGCGTTTGTCTCCCAGAGTCCAGGGCATGTAGAGTTTTTAGGATATCGCAACGCAGATTAGTAGTCTTTTCATGTTTTTTGTTTCATGGTTACATTGTGTATGTATATATAGATTTCGATTTAAAGCTTTCGTGACTGCAGGGATTCATCTTCTTGGTTCTTTCGGTAAAGTCACGTAGAAGGGAAGTAATAAAATAATAATAATAAAACATAATAAAATAATTCTCACGTTGTAGCCGAAACGTCGTGAGAATTATTTTATTATGTTTTATTTTTATTATTTTATTACTTCCCTTCTACGTGACTTTACCGAAAGAACCAAGAAGATGAATCCCTGCAGCCGTCTTCACCTGAAGACGGCTGCTTGCGTTGTAGCCGAAACGTCGTGAGAATTATTTTATTTTATTATGTTTTATTTTTATTATTTTATTACTTCCCTTCTACGTGACTTTACCGAAAGAACCAAGAAGATGAATCCCTGCAGCCGTCTTCACCTGAAGATGGCTGCTTGCGTTGTAGCCGAAACGTCGTGAGAATTATTTTATTTTATTATGTTTTATTTTTATTATTTTATTACTTCCCTTCTACGTGACTTTACCGAAAGAACCAAGAAGATATATATAGATTGCACGCACAAGCACCCACCTTGTATACCAAGTAAGGGATGAGTGCATGAAACACTATACATAATGACATTTATACCTGAAAGCCTTTAATGAGTCTTAAGACTTTCAGGAGCGTCGTGCTTTGGGGAGTTTGGCCGATTTTTTTGAGGAGTGTTTTATATACAATGTTACGTAATGATTCTTAATGTTCATTGTTCGAGGCCAGGCTAAGACACAGAATTTTTCGGGTTTGGTGGTACATTTCAATGCTTGCAGACAGTTTTGAGAGGGACATCGCCACAAGGAACCACCTTGTTATGCAAATATAATAATGTGGTAATGTTTATATAAGGCTGATGGGTTGAACGAAACTGCATTGCGAAGCATCACAAATAAGATGTAAATATGAGAATCAGTTGGCGAATAAAATATTTACACCAGCTCGTGACATTTTATCAACTAGCTTTGAGGGGTGTAATTGTAGTGGGAGCACTGTTGACAGCAATGATACTGATGGATGATGATGATGGTCAATGCAGGTGGAGCTGGAGGTAACGTTGCCTGGGGAGGGCAAAGAGCGCGTCTTCAAGGTGACCATCAAATGGATGGCCAACGTGAGCCTGCAGCTGCTGCATGAGGCTCTGAGTGGCCGTCTTGCACAGATCCCATACGAGTCCATCCAGGGCCTGGACGTGGTCATGAGGCATCTTCCTTCCATGCGGTAAGAAGTCATGCGAGGTGTAGATTTACCGTGCGAGTTTTGTGAGTAGGCCAAATTACATTGCCTCATTGCGATACATTTGAAGAAAAAAATACGGAGCCTTAATTTTGGCATGAATAATCTATTAACAGGAATGTCAAACCTTTTTTTAAGGATTCTAGATTTGAAGTTTTCGTGACTGCAAGGATCCATACTCTTTGGTTTTTTCGGTCAAGTCACGTAGGTAGAAAAATAAAATGAATTAAAATGAAAACAAATAATTTAATAATAATAAACAAAGAGTACTTTTTTAAGGATCCACATGGTTTCCCAGTTATGTATTGGAGCAAATAACTTTTACCACTGGGTATCACGCAATGGTCAAATACAGTTTAATACATTCAGTTGATTAGAGTGATAATAACCTACAATTTGTAATAATGAACCCTGGTTCATGTCTAAAATAAGAAGTAAGTTCTTGACAAATTGTGCGACATTTTAACCAATTTTGTGTTAAAATTTTGTGAACAATCTACAATAATGATAATCAGTTTTCTTTATGAAAGATTTACAGGATTCAGTGTCCATGGTGAGGGCCTCACTGTTGCAAATTTTAAGGTTACGAATCATTCCGTTACATATTTTTTTAAATAAAACTATTCATGACTAAAATTACATATACGTATGTATGTTGAACTTTTATCGCACCGTTCACTTCACATATAAAGTTAAATACAAGGGCAGCGAGATAGAGAGAGAGGTGTTGGGGTTTCACGAATGAGCCGTGGAATGAGCGCGTCGCGTGACGTGGAGCATGGTGGAGAGCGAGCGAGCGACTGGCGCCGCCCCCATTTGTCGCGGTGCAGCATTCCTTGCGACCGAGCGCGACATGTCCGTGAGCCGCTCGGATGCCTGTGGTTGGTATCGGCAAGGCGAGAGGCATGCAAGCAATGGTGCCAAAACCTAATAAAACCACAGCAAGCGTACATGTCAACATTTACACTTGACGCTTCTCAGAATGTTGAAGCCATACTTTAAAAAAAGTATTCTAACCGTTCGATTGATGGAGGTTGTGAACAGTAGCGATTAAGTGAAACGTCATGTAGAAGTTTAGTGAATTGAAAGTATTTCATGCAGTTGGTCAAACCAGTGTGAAAAATATTTGTTGTATGCGTATACCTCATCCCCTTTAACTGACTTGTTAATGTTGAATGAGTGAAGTCTCTTTTTTATTAAAATCTATTAAATGAGCACAGCAAAATATATAATTTCTTGCCAAATGTAGAACCATCACAAGCCATCCATGTCTCAGAGCACAGTAAACATTTTAGCCATTCACTTTACAATGTTTCGTTTGTATTAATGGTAACGCACGGTTAATATTTTATTTAAAATGGTTGGTATGTCCATTCACTGGTTAAAATTGTAGTGCCCAGTGCTACATGTGCAGTTAACATCCATCTTTGATAATTTTTGACTTGTATATAGTTTGCATAATTGGCCACACCCTGAACCATACAAGCTGATAATTATTTCAAATTCAAGCACTTTTCTGCACAGACAAATTTGGAATTTAGCTTTAAACTCAAGTATGATCTTGGACATTTGATAGCCAAAAATAAGAACAAAACAATAACCACTACAATCTTGATTTGAAGCTTTCGTGACTGCAGGAATCCATACGCTTTGGCTCTTTCGGTAATGTCACGTAGTTAGAAAATTAATAGATCACGACGTTTCGATCGCAACACAAGCAACCGTCATCAGGTGAGACAAACAGCAGGAGAACTGCTGACGCAGGGACTTTACTGAAAGAACCAAAGAGTGATAACCACTACAATTATTTTACAAGCCAAACAATTTTATTATTTGACTTCGACGACAATGAAAATGTTAACAGGTTTTTCCATGTTACGTAATTTATTTATGGCAGAACCAAGTATTCATGATTTAAAAATAGAAATTACAATGACATGACCATCTTTTTTTTGTCATGAAGTCATTGTCTACTTACTTAGTTTTTCCCTTATGTAACTTATTTATTGATTGGCCCTAACTAAATTAAAGTACTATCGACAGAAACCCTGAATCGTACATTTCCCCGTCTTATCACCGCATGGGCTCACTCACAATTGTTGCATTCGCCAGCCTCTAGACTCTCAACCCCCCCCTCACCCTTAAATAGTCCTCACGGGAATGCCGCTGTGGAACCCACTCCCAGAGGTAGTACATCACCAAGAGAGACCTCGCCCACAGAGGTAGTGTTGAATACTAAGACTGGATTATCATTGGGGCAGGCAGTATGGGGTAGGACTCCTGGCACGTCAGCTGGGTAGATGAAGACCAGGCTTGGCATAAAAGCTTGCTTGAGCTGTGGGCCATCCACCTGGTGGCTCTGGGATATTTAGAGCAGGCACAAGGGGAAAGAGAGTAAGGAGGGTCCACTCTGACAAAGTCATGGCCATGGTTATGACAACGAGAGACGCTGCCTCGGGCACCCAAATTTGATGTTGGAGAGAGGGAGCGTCTTAAGTGGCTCAGAGAACAGTTCAACACATTCCTGAATCAAGTCCAGGAATCCCCCTACTGGTGGCATGCAAGGCTGACTTGGATGACGGTGGTCACATTTATAATACACTCCTGCCCTTGCACACTGGCATCAGCAGAGGCATGTTGGGAGGGCAGTTCTATCGCTGGTCATGAAGTGAAGCTGTATCTTGCCTCTCCTCAGGTGAGAGCTGTGAGAAGGCTCGCTTGTTGAATTGGTGGAGGTGGCATTGACAGTGGTGTGGAAAAGTGTTGTTTAAATAAATAAACGGATTTTCCCACGTGTTACTGTCACCCTCGCATTCTTTCCGCCTCCCCTATCGAGATTGGATTGATAATATTTTAGCTGTGGCGTTTGCAAGAATCTCCTTGTTCAAGGCAGGAACTGCAAGGGCTGTTCCTGGCTAACCCAGATCCTGTTGGTGAGGGTTAAGGCAGTTCCGGATGGTATCATTCTCTGCACGTAATGGTTTGGTGGGATTCTGGAGTTTGAGGACTGCACTGATCATGGACACACTGAACTCGCATGGTATATTCCACCATGAGGCTGCACTCCAGTTGAGATGCCTCATATGGATAATGAGTTTTTTGCGAGGTCTGGCTGGTAATGCATCCAAATAATGTTATTGTTAAACTGACAAGGATGGTGTTAACTTCGTGTTTAGATAATTTATACAATCTAACATTTATTATAAAATCCTGACCTTTGACCAAATGTCATTTTACTCGACTATTCACCTTTTAAAAAAGTTTACATTTGCACAAACCAAGACTGCTCACTCGTGTTAAAAAACTGATAATTGCACACACCTATATTGGGATAATTATGGGCACAGTCAGCGCTGGACTGGGGGAGCAGAGAGCTGCGAGCATCTACCCCTACCAGAGCCTACGCAGATCGTTAAAGGTCCCATTACGCCGTTGTTGTAAGTATGCACCCATCTGTTGTCTTGCAGGTACACGCCCGTGGGCCGCTCATTCTTCACACCTCCGGAGGGCTACAGTCAGCCCCTGGGTGGTGGACGCGAGGTCTGGTTCGGCTTCCACCAATCTGTGCGGCCCTGCATGTGGAAGATGATGCTCAACATCGACGGTGCGTCATGCTGCCCAGGAGAATATTTTTTGTCCTACTTTAGCACTTGTCGCTTGGTAAACAGATGCGATTAGCCCCCGCTCACCCATCTCCATGATTAGCCTTTTGTCTCAATTTGTTAGCTTAAGCCATTTGCTGTAATCTCTTTACAACGGCCATTTTCAGCACTTCCGATTAGCACAGTTGGCTCCGTGCGGCGCGAAAGAAGTTTAGTCTTCGTAAGTTTTCCGCGTGCCTCTCGTACCCGGTGCTTCGAGCGTCTTATGTGTTCTCTGCCATCTGCTGTGCCTGCAGTGTCGGCCACGGCGTTCTACAAGGCACAGCCGGTGATCGAGTTCATGTGCGAGGTGCTGGACCTACGCACTGTGGAGGAGCAGCCACGGCCGCTCAGCGATTCGCAGCGTGTCAAGTTCACCAAGGAAATTAAAGGTCTCCTGGAGAATAATCCTGAATAACATCGACCACAGCAAATAGTGCTCACATTGTGAAAAAATTAGAATAGGTTTTACCCCTTTCTGGCAACAGATGTTAAGATGTTCAAACACCAAATAGAAACCTTTTTCAAGGAATTATACTTTGATACTGGCAAAAAGGTCCCAATTAGTGCTCACGTTGTCAGTTTGCAATGTATATGGAGGCGATGTCAGCAGCTAATTACTGATGTGATCCCAAAGAAGGGTGGTGAAAAGTAGTATTTTCGTGTGTCTCAAGGAGTAAGTTTTCAATAAGTGCATATTGTTTTACATGATTTGTGGATCAGAAAGATTGCCACTGACAAATAAAATGGGACAAAACTTTAAAAGTGCACTAAGAAGCTTGTGGGTGGTGCATCGCTTAATTTACACAGAGATTCAGAAAGCGCCGTTACAGGGACGATTGAACGAACACACATCAGACACAGTTAACCTTTAAAACATAAGATGGCTTGGGCAAGACACTGCTGGAAGGACGATGCTGGTTTCGGAATAGAATGTGAATCAGAAAAGTGCTCCACTTGAATGATAACCACAGAAAGGGAAGAATAATATCAGACCATGAGTGAGAGTGAGCTGGAATGTGGCATCGCATGATCATGAAGGGACAGCAATGGGGCAGACGATGGCTGATGTTGATGGTGATGTACAGTACATACGTAATTGAAGAAACAAACATCTATGCTGTACATTGTTTCTAAAGCACACAACAACCTTGTGCCATTTGTCTTATAACCAGAGCCTTGTGTAGATATTTGCAACACAAATGAGATAAGCTTATCATTAGCCCAACAGGAAACTGTGGCAAACTGAACGTAAGAGGATGTAAACTAAACGGGTGGATTTTAGAGTGTGGCCTCATAAGAGGTCCTGAGCTTTACTTGCAAGGCTTGCAACGCTTTGTGTAAATGTGTTTTTATCTGTCGACATTGTCACCTTTTTTTTTGGTGGTGTTCGCATTGAGGCTTTAGCTTCTTACATGTGCATGTCAAAAATCCCCACTAAGGTGTAAAACATCTTCTTGAAATTATTACAGCATATTAAATGCATTCCTACTCTTGGATAGTTTATAATGTCTCCAATGTACATGATGCTTTATAGCAAAACAGATCTTTGTTCTAAGTATAAAGTACGGTCCCATAAAGGAGAAAAACTTATTGTAACACACTGAAGATATTCACAGACAACACGATGGTGAACTTAAATAATCTAGATTTTAAGTTTTCGTGACTGCAATTATCCATACTCTGGTTCTTTCGGTAAAGTCACGTAGGTGAAAAAATAATCTTATCATAATTTATTTTCAAGCAGTGTCTCGCCAAAGGTGAATTGCGAAACGTTTAATAAAAAAAATATCATCAGAGCCTGGGGGTAACACTTTACAAAGGTTTGTCTGCTTTTAATGCACACAACACTGCCAGAGGCCACTAAGTAAAATTGTTTATGGGCCATGCTTTTAACCGCACGTGTATTGAAAGTAAGATAGGGTCACATTGGCCAACGAGCGTTAATATTTTCACGTTTTATTTACTTATGTCTTTATATGTTCCGCATCATTCATTTAAAACTGTTTTTGAAAGTGTTTTATTAACAATAGAGGCTTTTGAAAAGCAATGAAAGGTGATTTAACTTGATAGCTTGAGAGGTCATGCCTGGCATTTTGATACTGAAAAATGTTCCGTCCGTGGGAATTCCCCTTGCAAATGGTACAAGTCTGCCCTGCTAATTGAGACCACGCATGGCCAAACGGATGCTTTTGAGGACTATCGTAAGTGCATCTGTGCGCGTTCTCATGGCTGCGTGTTTTATTTCAGGGCTGAAAGTCGAGATAACCCACTGTGGACAGATGAAGAGGAAATACCGCGTGTGCAACGTTACCCGAAGGCCTGCCGCGCAACAGACGTAAGTGATGGAGCCCTCCAGCCCACCACTGCACAGTGCCCGAGTTGGGCTCCTGCAGCAGGTGGAGCGGTACATTCGTTGTTTTGTGTTGAATACGTACGCACGCTCGCATGTTGAACTTCTTTCGTTACCGTACGAAGCCAACCGTGCTCATCAGAGGTGCGGGGGAAGGACAACACAATAAACACAAGAAGCAGTTCTGAAGAAATATGTTTTCACTTAAAAAAAATAGTTTTCAGCTTAGAAAATTTGTTTCAGTGCAGGCACGACAAGTTAAACAAGACCACTAACAAATATGTAAGCATTGAAACATAATATTTGAGTTCGTATGAAAAGTCTGGACCTTGAGTGGGGCATGGTAGGTGTTTGTTATGTTAACACCGTCATTGAGAAGTGCAGTTCTAAGTTCACAATTGATATGCATATCACTTTGGCACTCGATTGTCAAGCTATCATACATTTTAAACCCACGTGTGTTTTTGCGGCGCACGCACGTGTGGGGAAACTGAGTGGCCTGAGTGATGAAACACGTGCAAAAGTGATTAATGTCATTTTCCAGTGTTATGCCTTTTTCATAAGCACAAGATTCAATTAGCAAATTAAAAAGTATTCTGACGTTCTGCAATTACTTTTAAGACTAAGGTGAGTGAGTGGGCTAGTTTAAGTGTTATGATTGTGGTTTGCTTTTGAAAAGGGTGTCAATGCATTGTAAGACTTTTATATTCTGCTGTTTTGTTTTCATTAAGTTACGGTGATGAAGTTGTGACAAGACTGGTGGTGTAATGGCAACCAAAGGATATAAATTGTATTTGAGAAGACAATGACTTGAGAGATGGAGCGATGAAATCGATTGATGTGCAGGCTTGAGATACCTTTTAGCATCACAAGACCACGAAGGATTACGACGACATGGTGGTGCTTTCGTCCCCATCAGTGGATAGATCGTGGCTCACCATGATGTCGATTTTGTTGCTATCTCGACGTGTCCTCTGCAGGTTCCCTCTGCAGCTGGAGAGCGGGCAGACGGTAGAGTGCACGGTAGCACAGTACTTCAGGGACAAGTACAAGCTTCACCTGAAGTACGCGCACCTACCCTGCCTCCAGGTGGGGCAGGAAGAGAAGCACACCTACCTGCCGCTTGAGGTGAGCAAACTGAACACTGGAGAGGGGTGAAGGACTTGGTGGTGCCGTCCATGTTAGCAGAGCAGCTGTGCAGCAAGGAGCAGTGGTTTTTTAATTCGCTCTGCAATAAATGCCATGCAGAGGTGGTTGGAAATTTACATGGCTTGTGTCGTGCAGCCATGAGAGATTCGGCTGTCAGCGATTTTGCCGTTCAGTTGCTTTGAGAGTTGTTTAATTGGAGATATGCAGCTTTCAAATGTATATTTTGAGCGGTGCGAAGTTACATGCTCCATGGTTTGGAGTTTGTCGTCAGTCATATACAAGAAGGGAGTGTGTGATTTTCCACTTGTGCAATATGTATCCTTATTGCTGTTTGGGATGGATCATGATTTGTGCCACCTGCCTTTTATTAAAATGCAAAAAAAATTGACATTTGGAAGGCACTGACCACTTTGTGTGAGTACACGTGACATAATGTGAGCTATATTCGAATGTGCATCCGTGCGAATCCTTTGAAAACATGCATTTAAATGGTCCTTAGAGTGGTGGAACACATGTTCGTGAATTGGTCTTTTTTTAATGGGACTTGAGTCGGCCAGCCCACGTTTGCACTTAGCCGTGTCACTGCCACATGAACAGATGTGCTCTGTCACATGCTCAAAAAGCTATGTGGGTTACCATAAAACCACGTTATTTTTGTTTTACTTTCAAATGTTTGCAGTTTTACCTGAAGAATGCATCTAAATTAATATCCAATTTACTAGGGACGAACAAAATAAATTGACGGCATATGCGCACTCAGCAAATCATTGACTTCAGAATTAAAATTGTGATGGGAAATAAGACACAGGTAATTGTTCAAGCAGGTGCGATTGCAGTCATGAATACTCTTTTGTATTATAATTCCAGTATTATTGTTTAAGTTGCGTTCTATTGCTATGCTAATTATTATTGTAGTGAACTAACTCGTTACTCTAGTTAATACATTTTATAAGTAAAACTAGTCAGTAATTGTTAAATTAGATATTTATCATCTTACAGTCCTTCCAATAATTATAATTGAGGAAAAATGTTAAACTGTGGGTCGCCAAAAGTCGCCTTAGTCACACAACGCATCGAATTTAGGATTATTCATATTTAGTGTAGATGCCAAAGGCTCCCAACAGCCAAATTAAATCTGCATATTGCAAATCTGAAGAGCAGCAGGAGAGATGTCCCCAGGCCATCCCACAAGACTGCTTTGTTATTTGGATATACCCAGCACTGAGGATAAAAATAACAAGATGCCTCTGACTAAGAACAGCTGCACCTGTGCCAACTAGAGGGCAGGGTAAGACACTCATTGAATAAATGATCGGGGGAGGGAAACTCACTGGTGGCCTTGCTGTATTTGCTACCCATCAGGTGGCTTTGTCATTCTGCCTTTGATGGTTTCGGTTTTCAGTGTGACCGTCACTCCCATCGCAGGCGTTCAGTTGGTAGCAGATGAAATGACTGTGCCGAAATTCCTGCCTCGTTGTAGGTTTGCAATATTGTGGCTGGACAGCGCTGTATAAAGAAACTTACAGACAACCAGACATCCACAATGATCAAAGCCACAGCACGCTCAGCTCCGGACCGGCAGGAAGAAATCAGTCGTTTGGTAAGAAACTGAGGGCTTGTGTATATCAGCTATTGCTGTCCGTTTTTTTCTTCCGATCGGGACCTCTTTATGAATGTGCTATGTGTAGTCCCATGCGGCATTGCCTTGCCTAACCATGTTTAGCTTTCAGTTCCCCCGAGTAATGAGACTCGTCTCAATGGGTTCTCATCTTAGTTTCTAAAGATGTAAAAATGAACTGAACCACAAAGTTGGAACCTAAGCAATATAATGTTGATAATATTTTGTAGTAATTGCATATTTCCAATGCGTTAGATGATGCATTACTTTAGAGTGCCATATTCATTTTTCTTCTTGGTTCTTTCGGTAAAGTCAACGTGACTTTACCGAAAGAACCAAGAAGATGAATCCCTGCAGTCACGAAAGCTTTAAATCGAAATGCCTAATTAATTGTTAAAGTTTTCTGATTTTATGACATTTTTTGTGCCATCTTACCAGGACCCCCCCCTTGAAAATGAGATGTGATTGTCAAGGTTTTAACCTGGTTAAATAAAACACATTGTAATTGCTAATTCTCCAAGCCAAGTTGTCCTTTCCCACACAAGCACTCTGTTCCTTCCGTCCGCATCCCCCTACTTTGTGTCCTTGTAATGCGGCGGGCGTGACGTCTTGATTTCGTGCGTTTTTTTTTTATTTCGCCCCCTCGCTCAGATGAAGAGTGCGAGCTTCAACTCGGACCCGTACGTGCGCGAGTTTGGAATCATGGTGAAGGACGATATGGCGGACGTGCAAGGCAGAGTGCTGAACCCGCCCATGCTGCAGTACGGCGGCAGGGTGAGTACCAGCTCCGCACACGCCCAGGTAACTAGCTGCCGCCAGCTGCAATCCACCGCACGTCGCCACTTTGCATTTGTTTGTCATTATTACTGTATGATTTGACATGCGCTTGCCCATTGTCTGCCATGGTTTTTGTTGGAGCTTAACTAACCGTGGGGTTGGTAGATTTTACCGTGGTGGTTTTCACACTTGCTGTGCTAGAATAATCACCCCTGCTTTTTTTTGTGCCAGCTCGTCCGATGCATTTAGAGATTGAATGAGACTGCATTTTCATGCTGCAATAATAATTGAGTGTTTACTTTAATAATTGGTCTTTTCTTTGCAGCTGCCATCCCATTCAGCTTTATACCTTGGCTCTACAGTTCACTGCTATTCATTATATTGGCCATTTTGTCATCAGTGCGTTATTCAATTATGTAATTGGCCATAACTACTTTTATTTAGTTTTTTCTCTGGCCTTGAAATATAACCTCTTCAATCTTGATTTGAAGCTTTTGTGACTGCAGGAATCCATTCTCTTTGGTTCTTTCGGTAAAGTCACGTAGGTAGAAAGATAATAGATCACGACGTTCCGATCGCAACACAAGCAATCGTCATCAGGTGAGACAACCACGGCAAGAAAAAATTGCTGAAGTAGGCTGTGGTTGTCTCACCTGATGACGATTGCTTGTTTTGCGATCGAAACGTCGTGATCTATTATTTTTCTACCTACGTGACTTTACCGAAAGAACCAAAGAGTATAACCTCTTCAGTCTAAACTAAATTGCACATTTGACCCCCTAGAGGGCACTAGCAGTTTGAAAATCACCGGTTTAACGTATGAATGATGAGTAGAGGTTGAACGTTAAAGTATGTCAAGTGTTTTGTGTTGAAGGTAGTTTGCAGTGGTGGTTTTGGGGTGTATGATTCGTATTCCTAATTTCAAATGGGTAGGAATCTTGACTTAAAGCTTTCGTGACTGCAGGAATTCAAATTATTTGGGTTTTTCGGTAAAGTCACGTAGATAGGTTCAAAGAAAATAACAAAAAATAACAAATAACTATGACGTTTTGATCGCAAACACAAGCGTTCGTCATCAGTAAGAGTGGGTTAGCTACGCTCATTTCAAACCTTTATCAACAGTTTACCTTTAGAAGCTAACCCCCTCTTTATGATGACGGACGCTTTTGTAGCGATCGAAACGTTGTAGTTTTTTGTTATTTTTTGTAATTTTCTTTTAACCTTTCTATGTGACTTTACCGAAAGACCCAAAGAATATTGGTAATAATATATTGAGGTATTATCCTGGAAATGGGATACTGTTTATTGACCTGGTTTAGGAATGAAGTCCTTGGGGTTATAGTTAGATTGAAACAGAATATTGAACCTGATGTTTTGAATGATAACATTGGGGGGAAGTCCATTCGTGTTGAAATGGCCTTGCATTAAAAAATTTTAATTATAATGTGACCCAAGCAAGTGCTTTGAGTAATTTTCAATGGTAAAGTTTTCTTGTGAATGTCTTGTTTTAGCTTTTCTCATTCTTGCCATTTTCACAAGCGTGCAAATAGCATCCCCTAATTGTCTCCTTAAAATCAGAAAGGACAAGCTAGTTGTGAGCAGTGATTACAGTCTTAATCGGGATAACATATATATGCAATGTATAATCGGAGTACTTCCTGCCTATCGATGTTTAATATGTACGCATGTGAAAATGTTGCTCTCATTCCCTCCTGGTGATATGAAGCAGTGTTTGTCCATTCCGCTTTGTGAGTGATTCACCGCAGCATGATGCGCACCTTTCACGTTTGCTCTGTCTCGCCCTGGTCTTGCTTGTTTTAATTACGTTCTGAATGAAACTTGTGTGATGTTGTCGTCCAGGCCGAGGGGACGTGACCTTTTAATGCCCGTGCGTGCTCTGCGTGCGTGCGTTTGTTTTTTCTTTCCCTCGTGTGCGCGTGCCTGAAGACTCGGGCGGTGGCGACGCCCAACCAGGGAGTCTGGGACATGCGGGGGAAGCAGTTCTTCACGGGAATTGAAATAAAAGTTTGGGCAATCGCTTGCTTCGCACCACAGAGGCAGTGTCGGGAGGAAGTCTTGAAGTAAGCAGCAGTTGAACCTCGTGTTGGCCCACCTTAACCTCTAGCATGCCGATTGAGCGGCAAATGTTCTTTTGCTTGTTAAATTATTCTTATTACCGTATTCTTCAGATTATAAGACACACCAAAAAGAAAGACGCGCTACAAAGGTGATTCTCGATGTCAAGTTGTACAAATCTGGAAGCGCGCCCATGTCGTATTTTACGACGCACCCCCGACTCTTGCTCTAAAATACAGGCGGGGAAAAGTGTCTTATCTGCAGAATATGGTAGTAGGTCCTAAGCTGACTGTGTGACTGATGGTAATGCCAGTAAGTTGCTTTAGAATTTTAACCATGATTACAACACATGAATATTTGTGGATTCCTGTATAGTTAGAGTGTTAGCACGCAATGTGTGGTCTTCACAACAGTCTTCTTGTTAGATAACCTTCAGAGCATTGACAAGGGAACTGGTTTAGGTATTGCACCAGCAACCTTTCAACTGAAAGGCCAGCCACCTAAATTACAAACCTAATATAATCCACAGATTTGAAAATGTTGATATCTTTGAGTGCCTAACAGTCCTGGTTTTATATAAACAGAAATTGACTTACACCATTGGTACCTCATTTGCCAGTAAAAAATATGATAATTGGTTTTTTACCCTTTTATCTGGCAACAAAACTGACACTTTTTTTGCGCCTTTTGGCGTCATCTGGTCCAACCCATGTGAGACTAGGCTCTAAGGAAAGCTGTCTCGGGTGTGGAACAATCAACTTCAAGGACAGTGCATATCATTAACAGTTATGTTTTTGTTTGCATTATGACTGCAGGTATTGTGGTCTATGCAAACATGACTCCTCGTAAAAAAGGTGTCAGTTTTGTTGCCAGATAAAAGGGTAAAAAAACAATTATCAGAAATTGACTTGAAAGTGGACGAAACAAGCTTCACCTTAAACGCGTAGCTGAGTCCCAACTGCCTGTGACCTGTACGTTGAGTTTTTACAGCATTTAATTTCTTTTCACGTGCCTCACCGACAGGAACTTCACGGACCAGTTGAGAAAGATCTCGAAGGACGCAGGCATGCCCATCCAGGGTCAGCCATGCTTCTGCAAGTATGCACAAGGAGCTGAGAATGTGGAGCCCATGTTTCGGCACCTCAAGAATGCCTACATGGGCCTGCAGCTCATTGTGGTCATCCTGCCTGGCAAGACCCCCGTCTACGGTGAGGAACGCCGCTGCTGCTCGTGTGTTGCTTGTACAACGTGTGCTTTGTAGTCGTTTTTGCCCGTGGAGACCGCACTTGCCCGACGTCGCGTGCCGTGTGATGTCATCTTCTGCGAGTTTGAAACGTTCCATTGTTACGCTAGTTAGATGCCCAAAGAACAAACGCACGTTGGAAAACGTTACAGAAGCGATGCATGTGTGTCGTTTTTCTCGTTACTGTTGGTGCTTGATGTAGTGATGGGTACAGAGTTGGCGCTGGGGGTATTGTGACCATTAAGAGTCCATGCTCTTGATAGACTCCATTGACGGGGTGTCGAGCAATAGCTCCCATGACAATATTGAAGAGGAGTACAGTCTGGTGTGTTTAAATGCATGCGCAGTGGTTAGCGTCATACACTTGGAGTAACCCTGCTTCAATCCCTACCCATGTACGTTTGGCCACGTGTGCCTAGCAGCGAGCCTCTCGTCATTTTGAGTTCATGGGAAAGCCTAGCCAGGCTTGGTAATGACCTCACAAGTCACTCGTTTCCCCGACAGTTGCTGCCAACTTTAGCCATGCTTACGAGGCTCTTGTGTGCGTGCGTGTTATGCGTGCAGCGGAGGTGAAGCGAGTCGGCGACACGCTGCTGGGGATGGCGACGCAGTGCGTGCAGGTGAAGAACGTCCTCAAGACCTCGCCTCAAACCCTCTCAAACCTTTGCCTCAAGATCAACGTCAAGCTTGGGGGGGTCAACAACATCTTGGTGCCTCACATACGGTAAGTGGAGTGGCCACTCGCAATACATAAAAATACTGGGTGGTCTCCCTTGGCTGTGCCACTCTTAATAATGGTGATATGAGTTTCAAAGAATAGCGTTGAGCTATGTGAATCATGAGGGTACCTTTCTCTGACTCTTTGCATGATTGCATCGGTGGGTGCGTTTATGCAGTCTAATGTACACACTGCTCATGTTTGCATACCTTTTTATGTATGCAAATGAAATATAATAATATCTGCTGGACATTTGCTTTACCAGAGCTTCGATGTCACCACAGCTCTTGTACCATTTACTTTCTGGTGTTGCTCAACTTATTTGCAAAATGTTATGCTTCGGCCGAGCTACGATGGAATGCGCGTTGATTGATGTGCGTTGGTGTGTGTATTCGTCTGGCAGGCCTGCGGTGTTTCAGCAGCCTGTGATCTTCCTGGGTGCCGATGTGACACACCCTCCAGCGGGAGACGGAAAGAAGCCTTCGATAGCAGCGGTTCGTCCCCTCGCCTCTAATATTTTGTGTTTGCTTGTTCCGTTAACGTTAAGTTGTTCCAGGCGAACCTTTACATGTAGTGATTTTAGTGTCGGAATTGGCATTTGCATGTTTTTTACATATTATAAAAGAGCCTTGTAGTTTCGTATTGAGTTTCATATTTGAATGTTATCGTTATTTCATATTCTTCTTTATTTACCTCATTGATCTTTAGTTATTTTTTTTTACAAAAACAATCTTCCTTTTCCTGTCATTCTGAATCTTTTTACATCAGGGCTTAAAGCCCAGTATATGCCTTTGTGATTTTTGTTAAACCTTGTGGCTCTTTTCTCTAGAGGCTAGAATACTTGAATATGTTGTATTATCTGTGAATTCCTTATCTTACCCACTTATTGTGTAACCCAGTCTCAGTGTGAAGTATATCCATTGGTTTGGACATTTTCATGTTTGATGGGCAATTGTTCTGAGAGACCATGTGACTCCAAAGGCTTTTAATCGAGTAGGCCTTACAGGATTGACCCTGGGGCCTGAGCTTCTCTAAGAGTATACATTCCCGTTTTACCAAATTTCGTCGTACGCTCGTTTTTTTTGAAGAACACTTCCTTTTTTTAAAATCTCGGGTTGTACCCGTGCACAAGGGGCTAGCCAGTTCTTTCTTGAAAAGTGGTATTCAAGGCGTCGGTGTGCGCGTTTGCAGGTGGTGGGTAGCATGGATGCCCACCCGAGCCGCTACTGCGCCACGGTGCGCGTGCAGCAACACCGGCAGGAGATCATCCACGATCTCTCGTCCATGGTGCGCGAGCTGCTCATCCAGTTCTACAAGTCGACGCGCTTCAAGCCCACGCGCATCATCTTCTACCGGGACGGCGTCTCCGAGGGCCAGTTCCAGCAGGTGCCCGCTACGATCGCCTGTCGTGCCGTGTGCTTTGCATTGTCCTGTACTCGATAAACCACGAGACCCCAAAACAACAACCGGCCTGGTTTTTGTACAGATTCAGACCTAAGCTGTGCCTTGGCCTGTCTGACATACAGTTTCATGCTTTGCAAAGATGAAAAATAAGTTAAGGGGCTGTTTTTCTGATTTCTCTTTCAGGGATGTTTTGCATTAAAACTATTTCAAATTTAAAAAAGTATATGAAAATGCTGTTTGGAGAATTTTTTTTGGGGGGGAGGAGTGGAGCAAAAAACTTAACTGATGAGCAAAATTTGTAACTTATTCATAAAAAAATACAAATGAGGTAAATTAGGTTGTGGCGCGTTTGCCACGCATGAGCCGTTTCAACCACCACACCAGCTGTGTTGCTGGCAGTTGTCGCCACATTGATAAAAATCTAGAGAATTTATTTTGGGAAGAAACAGGTTTGCTCGAAGTTCAGATAATCCATCCCCATCTCGCAGCTCGGCGAGTTTCCGCAAATCGATCTGAGTAACGAAGAAATAAAAAATCACTAGTCTTTGTTTTTTTCATGCAGCCTCTATTGACGTCGGTTATGTTGCGTGTGTCCCCTTTTTCACGCCCCAGGTTCTATACCACGAGCTGCTCGCCATCCGTGAGGCGTGCATCAGGCTAGAGAAGGAGTATCGGCCAGGAATCACCTTCATCGTTGTACAGAAACGCCACCACACTCGCCTCTTCTGCGCCGACCGCAATGAGAGGGTTAGTGATGCTGTCTGGGCAAACAAACATTTTATACTATGAGACCTCCTTTACCAGTGGCAAAATATAGTAATAGGTTTTTATCCTTTCAACTGGTACAAAAACTGACACCTTTATACAAGGGATCATGTTTGCAATAACCAAAACACAAGCAGTCAAAATGTGTGGACTAATCAACTTCAAGGACAGTGCATATCATTATCAGAGTTGTTTCTTTTTGTTTGCATTTTGACTGCTTGTGTTGTGGTTATTGCAAACATGATCCCTTGTATAAAGGTGTCAGTTTTGTAGCCATTGAAAGGGTAAAAACCTATTACTAAAATATTTTATAATCTCATATAGTTTTGGGATTGTTCATGAAGACTTATTGAGTTGCCACTTTTAGTATGAACTAGTTTACAGTGAGGTTCAATTTCTGTCTGATTATAATCTTAGGCTAGCTTGAAGGTGCTTTCCAAATATTGTTAGAAAATGTGTCATTAAGAGTGGGATGTTCCAATTTTATTTTTGATATCATTCCTTTATGTAATTTTCTAGGTAGTGATGTTCAGCAGGTAGTGATGTTCAAATGACTAACTGGTGTTCTTATCTTATATTTATATAATGCTTTTATCCAAGGCGCTTCACAAGGGTTATGAGTGGTACAATTAGGGTAACTAAAAGTGATACGGTGAATAGGGATAGGGAATGGGGAGGGTGGTTAGTGGGTACTGGAATTACGGGGGTGCCTAAGGATGGGCCAGGGAGAAGAGGTGGGTCTTGAGGGAGCGTGCGTCTCGCTTCAAATGGAGGGGAAGTTTGTTCCAGTACCGGGGGCAAGTAGGGAAAAGTAGCAGAAACAGGATTGTGCGCAAGGATAGGGGGGGGGGAAGTGTGGAGTAGGAGAGATTGAGAGCGGGCGGGAGGAGACGTGAAACGAGGCGAGGGAAGCGAGGCCATGAAGAGATTTAAATACCAGCGTGCAAGGAGCTTGAATAGACACTGGGAGTAGATGAGGAGCCAGTGTATTTCTATAAGATGGGCGGAGGTGCGGGAGCAGTGTGGTAATTTGTAAATGAAACGTGCAGATGTATTTTGGATCTGTTGAAGTGGAATGAATGCATATGCTGGGAGATCGAGTAGTAGAGAGTTACAGTAAAATGTAAATTCAACATTTTAGGTACTGGCACTGACAGACTTTTTCAAGTTTTGTGACTGTTTTTTGAAAAATATTATTTACAAGAAAAGCTAACTGCCTACTAAAGGCACCAGCGAGGTGGGGGATGGTTGCTTCCAAGACTGCTTGACTGGAAATGTGAATAGTTGGTTTGTAATTTTTTCCCCCTCTTCTTCGTCCGTCATCAGATCGGGAAGAGTGGCAACATCCCCGCGGGCACAACAGTCGACACGAAGATCACGCACCCAACGGAGTTCGACTTCTACCTCTGCAGCCACGCGGGCATCCAGGTGAAGACCGGTACCGCGCCGCGCGCTTTCAGATGGGCGTCTGCGGCCGTCTGGAACGCTCGCTCTTCCTTTACGATATTAGGAAGGCACTGGAGCGATGCACTTCGTCGAAATTGAAAACGAATTTCTTCAGCACTGCTTTTTGTGTTTAGTTTTGTTGTCCTGCACCTCTGATTAGCACGGTTGGCTATGTACGGTTCGGAAGAAGTTCAACATACATACATTTGAAGGATTAGTTTGCCAGTGAGTCTTATGAAGGGTGTGAGAGGCCCCGGGGCCTTAAGCGGTAGTCGTAGCAGCTTTTATTTATCGAGGAGATGAAAGACATGCCTATTCTCGTTGCGTCTCTTGCAAGCGGTACCTGGGATTACAGCAAGTAAATTAGGATACAATAATATAAAAAGCTAAAACAAAAATGGACTATCTTCTTGGTTCTTTCGGTAAAGTCACGTAGAAGGGAAGATACTGTAAATATTACATGGTACCAAATGAACAAATTAGAAATAAAGTGTGTGTGTGCTGGATTCTGGTTTGTAATTCACTGCTATGTGCATAGTGCAATGCCAAGTTCACTCATTCAGATTTGACACGTGTATATTTGATGTTGGCGATGTTCGCAAGAAGCCCTGCTCCGTTCACAGTGACCTGGACTGCCTTTTACTCCCATGAAATGGAAACGGTTGCCTGCGAATGTATTCATTTAAATACTTCGCTTGGGAAATCCATTGAGGTGGAAACATCTCGGTTTGCAAGGGCGTTCAAGAAATGGAAACATTGTGTTTAATTACTTTCTCCAGCTGTGTCCAGAGCGTGCTGCTTAATGGAATGCATTGCTAGGAACAATAGCAAACATATGGTGCATGCCTCTTAGCTTGTAAATGCTAACGTTTATCTTCTTGGTTCTTTCGGTAAAGTCACGTAGAAGGGAAGTAATAAAATAATACAAATAAAACATAATAAAACAATTTTCACGACGTTTCGGCCACAACGCAAGCAGCCGTCCTCAGGTTAAAACCAGGTCTGTCGAGGCGACAGCGTCTGAATGACGCGTCTGAATGACGCTGTCGCCTCGGCAGACCTGGTTTTCACCTGAGGACGGCTGCTTGCGTTGTGGCCGAAACGTCGTGAAAATTGTTTTATCATGTTTTATTATTTTATTACTTCCCTTCTACGTGACTTTACCAAAAGAACCAAGAAGATGAATTTCTGCAGTCACGAAAGCTTTAAATCGAAAAAAAAAAATGGACTAGATTTGACGATAAATTTTTTTCATGTAGTAGACCTTGATAAGGAAGGTGAATTGCAGTCAAAAAAGACGGTACATGTCAAAGCTCCTTTTCTACAGACCCATTAATACATTTGACTTTCCTGTGTGCTGGGGCCCATGGTGCTTACCCACCAGAGGATGTATGCATGCGTGTTGAACTTCTTTCGCGCACCGTATGTAGCCAGCCGTGCTAATCGGAGGATGCTCCTGCTGCTCAATATAATTGGTCAAGGTTGTTTGGATTTACATTCGAGTCTTTTTGGATGATAGTGCCAATTTTCAAGATTCATCACTAGATGGCACACGTTTCAAATGAAATGCTACCAGTTCCGTGAGTTCCAACGATCCTACAATCATGTAATAGAATAAATATTTGACTTTAAGAACTAATACATCGTTCTATGTTGGGAATATTGGAACGTTGCTCCGTTACCATCAGCCTCTTAATTTTATTCCAGTTTTCCTTCAACAGAGAAGGCAGCTCTTCGACAGCTTACATCTACAAGTGAACAATAGATTACTTAAAAATACAATTTTAATGTTAGGAAGTACGGTTAAAAATATTACTCGGTTAGTCAATGCTGATTGGTTTGCTGTAAAACCTACGATGCGTTCGCAGGGCACAAGTCGGCCATCGCACTACCACGTGCTCTGGGACGACAATCACTTCTCGGCGGACGAGCTGCAGGTGCTCACCTACCAGCTGTGCCACACGTACGTGCGATGCACGCGATCCGTGTCCATCCCCGCGCCCGCCTACTACGCCCACCTGGTTGCCTTCCGAGCGCGGTACCACCTGGTCGACAAGGAGTATGACAGGTGAGCATGGGCACCAACCAACGGCCGCGATGTCTAGAGCGTTTCCATTGGAGCGTGCGCGTGTGTGGCGACGCTTGTCCGGCACCCGTTTGTAGAAATAAAATAATTTGAATCTGTTTGAGAATTTAACTGCAGTACATTGACGCAGTTCAAATCGAATGTGGTGGCGCGAGTGATTTTTCGGAGGAAAGGGTTGATGGATTGTGTACATTTCTGACACTCCAAAATCTGCTTTGCTACAAAGTTATCAATGTCAGTATAGAAAGTTCGTTCCTAACCCATTCTGGGCAGAGCCCTTTAAGTTTTACTCCTTCCAGCAAATGGTGGATTTCCTCTAGAAGCTTCAGTTTCCTCCCTGCATCAAAACACTTAAATTTGGCCAAATATTCTCATGTTGGACCCTTTTTTTAAGTGCTGAGCTCCACTAAAGATTTCTGGGATACATAAATACCGTGGTTGTTTTTCACAGGCCGTATGTGGGAATCTAATCGGATGTCTGTGTGCCCATGCACTCGTGCGCCAACTGCCGTCTCAACGGCTTGCTTGCGCGCACCTGTGTGTGTGTGTGTCTGCACGCACGTGTGTGTGTGTGTGAAGCAGTGCGGAGGGCAGCCACGCCTCGGGTCAGGGCAACGGACGCGACCCCCAGGCACTGGCCAAGGCGGTTCAGGTCCACCAGGACACGCTGCGCACCATGTACTTCGCCTGAGTTCGCCGGACAGATGCACGGCCGGCCGGACAGACAGATTGACGGCCCCAGCGCAGGCAGGGAGGAGAGAGAAGGGGAAGAGAACTCCCATCCCATTGCCTTTTGCTGCAATTGCTGCCCACCGGAAAGAAGGTTTAGGGGGGCCAGGGTGTGTGATATTACCTCCTGTTGGCTTTAAGAATAAAATCTTTACGGTAAACCATAAAGAAAATAATGGTAATAAGAAACACACACACACATCCGTTACCTTAATCCATTGCCTTGAGCTGCGGTCGAATGAACAGGGATTGGGTTGCTGGCACGGGGAGGGGAGGGCAGCGCAAGCTGAGATTCGGTGTTTGGCTCTGGGGCGGTGATGAGTGGAGTCCTCTGCTCGCACCTGACCTCCTTTACCTGCAGAATGGAAGATGGGGGTACCTCATCTCCCATTGTCCCACTTCCACAAAGCAAGCCATAGGCAGGGGGAGGGGGCCAGGTGACAACCACACGGCACCACCTGCCCCTACGCGATTTAGGCTTTTGACAGAGCCTAGAGCATTGTATTTAATGAACTTAACGAGCCAAATGCCCCCCCCCCCTCCCCTTTTAACCTACACTCTGGCCAGACTATTCCCCATTCGAACACTGTGTATGGTAGAACATAATTTTAATATATATATTTTATTTTTTATCTTATTTTAAGAAAAAATACACAATGCAACTTGAACGAGAGTGGCACACGCTCCGGTGCCCTTAGCTTGCGAGTAGCATCAATATTGAGCGCATGGAGAAAATAAATCGTTTTGAAAGGGGGAATGTGCTCCGTTACAAATGAGGTTGTTTTACCACTTAAAGCCTCCGCCCCACCCCCTCGCTTCCCTAAACCGCCGCACGGGCAGGGTACTGTGATTCATCAGGGTCTTCACCGGCTTGGCTTTTTTGCTGTACAGAGGAAAAAAAAGAGTTGGAGAAAGATGTAAAAATGCATTGTGCTTGTAACTTCTCATTTTGCTACTCTTTGCCGCGGTGTGCAGTGGCCTTGCCATGAACGCATGCTCTTAGTTTACAGCCCGCTTCAGGTGGGGTTTGGCATAAAGTTAAATTTAATGAAATATAAAACCGTTAACAAAAATATGACACTGTACAACGACGTGACACATCCCGTGTTGCGTGAAAAAAAGAAAAAGCACACTTTTGCTTAATTCTCCAAAACTTGCACTTGATCTCGCTTTTAGCTAGTCAATTTCAGAATCTGGTGGTAAAAGATGGGTCATGTTTTTGTGTTTGTGGTTATAGCTTAGGTACCAGTTATTGTAAACCATTGTGAAGTACATGCAAGTGGTGTTTATCGGGCAAGAAAATGAGGCTATTTCAAACGAGCGTGGCCGGTTATCACCGTTCGTACTTTGACGGATCTTGTTTACCCATTGACCTTTCACTGGTCACGTGCCGAGTGCGCGTGCGGAGTGCGCGCAGGGCAAAAATAACGAAGTGGGGGGGGGTGCATTGATGAATTTGGATGAGGCTGAATTGGTACTGGAGGTAGAGTAGTTTTCACTTTGAGATGCAAGTGATGATTATGCTGGTGCTTGAGAGAGAATTAAGGATGTGCTTATTGAATGCACCGAGGTATCGGTGATGCAGAATTGCTAGTTTGTAAAAGAAAGAATTGAACGAGAATAACAAAAAAATATTTCTATAATGAGTTGCATGTTAAAGCTTATTCCATTTAGTGCATATGTCCAGCGTATTGTCTTCTTAATGACAGTTTCTAAGTCCTTTCTGAATACTGAGCACCAAATCATTCCTTGAGCCTTGTTCCCACCAGCAGTATAATAATGTTAACTAAAGAAATCATCAAAACCCATACTGGAAATCGAGTTCATTTAGAAATCTTCAATTTCTGACAGCTGAAGGTGTTTGTACTGCACAGCAATTACACCACAAGGTGAATGGAACGCTCGGGAAGTTGCGCAACCGAGGAACTGTGGAGGGAGAGGCAAATTGGGGGGGGGTGGGGGGTGTTTAGAGCTCATGTTGAGCATGGTGTTACAGCCCTGTACCTTAGAAAAACTTAGCAATATCTTGAAGGAGTTAACGGGTACTCTTCATTGTTTTTGGCGCGTCGCAATAATTACGACTGAGGTGCACACACCGTAACTAGGAAGGATTCATGACGACAAGGTGGCAGATGTACAGAGATTGAGAGCTGGCAGCAGGAAAAAAAACGGAGAGTCCTGCAAATTTACGAAATTGGCTTATGCGATTTGAGCGTAAATATTCATTTTACTTCTGTTGAAACGAAAAAAAACAATGGTATGTATCATGGACTTTTTTTTTGCCATATCTAACCGTGGAAGCAGGAGTTTTTTTTCAATAATCAACAGATGAACATTGACAATGATATCCTTTTCTATATTGAAGTAAATCTTGCGGCTTGTCCTGGTGCCCTTTCGAATTTGGCATCTTGCTCTGATACATCTACTTCCTTGTTTCCATTTGTTAACCCTATTAACTTTTTATTTCAGGCTATATATTATTTTCTATCATTAAATGCACTAACTATCAATATTATTGAACAACCATATAACCAGCCTTAATTAAACTGCTTTCAAAATGGTAAAGGAACAGTTTGTCCGTGTCCATACCATAATGAATTCACTCGATTATCCAAACGCTTCCTTACTGGCTTAGAGCGTTAAGGCTTCCACTCAAATTGTAAATGCAATACAAGCAGCAGTGTTCTTTTTCAAGCGTTTGATTGTTTGTACTGCCTACAAAGAGATGATTAGTTTACAAAAATAAAAATTGTTGGACGTCAATAAATCATGCATGAGGTCGTGGGTTCGATCCTGACCCTGTGACACATGTATATTTCGAGTTGGCATGTCCTCCCCATGGTCACATGGATTTTTCTCCAGGTCTTTTCGGCCATTCCTTCCACATTTAGAAACGTTTTTAGAGTATTTGGCTGCTATAGATTTCCACGTGATAAGCCAATTTTTTGAGCTATCATTTGTGGCCTGGTCACTTTTGGAAAATAACTATCGCTCACAATGGGCCTTGGTAAAATAAAACAAAATAAAATTTTAGTTGACTGCAAGTTTGTCTTGAGAACAAGCAGACATTACCACAGATCCACGTGCGAGAACATTTTATCACACGGCAATATGGCAGGACATTTTTGACAAACGAAGGTCTGCTGTGATTAGCCTTGCTAGCAAATCCAATCCATGGAGATGCAGTCTTATGGCGGATTAGTTCCCTGTTGATACAGTTGGGAAAACTCGGATCTAAACGCATTTGGAAATCTTAAGAGTAATTATCCAGTCCAAATACACATACTCATCGAGAGTCGTCTGCCTGGGGTGCTTCTGTTCATCCAAAATAAATTAGAAGATCATGAAGTTCAATCCGCGCTGTGAATTTCCCCTCCTCTGGCTGGGAGATTCCAGCGAGGGTGTGTGCTAGAGCGGCATGCAGTATTAAAGGGTCTTGCTTGGAACAAGGAACGCACGTACAATCTACTTTGTGAGACCCAAACCAACCCACTGCTTTATCGTGCACTACCAACTTAAAAAGTAGGCACCAAAAAAGGTGGTAGCAGTACCATTGAAAAGAGTGTAAATGTTTCCATTTGTGTTATTGCCGTAATTTATTTTTCCGTTTCCAAAAGACTACAGATCAACCAAACTGCGATACATTTTTCAGCGACTTTCTCAAGTTTCAACTATACTACAACTTTCAATCACAATAGCGAATATAAACAAGAAAAGTGGCGAAATACAATATTTCTCGTGTCGAGCTACCTCATTGAATTACGTTTATTTTGAATCGTGCATTGCGGAATGCCAAGAAAGTAACAGAAGTGCTGTTTACAGGCAAGAAAACAATTCTATTTATGATTGTGAGCAATTATGCTAGCTGTCTCTTTGGTACAGGGCTGTACACTGGGTGACACTGCAAGTGGTGTTTGCAGTGTGCGTTATCATTTTATAAAACGGGGCTCCATACGATGGCGAGGCATGGGCAGAAGCGAAGGGTTTCTACGCGCAGCATATTGAGCGCGCAAAGTCTGTTCATTTGCGGCACTCCATTGAGAATTGGGGGGGTGCGGTGAAATCTGGTGCTGTGGTACGGGCAAGTTGAGGCTCATTGTCTTGCTTCCTTGCACCCGTTCGGTAAGAACCTATACTACTGAAGGTTTTGGAAAGGTGTGCAGGGCAGATTTTGTTTAGAGCTCGTCGTATAGTGTTTTCTATACATGCCTTAAACCTGGGTCAAAAGCAACTGATTTTAAAAAAAAAATGCCTCTCCGTGTGTGTCGATGTAACACTATGTACAGTCGGTGTGTGACGTACGCTTTTCTGTAATGCTGCACTTTTGTACTTCTCAAAATTGCAAACCTATTTATTTTTAATTGTATCTCGTGAGCCAAGCCGCGTGTGGCCCTGATGTCAAGCCCTGAATGCTGCACAAAATACTGGCCAAGTGTATCGCATGAATCTGTAGCGTAACGAGGTGTATGTTTGGCTCGTGCGTGTGCGCGTGCGTGGAAATGTCGTTCGTTTGCTCGCTGCCGTGCGCGCGTGTGGACCCGTTCCCAGTGGCTGTGGGGAGCACCGTCGGCTTTCCGGTCGGCAAGAGGAGCGCTCTCACAGTAATGCAAGGCTGGACAAGCACACGGACGAGTTTGCGCTATACTGGCGAACCTTTATTGTGAGAGCAAAGTTTTTACGAATGGGGGGGGGGGGGGGGGGGGTGGGGGGGCGGGGTGGGTGGGAAAGAAAAAAACAGCATCGATCTTCATCTCCGTTATCCGTTCGTCGTATTCTGTTTGCAGGGATACCTTCCTCAACCAATCACGTTATAGCACACTTGTTCGGTGCAACATTTCCTGATGGACTGCGTTTTTAAAATTCATCCCCAGAACTAAGTTCCGTGTAAACACAAATGCAAACCTTGTTCCTGTTACCTCTCTCCCAATTGCCACTTGCTTACCAACTGCCAGGTCGGGTCCTTGATGAATTTGACAGCCCCTAGGTATCTTGTTTTGGGGATAAAAGTTGTCCTCTTAAAGTCCTGCAAAGTGGTCATCGCTGCCCGCAGTTCGAGGATATCGGCTCAAATGCACGTTTCCTCGTATGATTGTGACCTAGAACAATGGCTATGTGGTTATGCAAATTGTCTAAAAATCAAGGGCTAATTGGTCTTCGGTATAGTATTCGTAGGCAAGGATGATTTTATTTTTTAAGTTCAAGGTAACCTGGTTTTGCTGCTTTTCAATTGAAAAGTGTTCATACTCGGATTGTGTACGCACACTCACTTTGACTCCAATGAAGATTCGCCATTATGTGAATGTAATATCTTATTTATACACGACGTACATTGAGAATGAGTGTACAACCAGGCAGCTGGCAGAGGAAATAACTACCGGTATATTGTATTCCATATTGAAGGGTGCAGGATGTGCTACTATTTACGTGGTACTAAACTAAAAAATTGTATTTTATATTGGCGTAGGTCACACACAACAAGCGTTCAGCGAAATATCTTTTGTAACGAATTAAACATGCTTTCAATTAACGCTGTGATTTGCTATGCCGAAAAGAGGAAAGAAAAAACAGGAAATCTAAGCAGTTAAGCTGGGTGTTTCGTAACATTGCATTCATTCAGAACAAATTGCGTAAATGCAAACATTTTCCTAAATGTTAGGTTTGCAATTTGTGATTCCCCGCCCCTCTGGTATTGTGCGGCGACGATTATTTTTGTTGTTCCGTTATCTCATCGCATTTCTTTCTTTTCAGTAAGTTGACACAAAAACAGCAGAGAGCCAATGAAGTCAGTATTTTTGTTGGAGTTTTGTTTTTTTATTTCATTACCGAGTTGTCGAATTTTATTAGATGCACGACGGCGGAACCGGTGCCGTTGGGGGGGGGGGGGGTTCCTTTCTCTGCTCGCCCCAAAATGTAAAACCTTGTCAAAGTGCCTTTTTGTCAATACTTTGACTAATTCCGTTGACAGACCGTTCTTGCTACACAACGAGGTTCCCCAAGCGTTTCTTCATCGGAGCTTGCAGCCATTGTCGGGGATGGAGAGTCGTGTTGTAGCAAGCAGGGTGCGTTTGGAGAAATGAGAGAGAAATGATACGTGATGGGTTCAGCCAGATTGGGACGGTGGGAAGACAAAAATGGTGCCATATTGTGTTTACCAACAGAGGCAGAAAATAATTTGTAATATGCAATAGATGATTTAAGAAATAAAAAAACAAAAAAGCAAACAAAAATAAACTTTGAATAAGTAAAGTTAAATAAATACTTTAAAGCCAGCTTTGTTTTAACGTATTGTATTCGCAGGTAGCTGCTGATGCTGCTGGTGTGTATGTCGTGGGTCCGATCTAAAACAGGCACGGCTAGGCTGGGGCTGCTTTCACGCAGCAGCGGGGACAGTTTTTCGTCTTGTGATATTTCACTGAATGTGCAATAACTCCGAAGCGACTATTTTTGCAAAACAAAAGTTTAGGGGAAAAGAAGAAAAAATGAAAAAAAAAGTTACATAAAGTACCTCTAGAATCGACCAAGAACACAACTTCCATTACTATTATCGCAGTGGTGTCGCTGCACACTTGATTCGGGGGGGCTGACGCAGCATGTTGCATTCATTTCACGTTGACCATTGCTTCTTCGTCTCGTTATATTAAACAAACAAACAAATATACCTTTTAAGCGGCGATGGTTTTTTTTATTTGCTCACTCATGGCACAATGTAAAAATGCATCCACCTTTCGGCTATTGCTTGCCCTGATATCTTGACAACGTGTGTGCACTTAAGTTGACGACAAACAATTTCAACTGAAGTCTACGATATCAACAGCTGTTAAAAGTATTCCTTGTGTATCAAACAAAAAAGCCTATACACTATGCCAACGACAAGTCGCGCATTATTTCGCTCAGTTTTTAATTGCATGTTATAGACTTACTTGACACTTTAACAGGTCAGCTGACGTATACATTACTGTAGCGATGCACTTAGTACTGTGTTAAGATGTATGAGGTGTGTTTCTATATATGGTTACATTCCTATGCCGACTATAATGCACTATATGGACAAGTACTGTACAAGCAATAGGAAAATATACAGCCTGAGACGGGTTAAAACAAAAGGCATGGATTGCAAAGCTTGTCTGTGGCCGTTCCAGATTGGACTGTTGCTTTTTTTTGCCAGGGTTTGCCGGGCGGTGTGCGTGGTGTTTACCGCCGAGGGTACACTCAATAAGGCCAATTCACATTTTACTGCAATGCCATTTGGTTTCGCTATTACAGACTCGTGTAAAAAGCCACTGCTCACAGCCGATCTCAAAAGCTCCCGGTCATTCACAGTCGTCCAGGCTCTCCGCTATTTAAGTCTAACATCGGCAGGTCCCATTCACTCGTGTACTCGCCGGATGGCAGTTGATTTGTTAATTGCAATAATATTACATAATATTAACACAATTAATAATATTACGTTGTTCTCGGTCTGGTAATTGCTGGACAGTAACAAAAACAAACTGGACCACGTCTTTTTTTGGGTCGGGGGCATAAATACTGGAGTTGAGAACCTATCGCAATATTAATTCCTGGCATGTGTATGGGCTTGTATTTGCAGGTAACAAATCATGACATGTTACTTAGTGGTTTCCTCAAGAAGCAATGGTGTCAAAAAAGAGTAAATTAAAACCAATCAACATTTTGGCAGATAGTGCTTTTTTGGTAATTTCCAAATGCCAGTCATTGGGATTGAATCTAGTCCAGCTTACCAAGCTAATCCAGCAGCTGGCAATGTCGTCCGTGCATTCTTTCTGTGAGCAACCAAGCTTGGCTACTGGACAAGACATATACCAAAGACTATCTCATCAGCCGAGCCTATCTACTAAAATGTTTGTTAATGCAGACAAGCAACTCCAGGCCTTATACGCTGGACAAAGGTCCACCTTTTGTATGTGATTCACTGTCCTCCATTCACTTGTGAATTCGATACATTCAGCGAATTCGTTGATTCGGAAAGGCAGACTTTTGGCCTGCGACACATGGAATTGTCCACACACGTGTGATGCAATTTTTTCAAATTCATAATTTCCTTACATATGTTACTTATAAAGGTGCCATTGTTTTTTCATTATATACCATATAAATGTGTGTGTGTATTTATATAAACGTGACAATGGCCTGCATATCAAACTGTCCCCTTCTCGCGCGCGCGTGCGTGTGTGTGTGGGGACACCACAGCCACTCTCAGCATGTCATTGGGCTCGTTACACCAACACTTTCGTTTGAGGCCAACGCACGAACTTGACGTGAAAGGCGTGGGTACTTGATTTCGCTACCAAAACACCACTGCAATCGGTTGTCTTTTTGGTCTTTCAAATTTGGGACTTTTCGGTGCATTTGTCGCTTTACTCTTATTACATCAATGCGCTTTGGCTCGATGCGATTCACTATCGGTGGCTTGCACAACCTACTAGTTGTAAGCTGGCGAGTAAAAAAACCCTATAAGATCCCTTCCCCTATATTGGCAGCAATGTAGGAATGGGGGTGCGGGGGTTGAGTAAAAAATAAAAACGGGAGAGAGGTGTAAAAGCGGCAGGTCATTGAATGCCGCAGCAAGGAAAAGAGTGTATGGACTTTTCGCCACGGTGAACTCAGATGCTCAGCGTTCCACGTCTTGATTTGTTTGCAGGCCCGATAACATCGATTCCTTTATCCGTCGTAACTTGTGTGGAAGGCTCTGACAGCCCCGTGTACTTTTATTAACAAATGCATGGTGTGACGTCCGCCTGCGTCCACCGCTACCCCAGAGGTGGTACAAGATGAATCCGTTTTAGACTTTGCACAATGTCATCAGGTTATTCTCTACAAATAATATACAGCATATCTTGACATTTTAGTGTATATCGGAGCTGTTTGTAATAAGATTTAAGAAACACAACATAGAACATGCCATTATTTACTGAAAAGCTTCATGTTTTTTTGGGTAGATTTACGTACTATAATTGTTTCTTTCATTTACTATAATTATTGTTAGTGCCTAGAGGTGCTTTTTTATTTCCTCGGGTGTGCAAGGAAGCCTGCGTGCGTGGTAATGATCACTGCTAGGGAACAATTGGCGGGAGAGACTTGGTTGTACACAGTTGTGATAACGCTGCTGCTCAACATTTCGCCAGTTTCGGAGAAAGGGGGGGGGGGTGTTCATTGGGTAGGGGAATTTGTGACCATTGTCTCCCTGGGGTGGGTGGGTGGGGGGCGATGTTGTTTTCTGTGTGTTATTCTAGAGCTGGTGTTGTATAAAAATGCACCGCCTCACACTGTGTTTTTACATGTGACCAAGCTCTCTATCTTACTGGTGCTGTTGACTGCCAGTTTGCTTAATATACGTCTGTCAGTGAAAAGAAAAAAAAAGTTTTTATTATGATTAATTTTTTTTTGTTGAATTCCCAAAACATTTTTATGAACTGGACCATCATTGTGCTGAGCAAAAATGAAACTAAACCCGTACTTTTTTTGTTAGCTGACGCTAATCAATATTCTTTTTTTTTACCTTTATTTTTTTGGTTTCTGTTAAATATTTTTGGCTTTTTTTTGTTGGCTCGCTCCCACTTTCTGCTAAATGTGTCCTTTTAAGCTGTATTGATATATTATAAATATATTTAAAGTTGTTTGCTTTACCATTGTTTCAGTATGATGATGATGATGCTGCCATTGTATAGGGCATTATGGGCCATGTTGGAGTGTTGAACTGCGAACCGGCCCCTGACGCCGGGCTTGCAAACAACCGCGCGTTCACGCTCTAATAAATGTGACCCCGTTTCCGTTCATTATTATTTTGTTTTACTTCCCCCCCCGCCCCCCCCCCCCCCTTATGTTCCTTAATACATTTGCAGTGCATCCCTAACCCATGCCTCCCCGTGTCTGAATTTTTGTTTCCGGTGTGGTCAGGCTTGCATGTGATATTGGCGTGTTTTTCCACAAGGGGTAGTTGTGTGTGTGTGTGTGTGAGCGGTAGTGTCGCGATTAGCGCGCTGCGCTATGAACCCGTCGACCCGAGTTCCAATTCCCGCTCCCTCGTGTGCCGTTCCGGCCTTCATAGGTCCTTGCTAACAGCATTTGCCAGAACAGTCTGTTAAGGCTGTATGGGGAATTTTTTTTTAATGCACAGTAGGGGGGGCGAGGGCAGATCTGGTGCATCTGTCAGTCATCACAGTCAAGCCATGGCACCTGGGTCTGTGCCGGGCCCGGTCAGCGAGCCTTCGACACTTCACGTGGCCTCTGCACCTGGCCTGGCACAGGCGCCGTGGTGACGACACCGTCACTTAATGACGAATGGTTGGTAGTGGTTTTTTAAAGCAAGTTTGTTTCAAAAGGGGCATCCACGTAGATAATTGTACTGCACACTCCTGCGTTTAATACCTAAAGCAATGTATTGATATATTAAGAAACAATACACACATTTTAGTGATAGGTTTTTACCCTTTCAACTGGTACAAAAACTGACCTTTATACAAGGCATCATGTTTGCAATAACCACAACAGATGACGCCAAAAGGTGTATTTTGACTGCTTGTGTTGTGGTTATTGCAAAAATGATGCCTTGTATTAAGGGGTCAGTTTTTGTAACAGTTGAAAGGGTAAAAACCTATCACTATATTTTGCCACTGGTAAAGGAGGTATCATAGTAGAATACACACATTGTTGAATGAGACGTGTTTTGCGAAGTCTCTTCATAATATATTGCTTAGAACAAATGTGAGAGTCTGTTAAGACTGCAAGTACTTTGTTATTTTACAAGGAGAAACCGTGTGGACACTTGTGACAAATTTTGTGGACACCGACCGTCTGTTGAAGGAGTGCTCGTGAACAATCATTGCTGCTGACTTAAAGCTTTCGTGACTGCAGGAATTCATATTCTTTGGGTCTTTCGGTAAAGTCATGTAGATCTAGATTTGAAGCTTTCGTGACTGCAATGATTTTTATTTTATTTTAGTTGTGACGGTCCCACCTGATGACGGAGACTTGTGTTGCCTCCGAAACGTCGTGATTTATTATTTTATTTTATTTCCATTATTACTTTGATTAACTTTTAATTGTATTTTTTGCCTACGTGCCTTTACCGAAATAAACCTAAGAGTATTCGCGTAGATAGGTTCACATTCATAAAAATTCAATAAACAAACTACGACGTTTTGATTTAAAGCTTTCGTGACTGCAGGGATTCATGTTCTTGGTTCTTTCGGTAAAGTCACGTAGAAGGGAAACAATAAAATATAAAACAATAAAATGATCACGACGTTTCGATTGCAACACAAGCAATCATCATCAGGTGTGAAAACCACAGCAAGAAAATTTGAGAACCGCCACTTATTTAAAAATTTCTTGCTGTGGTTTTCACACCTGATGATGATTGCTTGTGTTGCAATCGAAACGTCGTGAGAATTGTATTGTTTTATGTTTTTATTATTTTATTGTTTCCCTTCTACGTGACTTTACCGAAAGAACCAAGGATATAAACTACGACGTTTCGTTCACAACGCAAGCGATCGTCATCAGGAGGAAAAAATATGACGATTGCTTGTGTTGTGATCGAAACGTAGTTTTATTTTATTTGTATTCATTTGAACCTTTATAAGTGGCTTTACCGACAGACCCAAAGAATAATCATTGCTCCTCTTTGTGGCCTTTGCAGGCACTTGAGCGGCTTTCCACATGAAGCACTGAACTCCACATTGGTTGCGTGGTCAGACTCGGGATGATTTCCAGTAGGAGTCTAACGCGTGCCACAACTTGTGGGTTTTATCACTCATCCGTATGCGATCCACCCTCCCGACCATCGCATTCATCGTTAACACTGCTTAAAATAAGTATAACCCGTAAAAACTAAGTTTTTCACTATGAATCCTTTTATATGCGTGGCGGCTTGAGTCCTCTCGTCCTCTGGCTTGAGATGGCTGCCACCTATGGGTCAGATGATTGCATTGCACCATTAAGCAATTGGTAATTAAATATAATATTTTTTGTCCTAAAAAGTGTAAAATTTTGGAAATATTTGTTTCACGAACATTCATTGTCACGCACAACGAGTCTGTGTGCAAAATGTCAGCTCGATTGGATCACGGGAAGTGGGTTAAAAAACGACCGAAAGATTTGCACGGTCCTAAGCAAGCAAGCGAACTTAATATAAAGGATTTAAAAAACGTAAGAGGTTGACGTTTCAGGCAGTTACCTTTTTTAGAGGAGCCATGCAAATTGGGCCTTTCCTCTATGGCCAATGCCATAAGAAAATGTCAGCATATTTGGTCACTGTTGTAAGGCAATGTTAATGACACGTGTGGTGCTGTGTTTTGCAATTCTGCCAACGTTTTCTTGGTTCTTTCGGTAAAGTCACGTAGAATGGAAATAATGAAATAATAAAATAAAACATAATAAAATAATATTTTATTTTGCTTTATTATATTATTTTATTATGTTTTATTTTATGTTCATTAATTTTTTTTTCCATTCTACGTGACTTTACCGAAAGAACCAAGAAGATGAATCCCTGCAGTCACGAAAGCTTTAAATCGAAATCTGCCAACGTTCCCTTTAATTGTTGGATGCACTTCTGCGTGATAGGGCTTGGTTGTGTTTTTTAAGGTCAAGGTCTGAGGCACGTGTCATCATCTGTTCACGTCACAAAACGGTTCGACCACTCGTCGTGCATGATGTGCATTCATGTGCACGTCGCGGTGCAGCTGTGAGCCCACGGCTTGTGGGTTGTCTCACCTGTGCAGGTACACCGCGCCAGCATGTCGCGTCGGACCGTTGCATACCTGTGCTACATTCACCTCGACGCCACCATCCACGCAGCAGAAGGCAGATTGAACTTCGCATTTTTGGTGAGTCGTGCCCCCGTGGAATGGCGGTTGAAATTCTGGGCCCGCATTTGTTAGGAATGTGAAATGCCATCTTCATCGTCATCGCCTGTCCAAGGCAGGTAAAAGAAAGAACACCTAGTTTTAAATAACTGTATCGGTTCCCACTTCGATACAATTATCCTGCCGCGAGAACGTGGAATTTCCACCATCGGCTAAGTAGAGATAAGCAGGGGTACAACACCTGAGAAAAAAAAAATCCTGTTTCCCAATTGCTAAAGTATTAGATTGTGTTGGGGGGTGGTGTTGGGGGGGGGGTGGTGGTGGGTGGTGTTGGGGGGGGTGGTGGGGGGTGGTGGTGTTGGGGGGGGGGATGGTGTGTGGGTGGGGTGGTGTGTGGGTGGGGGTGGTGTGGGTGGGTGGGTGGTGGTGGTTGGTGGGTGGGTGGTGGTGGTTGTTGGGTGGGTGGTGGTGGTGGTTGTTGGGTGGGTGGTGGTGGTGGTGGTGTTGGTGGGTGGTGGTGGTGGTGTTGGGTGGGTGGTGGTGGTGGTGGTGTTGGGTGGGTGGTGGTGGTGGTGGTTGGGTGGGTGGTGGTGGTGGTGGTGTTGGGTGGGTGGTGGTGGTGGTGGTGTTGGGTGGGTGGTGGTGGTGGGTGGGTGGTGGTGGTGGGTGGGGTGTTGGGTGGTGGTGGTGGTGGTGTTGGGTGGGTGGTGGTGGTGGTGGTTGGTGGGTGGGTGGTGGTGGTGGTGGTGGGTGGTGTGGGTGGTGGTGGGTGGTGTTGGTGTGGGTTGGTGGTGGTGTGTGGTGTTGGGTGGGGTGGTGTGGTGGTGGTGTTGGGTGGGTGGTGGTGGTGTGTGGGTGGTGGGTGGTGGTGGGTGGTGGTGTGGGGGTGGTGTGGTGGTGTGGGTGGTGGTGGGTGGTGGTGTTGGGTGGGGTGGTGGTGGTGGTGTGGGTGTGGTGGTGGTGGTGGTGTTGGGTGGTGGTGGTGGGTGGGGTGGTGGTGGTGGGTGTGGGTGGTGGTGGTGGTGGTGGTGGGTGGGTGGTGGTGGTGGTGGTGGTGGTGGTGGTGGTGGTGGTGGTGTTGGGTGGGGTGGGTGGTGTGGTGGTGGGTGGGTGGGTGGTGGTGGTGGGTGGGTGGTGGTGGTGGTGTGGGTGGGTGGTGGTGGTGGTGTGGGTGGGTGGTGGTGGTGGTGTTGGGTGGGTGGTGGTGGTGGTGGTGGTGGTGGGTGGTGGTGGTGGTGGGTGGGTGGTGGTGGTGGTGGGTGGGTGGTGGTGGTGGTGGGTGGGTGGTGGTGGTGGGTGGGTGGTGGTGGTGGGTGGGTGGTGGTGGTGGGTGGGTGGTGGTGGTGGTGGGTGGGTGGTGGTGGTGGGTGGGTGGTGGTGGTGGTGGGTGGGTGGTGGTGGTGGTGGGTGGGTGGTGGTGGTGGTGGGTGGTGGTGGTGGTGGTGGGTGGGTGGTGGTGGTGGTGGTGGTGGGTGGTGGTGGTGGTGGTGGTGGTGGTGGGTGGTGGTGGTGGGTGGTGGTGGGTGGTGGTGGGGGTGGTGGTGGTGGGTGGTGGTGGGTGGTGGTGGTGGTGGTGGGTGGTGGGGGTGGTGGTGGTGGGTGGGGGGGGGTGGTGGTGGTGGTGATGGTGGGGGGGTGGTGGTGGTGGTGATGGTGGGTGGGGGGGTGGTGATGGTGGGTGGGGGGGGTAGTGGTTGGGGGGGGAGGTGGTTGTGTGTGATGGGGGGTGGGTGGGTGGTTGTGGATACTTTTTTATACCGGAGCTTAGCCGAGCAAAAGCTCCGGGCGGGGACAAGGAATCCCCTCCCTGTGACCGGAGCGACAACAGACGCCCGCCCGCCAGTGCCACGAGTGGGTGCAGGTCGGGCTGGATCGCTCCGCCTCGCTACACAAAAGCAGCAGCAGGAGGGGGAAGGCGGCCGTCATCATCATCACCACCACCAGCAGCAGCAGTAGTAGCATCATCACCGGTGTCGTGTTGTCGTCAGCTTCCCGTGTGGAGACGGAGAAACGCTTCGCAAAAGCATTGCGGCGGCAGCGGGCAGCGTTGGTTTTTTAAATGTTGGAATTCGTCATCGGAACACAGACGTGATGGGGACTGCGTGAGATGCCATACAGCGGCGTTGTCTTACACAGTGAGGCCCGCGGTTGAATTTGCTGCTGCTGTTGTTTATCTACGGGGAGGTGAGTTTTTTTTTCCTTTCATCATTGTCGTGTGAATGCAGCACAAGCGCGCCTGTTAAATAACACGCACTTAGCACACGCGTGTGTACAGGATACATACAACGTGTGCCTGCTGTGGTGTCTTGTCGATTGTAACAGGCGGTGTGGTACAATTGTGAAGGGCGTGTACAGATGACAGAGAGGGGAGAGCGTTGCGCATTCTGTCTACTGCCCATTCCGTTTTGCATTTCCCTTTTACAATTGACAATTTTCATCGACGCGTTTACAGACAAGGTACCGAATGAGCCTTTGCTACGTGTGGTCGCAAATGCAATCGCAATCCCACGGCGGTCCTCCACGTATGACGTCCAGTAGTTGCGTTGAATACAATTCTATTGGCCCATTTATTTATTCATTGGCTTACCGGACCCGAGATTTTACGAGAGGGACATTTGTTTTGAGCGGGCCAAACCCCCTCTGGATCGGTTTCGACGATACGGGTCTCACATCAGCAGAAGCCAGCCCCTTCATTAACAAAATAAACCCCGCTGTTGCTGCTGCGGCTGCGGCTGCTGTTACCAGATGTAATATTGGCACGAAATAATCCATTGCTTGTGGGCTTGGATTCTCAACGCCACGTCCGACTGCTGTGGCGTCATCACGGGCAGCAGGCAAGCGGCGGTGTGCGATGGGAAATCGGGAGATTTCTACAGCCCACGACACGAGCTATAGGGTGTGAACGAAAAACGCAACGAATTGCATTCTGTGGCATGCTTAAACAAACCCAAAAAAATCAACGTGCGTTCTAAAGCTCATTGTTATTTTGCATTCCGCCCACCAACGTGTGTTCTGTACGCATTACGCTTCGTACCAGTTGTGTGCGCCAGGTGTATCGTTCTTGTATCCTAAACATGTAATCGATATGTTAGAAATAAATGTATGGGGAGATAGATACACGCGACTCAAATGCACCAAATGGCCACCCTTTAAAATGGAACGTATCGATGTTGCGCGCCGTAGCGCAGTCATCTGTCGCAGTGAGTGGTGAGGGCGCGCTCATTCCGTTCATTGAACGGTGCTAACGGAGGACTTCTAGATTTTAAGCTTTCGTGACTGCAAGGATTCATATTATTAGGTTTTTTCGGTAAAGTCACGTAGGTAAAAAAATTAAAATTAATAAAAGTAAAATAAAAATAAAATAAAAATCACGACGTTTCGGAGGCAACACAAACTTCCGTCTTCAGGTGGAACCGTCACAGCACGATAGCTGTATCAAGTGATAAAATAAAAATAAAAATCACGACGTTTCGGAGGCAACACAAACTTCCGTCTTCAGGTGGAACCGTCACAGCACGATATCTGTATCAAGTGAGAGAACGGAGGACCTTTATTTAACCGGCCGAAAAGGTCCTTTCAATATTCATTATCCCGTTTAACAAAAGAATATCCTGGAATATAGCTCGGTCTGCTGTTATGATAATTACCAGTTTTTACTATTTATCCATGAAAGCGTCGGTGAGAGGCGTCGTATTGGTGCTGGAGTGGGTTGTTTTTGGCTAGGACCTCTTAAGTGGCTCGTCAACATTCAAATTGAAACCCCCCCCACCCCCCTCAAGCTCAAATTCCGCCGCCGCCAATACCGAATCGAGCGTTGAGCAGTGAGCGCCGATCTGATGGTCGCCTTGAGTCAGTGGTGGAAATTCGTTGTTGCTATGACAGGACGAGGCGATCCACATAACTTAAAGCTTTCGTGACTGCAGGAATTCATGTTCTTTGGGTTTTTCTGTAAAGTCACGTAGATGGGTTCAAAGAAAATTAAAAAATAACCAAAAAACTATGATGTTTTGATCGCTTGTGTTGCGATCCAAACGTCGTAGTTTTGTTATTTTTTGTTATTTTCTTTGAACCTATCTACGTGACTTTGTATCCACATAACTACAACAGCAACTCCTTGCTGGCCTTAAAGCAAGTAGCAAATAACACATTCGTCAATACCACTGCCTTGAAATAGGAAAATATAATGAACAGGATGGCCCAAAGTTCGGACACACAGGGTTATTTAATGAATTTTAACACTGGAAATACGTAAACGTTTTAGTACCGTATTCAATGAGTTAATATTGTATCTATCATCGTTATTAATATTTACATTTCTTTTTTCCGTGGGGGGTCATTTCAAATAAGTTATTTACAAAGCTCGACCAAAAATCCTGAATTAATTGAAATAATGAACTTTAAAAAGATTACTAAAGTAATCTTTAAAATAAAGTCCTGATTTTATTTCAAAAGAGAATTAATGCGTGCGTTTACGTGAACCGAAGTCGGTTTTAACGTTCGTTTAAATGAAATAACCCTTTGTGATTTGTTGAAATAAATATAATAACCCTCGTAAGTCAAATGTTCAAACTTTTTTCACACCGTACGTAGGCAACCGTGCTAATCGGAGGTGCGGGGTCAGGGCAACTATGTATGTGTCCAGACTTTTGGCCCACCCTGTCGAGAGAGAGTGGATAATAAGAGATAGAGATTGCACTTTGCACTACGTGATAATTAGGATCCTGATGAGAAAATAACATTTTTGAAAAAAAATTCTGATGACCGGTTAAAAACTAAGAAACAAGTAGACACAGCCTTACAAAGTGGTACCAGTTTTATCGACCCCCCCTTAGGGATAATGGGTTTCGTTAGCCCTGGCTGAACTCAAGTGGCAGTAATTGCGAGCCCTAATGCTCTACTGAGACGTCAGCTTGCCCCAGCAAATATTTAATGACAGGTCTAACCGTGTGTGATATTCAATGTTTTAAACAAGTCACGATTATCGTTTAACAACACCGAATGTGTAACAATGCAAAACATACAATGGTCGATCATTCCAACCAAGACCATCCTGAACATTACTTGGCTCATTTAGGTTTTCTGGAAAAAAGTAAAATAAAGGACATTAATCTAGGATTGACGCTTTCGTGACTGCAGGAATTACCACAATCATTGGTACTTTAGGTACATTTTTTTTTTTTCTACATACGTGACTTTATCGAAAGAACCAATGAGTAGAGTAATGGACGTTGTAAAAATTAAACCGGTGCATATTTATTATTTAGATCAATAACAGCTCCAGCGTTTCCTGCAGTTGATTCCAATTGGACGTGATAATGACTCCAGTCTGCACGTTACATTCGCCACACTCGTATAAAGAAAGCCGGACGATGTTGGGGCTCAGAATAAATACGAATGAAACGACGGTCGTGCAAAACGAGTGCGTTCATAATTGGGGAAACGGTATACATCGGAGTGGATGTAACTGCCAAGCATAGTAGACATATTTATAACAAGGATTGTTCCAAGTAAATATGGAACATTGGGCCAACGTTAGTTCAACGGTTTCAACAACGTGGGTTATTGAAGGTGGGACCAGAAGCTACATTTTTTAAATGAAGTGGAGGATGACAGCAGAATTTTTGGGTTCCGAGTGATTTTTTGAATGCCGATCCAGAGTCCTAGACAATGAATAGGATCGCAGCAATTTCCCTAAGTCACATTTTCATTTTTCGATTTAAAGCTTTCGTGACTGCAGGGATTCATCTTATTGGTTCTTTCGGTAAAGTCACGTAGAATGGAAATAATAAAATAATAAAAATAAAACATTCTTTTATTATGTTTTATAACATTTTAATATCCGTACATATTACCTGCAGTGATATGTGCATCAGAAACGTGGCTGCTTGCAAATAAGATAGAACAAAAGCTGAAAAGGGGCGCAAAGTAGCGTTGCAGAGGCGCACACTTAAAATGGCATTGAAATGAACAAGTAAATGACAGAACACACGCAGGTTAAAGGCATCGATGTGGCTGTTAAGAAAAGAAAGCGGAGCTTGGGCACGACACGCCCCGAGACGGGACGATGAGCGGTGGGCGAGACTAACGAGCGAGTAACGGGGAGAGGGACGCGCCTACGAGGATGTCCGCCATGGAGATGGAGCAATGGGAGTCGAGCCCGTGTTGGTGGATTGTTACACAGCTTGACCATGAGAGTCGATGATGGCTTGCACAGGCCTTCGTCCAGCAGCGCATTGGTCATGGTGGTGAGATATTACTGGTAGGAACCTCCTGGTTACACCAGCCCACAGGGGATGATTGTGTCCGTCGTGCAGGGAGGGGCTGGGTGGGGCTGGGTGGGGAGGGTGGGAAGGGGCTGGGGGGTGGGGCTGGGTGTTGAGGGGCTGGTCACCCCGTGGTGCCCTTATAAAACTCAACGTTTAACCTACTCACGCCGGCTTGTGCCCGCACAGTCGGGCATATTTGCGGAATACACCACGCCGCCGTTGATCCTGGCCATTGACCGAGCAACCCAACGTTCCTACCAGCTCCCTCCGCAGGAATGTGTTTACTACCTCGCCTGGCATACAGGAGGTCGTGGATTCGTTCCCGACCCCAACGCCTGCATATTTTGAGTTTGAATGTTCTCCCCGTGCTCACGTAGATTTTTTTTTCTCTGGATTCTCTGGTTTTTCCCTGCACATTTAGAAACATGCGTTGAAAGTATGTGGCTGCTAAACATTTCTATATGATGAGCCACTTCGTTGAGATATCATTTGTGACAAGGTCGCTTCTAAATATCGAGCTAGAAAGCTCAGTGGGTTTACCTGGTAAACATTTGTTTAAATCGTTTATAATAAAAGATAACGCTAAAAACAGTACGAATAAACATGCCCATGAGTTGAGTGAGGGAGGGAGGGCCTGTAAATGAAATGGCTGGAGAGTAATCAGTCAATAGAATACAGTTTAAACTCCTACTGTTAACTTACAAAGTAGTGAACCATCTTTCGTCAGCCTACATTATTGGCATGCTGCACCCACGTGCCCCATCAAGGTCCCTAAGATCCGGGGATGCAGATCTTCTCCTCATTCCCAGATGGAGGCTTCTGTTTATGGGTGACCGAGATTTTTCCCGTGTAGCCCCGAGGCAATGGAACCCTCTTCCACGAGGTATCAGAGATCTCTGGGTCTGTGGACATTTTTCGTCAATGCGCCTTAAAACCTATTTATACGCATCCGCTTATTAGACGTTTAGTTCACTTCGTAAAATGGATTCTTAAAATGTATTCGTGAGAAAATAATTTCTAACGCCCGAGGGCCTTGCGACTGTGTCCTGTGCCGCGCTCTGAGATTCTTGATGAAGATTGCGATATAAATTGAATTCTAATTCTTACGTGCCGCACACGTGCGCAGCAGCAGCAGCCAACAGACGGGAGAGGGGAGAATCCCACGCCTGCCTTCCTCACCATGGAGCCAACCAAGCAGCGAAGCAAGAAGGACTGGAGAATTGGCTACTTCAGCAACGCAAAGGCGAGGTGTGTGAGCCATCATATCTCCCCAGCGCGGAGGGCGGGGGGCTGGAGACTGCGTTTTGTGAATGTCCACTGCTGAATGCTCCCCCAATTTCCTTGCCTTGCCCTCTCTTTCACCAGTTCAAGTCCGGTAGTTTGTCCCCAAATCATTTGGTTCGTCTCTTCGTGTATGTATGTACAGGGACTCGTCTACTTAAGAACGAGTGAGGTTCCAGACGTTTGTTCGTAAGTCGATTTGTTCGTAAGTTCAACTTTACTCTTGTCGGTTCCAAACACGTTGTACGGATTTAAAAGTTGTATAATCTCCTGTAGATGTAGATGCCACTGGTTCTTCACGTTCTGCAGATGTAGATGCCACTGGTTCTCCATGTTCTGTAGATGACACTGGTTCTTCATGTTCAGCAGATGTAAAAGCCACTGGTTCTTCACGTTCTGCAGATGTAGATGCCACCACCGCCATCTATTGCACGCAGCGATTGAACTTACGACTTTTAGTCCGAACAGGCAACTAGACATACGGACAGATTTGTTCGTATGTCTCAAAGTTCGTAAGTCGAATGTTCGTAAGTAGATGAGTATGTTGCATTTTTTTCGCACCACGCGTAGCCAAGTCTCTTTGCTTTTCATCTGTTGTATTTATGTTTATTCACGACTTGCCTTTCTTATGCTATTCGTTGCGCACGGTTGCACTTTATTTTACTCGGTCGGTGTTAGCCGCTGAGGGCGTGACGGGTTTCTGTTTTCATTCCTGTTGCTCTGTGAATCTCGGTACCGTTCCCATTCCGTTGTAACGCGCATTGATGCTCACTTTATTGAGGGCGAAATTGGCACGTAAAATAAAAATTGATTGATTGGTTTCATCTCGCTGCTGCTGCTGCTGCTGCCACCGGCTCATCGACTCTCTTCCTCCGCTTCTCTCGGTCTCCACACTGGAGTTGATTCTGCCTCTCATCTGTCGCCAGTTCATCTGACGATGCTTGCTGCCCAGTATCACTTCATTTCCTTTGCTTTAACAACAGCACCAGGAGATCCCAGTTGTGTTCCCTGTGTTTCAGTTCCTCAACCTATGCATTCGATTGACTCCGAATGCTACTCCTTTCCAAAGTTTTAGTTTGGCAAAGAACTATGGGAAAGGGGCCGTCCATAAATGACGTCACGCACCTAGGGGGGGGGGTGTCAGACATTTGTGATGATGTGTGACGAGGTGGTGGGGGGGGTTGAGAAATGTGACGTCGCATCAAAACGCGCAACTTTAAATAAATATAGACAACACGTTCTACTTAATTAAATAGACTTTTTAATAAATGTTTTCTCCTACAACATCAGAGTGCAGCGCCACATTAAATACGCACTACAATGACAATAGTTTAAAGCGACTTGAAGCATGTTTTATATTTTTTTGGAGGGGGGCAGAGCTTTGTGACGTCATATTTGAGGGGGGGTCTGACTTTTTGTGACGCCGTGTGACGGGGGGGGGGTCAAAAATCGTCTAAAATCGCGTGAAGTCATTTGTGGACGGCCCCAAAGGGAGTTTACGCCACTATTTAGATGAAAAAACCCCACTGAGTTGTCACTTTCCTGCCGATTTACTCCAAGGCCCATAACTGCTCGAGCCATAAGCATTGTTATTTATTTTCTTGTAAATTCGCGTGCAGATGAAATGGTGGCCGTTCCTGGCTATGGATTCTTATTCCGTTACCCAAAAATATTTCATATTTGTGCCTCTCTGCACATAGCCCCGCCCGGTCCTGATGCGCATACTGGTATCATGCGTCGTCTTGACAGTGAGCAGCCACCCTCTAAAACAAAGCTTGCCAAATGTTTGCTTTGTAACCAGACAGGCCGGCTTACCGAGCAGCTGGCCTGCCAGACCGTCCATACCAAGATGAGTGTCGTTATACAAATATGATGTTCAGTAACCGTGGCTCTGAACCCTCCAGTAATGTCCTGTTTGTACACAGAAGGCATGTTCCTCGGCATGTAATGATTCGCAACAGTAACACCCCCCTCCCTATCCATCCCAAGCTCCACCTCCAACGATGCAATGATTTGTCTCTATCCAGGGGTCAGGATGGGAAACTCTCGTTTTTTCCCCATCTCCTTTGTGGTGTTTCTTCTTTCATTTCTCTCTCACTTGTACCATTTTGCTCATTCCCTTTGCCATAACTGGAACATTAGCATACAATTCGCACACAGTTTGCAGGCGTTATAAATAAGCGATTTTTTTTCTCCCCAACACGCGATTCGGCGCGTGCATCGCGAGCGCGTCGATTTTATAAACCGAACCCTGACGATGCATTGTGATGCGCCCACACTACCGCTACCCTGGTCCCCCCCCCCACCAACTTCCCCCCCACTATCAAAAACTAATTCCGGCCACCCGTAGAACCTGAAAGCGCGTCCAAGGGAGGCACGGCAGCGCCGCGAAAGCCGACCCCTGCGAAAACTCCGAGCGAGCGGGCGTTTGTGCTCAGCCACGCGGCCTGTCGCAGCGGGAATCGTTCGTTGAGCCGCCACGGAATGCGTCATGTGCTCTGTTGTCGGCTGTGGGCAATGGCGCCAAACTGATATACATATGGACACATTTGGCTGTGTAGAGTGTGCTCCGGATAGTGGGAAATCCGCGTGGGCCTGTGACGAGCGATTGTTCCTGCGGGTGACCCGGGAATGCGGTGAGGTCGGCAGCCTCAAAAATCTGGAAATCTGCACCGGCCATAGCCGACGCACATCGTCATTCCGTTGTTGTGGAGAATAAAACAAATGTAGTTGGCCGCACCTGGAAAAAATCTGATCGCCGCTCGCTTGTGGCCAACTGGGATGGCAACTTCCATGAGGATGACGGACAGTGGTCAAGTGGTCACACGACTCCCGAAGGTCGTGTGCTCTGTAAACTGATCGTTGCCCGTCGAAAACAATTTTCAACGAAACCCTGTTTTCATTGATCTAGATAAAACTCTTATCTCTTCGTCCGATTGTCATGCAAAGTTTTCATCATTGCCCATAAGCAGGCCCCAGCCAGCTCCAGGTCTGATTGGGGGGGGGGGGGGCAGTAGTTGAGTAGTTATGTGGGGGGGCCACCATGACCGTGATTCACCGCTAGCGAGAGAGAACTTGGATGGGGCTAAAGGGACATTTGGTGGGGGTCGAGGGGGGGGGGGCAGAGGGATCCTTTCATTGCCCCCTAAGCGGCGCCGGTCCTGGTCATAAGCAGCACACCGTGGGACATCAGAATATTTATACTGGAGGAATCCGATGACCTACAAAGCTCATCTTCTTGGTTCTTTCGGTAAAGTCACGTAGAAGGGAAGTAATAAAATAATACAAATAAAACATAATAAAATAAAATAATTGTCACGACGTTTCGGCCACAACGCAAGCAGCCGTCCTCACCTGTTGTGGCCGAAACGTCGTGAGAATTATTTTATTATGTTTTATTTTTCTTATTTTATTACTTCCCTTCTACGTGACTTTACCGAAAGAACCAAGAAGATGAATCCCTGCAGTCACGAAAGCTTTAATCCGATGACCTACAAAGCTCTTTTTTTTCACAGATGTCAAAATGATTTGGCGAGGCTTCCATGGGTGAACAGAGCCCCCTCCCTGCCCCCGCCCGCTCCCCCGCCCCCAGCGAGCTTCATGGCGCGCTGGTCTAACTCCTCGTGAACATGCGTGTGCCTTGAGACCTGTGGTTTCAAGGAGTCGAGCCGGCTCACCTGGTATTCGTTCCCTGCGTGTGCGTCCGTGTGTGAGCGCGTGCGCGTGTTTTTGACACGCGCCGGTTTGCCGCTGGCTGGCGTTTGCGGACGCGGGCAGTGCGTTCCAGTTGAACGGACCGGCGTGCATGATGCCTCCAACCAGTCTCCTCCGCTGTACCGTGTTTATACCATCATATTGACAGTGGAAAAGTTTTCCATTCTCCGCGTACCTGCGAGCACACACACGCGCGTGCGCACGCGCGTGTGTGTGCTCGCCGTGCGTGCGCGCGTGACATTAATTTCACTAAGGCGCGAGGGTTGCACGCTGGTTACTGCTGCGACAGAGGGGGGGAGGTTGAGGGAAAGGGTTTGGCAATCGATCAACAAGTGAAATAAATGAAAATAGAATGCCGGTGGAATGATGGCTTGTATGCCAAAGCGCTCATGAATGGAATTTACCCCAAACATCCCATTGCAGAGGGACCTGTTGTGAAGTTTGCCTGGTGAAGCTTTCTTGGGTAAATAAATTACATGATGATAATATTACGAAGAGATGTGGTACAGCGCTGTCTTCACTGCTGAAGCTGAATGAAGGCCCCTCTCCGCCCCATGTACTGTGCACCACGGGGGTTGTTTGACCATACTTCACCACGCTGGTGACCGTGCGTTAGTGCAGGAGGGGGCCCAGAACCAGTTCAGATATATCTCGCCACTGATATTGGACGCGGTCCGGAATTGAACTCGGGTTCCCGCGTTCGTAGTGGAGTGTGCCCAGCCACCGTTTCCACTCAACCCTCGAGATAAAATGATTGCATAATTCGCAGGATCATATTGCATTATGCATCATTATCGATTTTCGTACAAAGTCAAATCCGTTCCGGACTCGAACAAGCACGGTTCATTCCTCGTCTCTCTCACTTACAGCCCCGAGCCAGTTGTACAAATTCTACATTAGTGTGGCAGGGCCAAGTGCATCCACAGGAAGAACACTTTTGGCGTCTTATTAACCGGTGCTAGTTATATTTTCCCGGCACCTTTCAGTACAGTGCTGTCCGTGCAAAATGGTTTCTGTGTTTTGCAATTTATCCTCCTCCGCGTTGGGCAATTACTTCCGGTCCACGCAGAAACAAACAAAAAAAACAGCCGCACACGTGGCTTGCTCGCTGGGCCGCATGCGTGTGCTGCATTCATTCGCAAGCGCTGGTCGTCGGCGAGAAAAATGCATCGCGCTCTGTCTGGGTGATCGGTGTCGATTTTGCGCGAATTCGTACATTCCAATGGGTGACGCGTGCTAAGTTCTGTCAAGTC